GCGTTGGGCGAGGCAAATATGACATCTGCGTTGAGGACGATTTCAAACCCGCCTCCTGAACACTGGATTAGCAATTGATAGATCTGCATGGCCTGATGTGTGTCTCACCGTGGGCGTGTCCATTGCAAGCGATCACGATGGGCTTCTTCCCCGTCCGATTCGACATGCCTCCGAACCCGCCACTGGGGTATTCATGGGCTACATTCCCCGTGTTCAGAATGTCCAGACGTTGTTTGAGGTCCATGCCCGCGCAAAAGGCCTTGTCGCCGGCGCCTGTGAAGACGGCGCATCGCAGCTCGGGTTCTGAATCGTACCACTTCCAGAGCGCGCCGAGCTCAATTGTGGCTTCCACAGGCAGGCAATTGCGGTTCTCGGGGCGATTGATCGAGACGAGTAGAATGTGTTTTCTTGGGAAGGTTACAAGACTGTGCTCAACATGCGGGTAAGGGACCTCAATCCAGTCAGGGATCGGGCTTTTCGTTCTCGGTGCAGACATTATCGGTGGTATTTTCTTCCCTGAATGGTGTTACAGTCAATCAGATCAATCTCAGCAACCTATGTCTTGGTGCCAGCTACCATCTCATGTTCCTGGTCTTATCGGCGACGTTCTTTGGCTTTCCAAAAGCACCAACTACCGTCAAGCCATGAGACCTCGGCCGCCCGGCTCGAGAAGTCTGGAATCTACAGGGCCCGTGTGAATCTTGCTGTTTTGGGCATGAAGCTGTTCAGGACGAGAACTTGGGGTGGAATCCATTATCCGTCTCCAACCCCCTCACGCGACACGAAGCCCACCCCCCCTCATGAATCATTGTGCGGCCTCCAAACTATCCCACCATATTGACTCATGAAGAGTGTCTGGGGCCCCCGCGTTGGATTCCCAGCCCCTGCATCAAATTATGTACACGAGCTCGCTACAAGTCCCAAGCTGCAGAGGTGGCTCCGGGGTAACGCTAACGAGATGATCTCCCCATATGAAATCAATGGGGTTTGTTAGCCGAGGTATCTGGGGTCCATGTTATGTTGTTTCAATGAATTTGTAGTAGCTGAATCTCGCTGATTTGACTACCCTTGGATCCTAGTGAAAGTGCCTGAAGAGGTCTCTACGTTTTGTTTTGCCATCATACAGCTTCCGCTGAGTCCTTGAGCCAAGCCAAACCGCCACCATGTCGGATTCACACCCAACCAAATCGCCTCCCCCTCCAACACCGACCTTCCTTAGGCTCACCTTTCCAGCCCCCCGGGTGCTTCTCATCCGCATGGACCGCCCAAAGGCGCTCAACGCGATGACGACGGCTGCTCAGTGGGAGATGGACTCGGTCTGGAAATGGTTCGACGCGGAGCCCAACCTGTCGATAGCCATTCTCACGGGCACCGGGCGCGCGTTCTCCGCCGGGGCAGACCTCAAGGAGTGGAATGGGAGCATGGCGCCCGACGCCGACCCGAGCAAGAGGATGGGCAAGGCCCCAGAGTTCACCCCGCTTAGCAGGCGGATGGGCAAGAAACCGGTCATCGCCGCGGTGAACGGCCTCGCGATGGGCGGTGGCTGCGAGTTTGTCGTGAACTGCGACATCGTCTTGGCCGCTGAGGATGCGACATTTGGCCTGCCTGAAGTGAAGAGGGGAGTTGCTGCCATTGGAGGCGCTTTGCCTAGACTCATCAGGAATATTGGGCTTCAGAGGGCGTCTGAGTTTGCTCTGACTGGCCGCACTGCGACCGCTGCAGAGATGGAGAGCTGGGGGATCGTGAATAGGATCGTCCCTAGGAATGGAGACCTGATCAAGGAGGCTGTTTCTCTTGCGGCTACTATTGCTGAGAATAGCCCGGATTCAATCATTTGCACGAGAGCAGGTCTACGACAAGGTTGGCAAACAGATGTCGAGACAGCCGTATCAGAGACTCTGTCTAAGGAATTCGAGGAACTGCAACGAGGTGAAAATATTCTAGAAGGATTGAAGGCTTTCACGGAGAAACGGAAACCAGTTTGGAAGGGTAGTCGTCTGTAAGGTCTCATTGAATTTTACTCTATCTTTCTACGGAATTGCTGGACAGGAAGGTGTGGTTGGCTTTCCAAACGGAGTACCATGGACACATGGATGGACTGAATTTCCAGCCAGTAACCTGACGGAAGAGTTTCCAATCTTGTTATCATCCCATAGACTCCAAAAGGCGTTAGGAGATGAACATAATGGATGCAAAATTACATGCTCAGTACAATGACATACCTGATGAATTCATCCACCAATTCATCCACCCAGTCTCAGACGACTTTGGTCTCGGGTTCGGGCGGCTATGCAATTCCCAGTCTCGCTTGGCGATAGACACTTAGTCACATCCCGGTCTAGGGGTATGAGCTATTCTCGATTAGTGTATGATTAAACGGCTCTAAAGCTGACCTCCATCATTACTCAGTTTCCCAACTACCCAGGTCCCCGCACCATCAAGTAGGCCCCTCCCCACTCCCCCATGTTAAGCCAGCAAGGACTCAGGTTCTCCGCGATGGTAGCCATTTTCCGGGGAAGTGGGACTTCTCAGTCTTGGTCCGGGGTCGAGGGAGTGTCCGATAGAGCCAAGTCTTGGTGGCTACATTGCGTAGGTCCTGCTGGGTTAATGGGCAACACTTGATGACACATTGCAGAACGATAGTCTATCACCGTACCGATCTAGAACCATCTCGTTTTCGTACTATCTTCGCAATCACAATCAGCCTGGCGCTCCCCTGCCCCTGCGCAAATAGCATAAACTCAGGGTCCTGCTCTGCCATTCTCGAGTTGCGTTCCCGACACACTCAAACCCCCTATCCTTCGTCAATTCCAAGATCACCATTGTCTAAATCTTTGCAATGACGACTCTATCACGGAAAAACTCTGTCGATGGAGTGGAGGTAAGCAGGTTGGAAAACATCGACCATGTCAATACCATTGAGCAGGAGAAGGAGAAGGCAAAGCGAGACAGCGATGCCGATTCCGTCAACTCCGCCGCCCTGGGTGACGATATTCCTCCTGGTTACTTCTACTCTCCTCGTTTCCTGGGATGCCTACTAGTATGTCCCCATATTCTCCTATCTTTGTGCCAGATCAAAGCTAACCTTGCCCAAGGCTTTCTGTCTCTCGGCCATCAGTGCCTATTTATTCCTTATCCTCCCGACCAACATCCTTACCTACATCAACCAGGACATCGGCCCAAGTAGCTACATATCATGGTTCAACATTGCACGAACACTCTCCCTCTCCTTCACCTACACTATTCTCGGCCGGCTCTCCGATCTCTTTGGTAGAAGATGGTTCTTCATCGGTGGAAATATCGTTGCCTTGGTTGGGATTATTGTCTGTGCATTCGCTAAGAATGTCGACTCCCTCATCGTCGGCGCTGCCGTCTACGGGCTGGGAGAAACAGTTCAGCTGTCTTTCAATGTAGCTATTGGCGAGCTTGTTCCTAACAAGTATCGACCAATGGTTCTTTCGTTCATCTTCTTGACTAATGCTCCTATCGCGACTTTTGGACCCATCATCGGTGAGTGAGCAAAAGATTCCCAAATATGATTGGACTCAAAGGCTAATAGACTTGAAGCTCGAAAGTTCATCGAGAACACGAACCTAGGCTGGCGCTGGTGTTTCTACATCAACATCATCGATGTCGGTCTTACCATCATCCTCCTCTACTTCTTCTACCACCCACCAACCTTTGACCTCCTCCACGAGCGCACGACCAAGAAGCAGCTACTCAAAGATCTTGACTATCTCGGCATCTTCCTCTGGACTGCTGGCTTGACCATCTTCCTGATGGGTATCTCTTGGGGCGGCAACATGTATCCTTGGAAGAGCGCTGCCACCATCTCCTCCATCATCATCGGCGTAGTCCTCCTCATTGCAATGTTCGTCTGGGAGAGTTACGCTGATCTCAAGTATCCCGCCATTCCCGTCAAGTTTTTCCGCAACCGCGGCTTCGTCAGCCTGGTCACCATGGCCACCGTGGCAAGCATGTTCTACTACTCGGCCGTGCTCCTCTGGCCACAGCAGGTCCAGGCCCTCTTCACCAAGGATGTGACATACGCAGGCTGGCTTTCATGCACCGTGGCCTCGAGTACAGCCCTGGGCCAAGTCTGCGCCGGCGCCATCGTCCGCTGGGGAGGAAACGTCCGCTACTGGCTCATCTTTTCCACCTTCGCCATGGTGGCCTTTGTGTCTGCCCTGGCTTCGTTGACGCCTGCTGATAAGAACACCGGCATTGCTTTGACCATCCTGGGCCCCTTCTTCGTCGGCTTCATTGAGCTTGCGTCTCTCGCCCTGGCGCCATTGTTCTGTGCTGCTCAGGATATTGGTCTTGCCTCTGGGCTGCTTGCGTCGATCCGATCTGCAGGAGGGTCTATTGCGGTTACTGTCTACAGCACCATCCTCACCAACCGCCTTGCCAGCACCATCCCTGAGATCGTTGTTCCTGCAGCCGAACAAGCTGGTCTGGACCCGTCTCAAGTATCCAGTCTGCTCAAGGCAGTCACGGCCAAGAATCTCTCGGGCTTTTCGTCGGCTGTTCAGGCGGCTGTGTCGGGGGCGCTTCCTTCAGCATACGCTGCCGCTTTCAAGACCGTGTATCTGGCTAGTTTGGGATTTGGAGGTATCGCAATCGTTGGCTGTTTGTTCTCCAAGGACGCCAAGGAGCACTTGACCGATAAGGTGGAGAGGAAGATGGGTGATGCCAACGTCAAGAAGACCGAGAAGGATATGGCTGTGTGATTTATGTTTCTGCTTCATGACCAGACTGCATTTAGGTTGTGAATTCAATAATCTGATGGGATCATCTACAACAATCGCTATGGGATACGCAAATAAGATGTGCGATTCAAGATATGTAGAAATATCCATATGTTCAGCAATTTCAAGTTCAGACCTCATGATATCATGACCAAAACAGTGCATCAACATGACCTTGTCGACTGTTCCCATCCCATCAGAATATTTCAAAGTTTGGGAATCAACTCCTCTTCCTTTGGTATAGCAGGCACAATGAGTGGTGCACCGCCCAAGACGATCCTCCTTCTCGCATCCGCATACCCATGTGCGTACTTATCCAACAGAGATGTCTCCCTGAAAGCGCCGTTGAAGCGACCGTCATCCCAGTACAGCCGTCGCAGCCACGAATGCAGCAGTGGGTAATCGTGTCGGATACTACGCAGGGTGCATTGCATCACAGTGTGGTACGCGGCGTCAAAGCGAACCAGGGTCGTGAACAGGCGCACGTCCGCTTCCGTCAGGCCATCGCCGAAGAGGAATTTGCGTCCATCGGAGAGACGAGACTCGAGTCTGTCCAGGGCGGCGAAGAGGGGTGTGATGTTTTCGTTATACGCTTCCTGTGTAGCGGCGAAACCAACCTTGTAGACGCCGTTGTTGACGTCGCGATATACCCATTCGTTGAGCTCATCAATATCCTTGCGTAACGCCTCGGGGTACAGACCTCCGTTGGGCTGGTTGGCTTCACGAAGATGCTCAGGCACAATCGCATCAAACTCCGAGGCAAGCATGCGCAGGATCTCGGACGATTCGTTGTTCACAGGCTGGTCTGTCTTCTTGTCCCAAAGGAGAGGGACTGTGAACCGGCCGTCATAGCTGGGATCTGCCTTGAGATAGAGCTGCCGGATCTTGGTAAAGCCAGGGTGTAGGGGATCTTCAGCAAGGGCACCCTCCTCGCCACTGAAGTACCAGCCCTCGGGTCCCATAACAGGGTGGAATGTGTAAACATCAATGGCAGATTCCAGCCCTTTGAGCTTCCTGGCGACAAGTGTGCGGTGAGCCTATCCAGTTCACGAATATTAGTAGTTGAGCGCAGCTGGGAGGAAGGACCTAAGAGAAAGAGAATAAAGTTCAACAGCAATGGAAGCTGCCAGAGCCCGACAACTCAACACAATGAATACGGGGAGGAAGGACAGTCATACCCATGGACACGACGGACTCAGGTAGAGCACATATCTGCCCGCCTCAGCTGGAAATTGGGAGTTTGGGTCGCTGGACACGAAGCTGCGAAATGTACTGTCTGGCCGGACGAACTTGCCATCCTTTGACTGATAAGTCTGCCGTATCTGTGAGCTCTTGCGTCATGATGTCATGGATGAGAGGTCATACTATTCCTGTAGCCATGTTGGAGCAATGTCAGTAAATATTTTTACTCTTGAGATATAATAGCCAAGTCGAATGGCCCATTCTACATGGGATGTGCACCATTAAATATCTCTTGGCCCAATAGTGCTTATCCATCTCTGACTGCATCCGAGGCCATCATCATTGCGCCATCACCCTGGACACTGGAAGCCGGACCAAATTGCCGGACCAAGAGCGGACCAACGAGCTTAGAAATTCGGCTTATCAAGCAGCCGCGCGGTTGCTCAACTAAGAGAAGAGTGTGTGGGGTGCACTCTATTCGGTGATGATGGTGGCAGGGCATATCAAAATAATTAATAATTACTTTCCTGACGATACGTTTCGATAGCGCGTATGTCTCCTTTGCTTGAGGTTTCGCTAAAAGCCTCTTGTGCCCGCGGATCCTTGATTGAGTCGACTTGGTGGTGTGAGCTCTTCACCAAATCTTCGGAAACTGGGGATGTAAATATGACCAATCAAAGTTAATGCGGCCATGCTTGAAAATTTCAGCGAATGGAGCATAGAATGCCTTGGGGAAAGTTTATCTTGTTCTTAAACAAATAACAAAGAAGTCTACACTAGATCTCTCAAACATAGTACTCAGTCAACGCAGTAGGGAGCAGTCTGCATGATAGCTCGTACAGTCCGTGGCATCACACGCAGGCCTTTTGTGGATCACCTTCCAATACAGAATTGACCCAGGCGACGGCGTCATCCGTAAATTTTGACTCTGACCAGCAAAATAAGTAGGTCTGTAGAAGGAGTATTTGCCGTGACTCTTGGATATGCGGCCTGACGCTGCTTTACATGCTTATGCAAACGTCCTTGCTACTTTCGATGACCTCATTGACCTTGTTGAAGAGTTCGAATGCGGTACATCTAGATCTTTGAGGAACTAATAATCGATTCAAAACCAGGTCTACTATCCGCGGGGTGATATCGTCACAACGCCGCCCATTGCGATGGATCCCCTGGCCGAATTTCTGTACAGATTCGAGCCGGCCGTGGCTGTCGTGAAAACATTCATCATCAAGGCTTCCTAGATTTCCGTGTAATGACGTAATCTCCATCCTCCTTTGCTTCTGGAACTCATGGAGGCCTGAATTGCCGTACGTAATGAATGTCGAGATCTCAAGAAGAACGCACCCCAGTGACCACATATCCATTGACGAACATTTTTCGATATTGCTCATAGTATCAAACATACACTCAGGAGCGCCTAAATAACTAGGGTCAGATCTGTGTGAGTGTATTCGCGGGAATGCCTTACCATATGTTCGGTTGTTGAAAGCAGCGGAAGTTTGTGCTTTATCAGCTTCATAACCTGTCCCATAATCTGTAGTATTGAAATCAAAGAAGAATGCTTTTCTAGAACCTCTATCTGGAGAAACTAGAATAGTAGTTGGGGTGATGTCGTAGTCAATTCTGTGGTTACAGAAGTGGTTCTAATCAGTGGCTGGGCCGCGATAATGTCAGGGAGTAATAAACATACCGCAAGTTTTTAACGCGGCCATGAACAGCCACCACACTAGAAATCATCCCGAGAACTCGTTCCCACATGTATTTGATGCCTTGATATTCACAAGGAGGTTTATTTTCCGCAAAGATATCAGCTAGCGTCTCTCGTGAATGTTCGAGTTCGTTCGATGCAATGTTTGCACACTTTTTGGCTGCGACCCGGGAAGAGCGGGGCGGACAGTTGTCTGTTTCTAATATGTAGAAGTCTCTTTCATTGGTCCTGCTTTTTTCGATGCCTGCGGACTTGTTAATCTGGAAATCGTATTTCGAATAGGCCTGTGTTAGAACCCATTAGCAACCACAGTTCTATTTGTTTGAGCGTCTCATTATAGAGGCTATTAGAAGGAATTCACCTCAATTCTTCTTGTTGTATAATTGTGCGAATCCTCGGGGGAATTTGTTATGTGCATGTCTGACAGCATATCTTTTCCTATATATTGAATCGATATCGTCTTGGAGAATGGAACGGCAGAAAGCCCGTGAAACTCCAAATTGGAGGAGTTTTTGACAAGACCCAGTAATGAAAAGCAAATCTTCCACTGCTGGTCCGGGGACTTGCTCCATGCGCCCTCTCCCTCGGCAGGATCCTCAAATCCACTCTGTATTTCTGCCCAAAGGAGGCTGCTATCGCCAAAGCCGTATTTGGCCAGAGATTCAACATCCAAATGTTTGGCGATATTGAACAGCATGGAAAAGAGGCGGACATGATTTTGAAAATCGCGTTTAAAATCCAGGTTTTGCATCAAGTATCCTCTGTCAATTGAATAAAATTCGCGCAGGACAGAGATATTCTGAGAAGCCTCCATTTTTAGTAGGTTCAAGTACGTGTCGTAGGAGCACTCGAAAAAAGAGTCAGTTGGATGTACGGGATAAAATCAATGGAGGGGGGACAATTTAAATTCTTGGGAAGCTAATTAATATAGTATTTCCTTCGAGGCTCGGGGCAATGAAACGAAAACCGCATTATCTAACACGGCATAGCCATAATCTCACTTATGTGCATTTCAGGTCGGTATGAAAGAATGGTGGCAAGGTGAGAAGGCGCAGTTATCCTGGTACCACCAAATCCAACCAGAGAGATACAGCGTTTCGCAGGATGGTTATGCTGATGTACTATCCTAGGGTCGGCTGAGCTGCAAATTTTTAAGCCACTTACCTACACTGCCCTGAAAAAAGGAATCGAAGACCACCTATGTGCAAATAGCCCAATAAGCCCCAGTCAACGCAGGGACAGCATCAAAACTCATTGTTGAGAAAGAACCGGCCTGTCCAGCAGACGTTTGATTAAGGGCTATTCTAGCCTTACGTGTGTACATTTAGTCTTCCTTTAAAGCAAAATTGAGTACGTTAGCTATCGAAGTCGGACTCTTATCGTTAACACCAACCCCCTTGACTAATCTATATGCTGTCCTAGCCCTCCTATTTACAGATATCTAAATTATCTGCTGCCGAGATTTATGGTCTATTAATATTCTCTCCAGTAATTAACCTAAGAGAAATTCTCTCATTGAATGCTTCCTGTGTAAGATCTGTCGATACTTGTAACAAAATATCAGATATGTGCATCATTGAACGCCAAGCTCCCATCAAACCTATTGTCATAATCTCTGAACATAATTTGGGAATGATTCTTCTCAGTCCGTGCTCTTAGACGCAGCACCAATCAAAATATCCCAAATAGGGGCTGTTGTAGGTTTATGGTCCACAATATCACTGCAAACAGAGCGTTAGCTGGGCTACAGCGTAGGTAGAGGGTTGGCGGAAGAGACTTACAACTCGAGCGTTTTGCCTAAATCATCGTCCAAAAATTTCAATCGCCCGATACCAACAGGATCCGACCCAAATCGTAGGAACTGTATAGAAATATTCGGGCGCCCAATTTTTGAGTCCTTCATGTGCTCAATAAGGGATTTGATTGGCCCATCCGCGCCCAAAAGACCGTGTTCAGATGAAGAATTCCAGACGCCATCAGTGAAAACTAAAATCGTTATTTTCTTTGGGACACTTGTGGAGCGTGTCATAAAGGAAAGCCTGGAGGAAACGGTAGATGCTGGCCCGCGTATGCTGTCAACGACACCAAATAGTGCATTCTCCATGTTGCATGGGCCTCCTTTTCCATCTGAAAATCTCTCCGATACGAAATTTCTTGCATCCTTAGCCCTTTTGAATTTGGCAATTTTCGTATTATCAGACGTACATCTGATTTCGCCTCCATCAGGGTCAAGTTCCTTGACAAGGTAGCCCAGTTCTGAAACCCATCGGAGCACTTCTTCTCTGTACTTCTGCATTGATTTCGAATTATCAATTAAGAATATCTTGATTTTCCAGTTAGTTTCCTTTTGTTCCTCCACTTTGGATGTCGAATGTTAAAAGGGTTCCAAACTCACGAAGTCTCGGCCTTTGAGTAGACCTTGGACCCACTTCCATCCAGGCAGTTCAATATTATTATGCCTTTGAGTCTTTCTGGTTTTTATCCAAGAACTTAGCTGATCGATATATACCAGCGTTTCATCCGCGCTGCTAGGCGTAGATTCTGTAAGCCTCCCGGGCCCAACTGGCTGTGTCGAGCCAGGGCCTGGCGCAGACATCTTAGAGATATTTTCGTCCTCAGACGTCTCAAGAGGAGAAATTTTGCCGGGCTCGCCTCGCAGGGGTTGACCTGTCAGTATCCGTTGAGGCATTCCATTCCCAATAGTAGATGGAATTTTAGTTGGGTAAACTTCGATCGAATGGGCTGGGCTCAACACCTCAAAGAGGCGTTCGTCATCCAGGATCCCACGCAATCTAGTGAAAAGATTGAGAGAATTGATTCGTGAATCTCCCTCGATCAAAAGATTCCTCATAGCGAGTTTGACTATCTGTCGGGTGATCTCGTCACTCGGGCGGCCATGAGGCTTCATTAAATTGACGTGCTCTGCTATGCACTTCAACGCAACAGATCCATTGTGAAAACTATCCCCGTACCCCAGATTGGTAAGGTTTGTTAGGTTTGAGGTCTCTTCCTTGCGTTTTCTTCTGAAATCTTGGCGGCCCCTTTCGCCGAATGCGACCCAAACCGCGGCCTCGGTGATGATGCACCCAATAGACCACATATCGAGTGTAGGTCCGACACGATATTTCACACTATCGCCCAAATAAATCTCAGGAGGAGCTGTTTTCTTTTCTTATCAGCTCATGTTATTGTAGTTTATTTCAATGTTAGAATAATACCATAGGTTCGTGTTGTGCCCCGATTAATGGCCTCGCGTTTAACATTTGTTGGAATCAAGTAACTGGCACCAAAATCGCCAATTTTGAACTGGTAAACTAGTTTGCCGTCCTTGATTCCCTTTGAAAAAACCAGAATATTGGATGGTTTCATATCATGGTGTAATCTTAGAGGAGAAAAACAGTCAGCATTCGAAAAGCAGAAATAGTTGGAAACTCCTTACCCTTCTTGGTATCCTACTTGATTATGTATTATGTGCAAACCTTTTGCAACCCCAGCGATACCTTCCCAAAATGCCTTGATATCTTCAGGGAGATATGGTGGGTGGCTTTCACGATACAGGTCTAGCAGAGTACCATGTTCTGCGTACTGGAAGATTAGAGTGCTTGTGCGACCATCTTTCTCATCGAACCAGTGGAAGCTCCCTATACAGGGCGCGATTTCTTCGGATGCGAATGCGCTATTTGATGTTCTCTCGAGATGATATACACTATGATATTCCTCTTCGTATGTTTTGAGGAAGACTAGCCGCGGTACCTGAACGCGAAGTCATTGAATCAGCAACATGAATCTACCAACATCCCATATTCACATACCTTGTCTTTCCTTGGTAGATGTGCATGAGCATCGTCGTGTACAACCATAATTTTTGTGGTTGCTTCTCTTTCATTTGGGCGTGGTTGGTGTGCTGATTCTTTCTCTTCGAATGGTAGGATGCTCCATTTATGCAACTTGGTGTCGCAAAGATCATTATCGGGATCAAGGAGCACCGGACAGAATATCCACTGAGTACTAAATAGCGCATGGTATTCGGGGTCGGTTTCGTCCAGAAAGTCTGGTGGCTGAGACCAGGGCAGAGATGAGTCTTTTTGTTGGGTGCTTATGAATGATTCAAGAAGATGGAGTTTCGATGTGTACACAAGGATCGAAAATACGCGCAAGTAATTCTTGACGATAGATTCGGGCTTAGGGCCAGGAATATTCTCCTCTTGGAGGAGGGAACGGATTTTTTGTTGCCTCCAATATCTACACAGGAAAGAGTATGGCACGTATTGCCCAGGTTCTCCAGAGCAGGTGATTCCGTTTTTTAAATTACCTCTGAGATGGTTCTTAAAAGTCTGGGTATGGTGAAGAAGGTTTGATGTCATGGGGTAGACAGCACCCTGATGGGTGTCTGAAGGCACAGAGAAGAGGGAGAAAAGAAGGGAGAATAACTGAAGAGATACGGAAGAAAATATCTTATGGTTCCCTATCTCTTGCTAATTCACCAGAATGGGATTGGATATTGAGTGTGGTAGGGTGGTCTTTGGTATGACATGGAAGGACTGCCCCGTACTGGCAAACGCAGCGTCGTTATAGAGCATTGCAAGTATAAGTAACATGTAGTTTTATTAAGAGACAAAGAGAGAGGAAAAGGGAGAGTATAGGACCGAAAACATAAGCTAGCAAGAAGGGCATGGCAAGGCATGAAGTGAGGCCGAGCCTTTGGCACTAGACACTTGATGTGAGGCTGGCAGGCTGCCTTGGAAACTGCCTTGCTCCTGTACTGATCCACTTGGGGATAAATCCTGCGGCAAAACCGAGTCTACAGGCGGAAACACAAGGCAAACTTCTAGGGCAACCTTGAGGTGAGGTGGGCCTTCACCTCAAAGGTGTGGCAGAGAGAGAGGTGGCTCGGCAAAAGCAATATTCCTGCAGGCTTACTCAGTTGGCCCCACGTCTCATAATAGCGCGCTGGGCTCCATTGCACTTTTGAGCTGTGGCGTAGTAATCTCACTCCCCTTCCTCAACTGCGAGAGAGTCAACTCTAGCACAGTTGTGCCACTCGAGCCTGCTGCCGCCGAAGTCGTCGGATCTTGGCCACGTATACATACACGCCCCACAGAAGGATGGTGATGACCATCATGGGGAAGTAGATCTTCAAAAAGAGCCAAAAGAGCCCCCAATTCAGTTCCCAAGGGTTCTCCTTTGAGTTGGTGTCAAATATTGGAGTACTGAAGAAGCTCTAGAAGTTTCAGGTTAAACTCGTAGACTATGATTGACGAAGATATGAAAACAAGAAATTAACCTTACCCCAAGAAATGTGCCAGGAAGAAACACCAAGGCGAAGAAGGTGATCACGTGCATAGAAGCGGTATCGCGTTCCGTGCTCTGAGCAATATCTTCCATCCGTTTCGTCGAGCTTTCCATTCTTATCGAGGTCCCAAGGGCATCCATAGCGAATAAAGTGCTGGTTTCTGCGCTCTGTCGCTGCTGAATTGAGTTATACTGTATCCCATTATTAGGCTAGAACGTACAAGGACAGAGAAGGGGAACAGACAGACCAAATTCTTTCCATCGTTCGTGATATGGATCAATGCATCCACTCTCGTACACTGCGTGGAGAGCTTTTTCTCAGAGCATCGTATTCTCCTCAAGAAGGTTTGCAGTTCGGTGGTATGGTACTTTTTAATGCCTGGCGGGAACTCAACAGCTTCAAATAAATCCTCATAAAACTCGCGAACGTCAGCCAGCACTCCGATATTTAACACCATGACAAGTTTGGCCTCTTGAAGATGTTGGCAGGCTGAAGTCAGCTTTTGGAGCCCACTGAAGGGAAACTCTTCTAAAATTTTAATCCTTTTAATCGAGTTTTTAATCGTCTCAGTGTTTTCTTGTAGCCGCTCTGACGTAGTCTTCGCCTTCTTAGGTTCGACCACTATTGTTGATGAAGTGCCAAGCCTCTTTTCCGCATTAATCCAACGAAAGTTGTCAGAGAGAACCGAGCTAAGGCGTTTGAATGAGTTGAGTCGTGGGCCCGTTTCATCTTGATTCTCCAAGGTAGCATCAGGATTTACTGAGCTGGCCCTTTGGCCGCCATAATTGAAATCCACATGTTCGTCCTCAGACGACATGGAGATATTGTGTATTCTCTTTGAGATCTGGCGTATCTTCAGCTCCAAAACTCCAATATGTTCTTTCCATCCGTCAGCACACCAAGTGAAGGAGATAAGCTGGGTCTCGAGAGAATCGAGAAATGAGCGGGCAGTAGAGTCTGGAACAGCCCCATTCCCTATTGCTTCAATTTGTCGTCGGATTGCATTATTATTTGCCTTTGTAATAATAAATAACGACTTTCCTGTGGCAAAGTCAAAGGAATGGTGGACAGCTTGTTGACGCATGAAATAGCCATCTGCGGATAACTCCATCGCCGAAAGCTTGTATATATTTCTCAGTTCCCACCCTGACCGTCCCAGCTCAGGCGTCTTCAAGAAATTCTCCGCTATTGGAGGTAGAAAGTACTCCTGGTAGCTGGATGGTTGATGAAACTCGACGACGTCCCCACTCGGCTCTCCAAACGATAACAGAGTATCGGCATATTCGGGTGAGACTTGAAGATATGTGCAAAGGAAGCGGAATGCCTCTAGACTGCAGTTTAATGGTTTTCGGGAATTCCCAGCGGAGAAGAAACTGGCAGAGAGGGGCCGATCAGAAATCAGGTACAAATATATTATCGCGAATTCATCAGATACTAACATGTAGCGGACTATAGGATCTTTGATTCCCTTGTCAATATGCTGGCTCAGATGCTGTTTCAAAATATCTAAGCTTCGGACTTCCTTGGATTGACAGCCTGTTTAGAAGTTAGAAGGTCGGGAAAGACGTTAATGGAGGCCAGAATAACACATTACGGCTTCTTGTAGAGTAGCCTTCCCAGAAAAGGAGCCTAAACTTGGCCGAACTAGTGCTGAATAAACTCTCCCGTCGCAATGTGAGTTGGGAGTTGATCTGGCTGAGGGAGTGGATGGTGGCCTGGACTCCTTCTTGCATGCTCGGACAAAGCGGCCATGATTCTGCTCTCCCGCAGTCGCGGACAATATCGTCAAACATTATAACCAATCAGGTACTCCCAATTGCTCTATCGCAGGCCTTCTTTTTTGTTAGGACGTTATCATCAACAGCCCGGACAGGGACTTGTTTATAGCCGGGCGCATTTAAATTTGTACTCAGTGAGCTAAAATTGGGAAGAAAAACATGCATGTGTGTGGCACTGATGCAGTAAGACATGAGGTACCCAGTAAAGGGGCATACATATAGGCCAGGCTTCCAGGCTAAACTGGGTGTATCATTAGTTGGCTCTTTACACCTCATCGCCTTTGAACAGCATAACACAAGGAGGCCATACGCTCACTACTTAAATGTCTACAAATATAGCATAGTAATGCGCAAGCTCACACAAGTTGTCGATCAAGGTAACTTGGTAGGCTGGCTCCTATCACAAGGAGCATAATTCACAGGGAAATCAAGGAGAAGTGTTCCCGAGCCTTGCCGTTTCATACACACCCACTTCTTAGTGAGGCACCCGTTTCATAGAGATACATGTCAATGTACCGTAATAGTCATCAAAGCGGACTTAAGCGACACAAAACCAGACCCGAGCCGTTGCCTACCCCCACAAATTTCTCCGCCCAGTCATGTGGCCCTCTTCTTGCTTCAATCATGACGTCTTGGGCTTAATTGTCTTCGGTTTGGAGACCCTTTATAGCAGTTTTCTGGTCCTACGAAATATTTAGCTCATTCAGCTAAGCTTACGAGGACAACACTGGGTGGCTGGCTGTTTTACCTTGCTCAGACTTTGTGGGAGCTTCACAACATAATGATCATCTTCGCCCTCCTAAATGCGACTGGTCAGCCAAATAAGGTGTACATAGTTGAAGAGACAGGGGTTATTCAGCCCTCTGGTTCGGGTGCCTTACTTCGACATTGATCGTGGATGTGGGAAATTGCCCCTGAAGGTACTCCTTCAAGACGTGCATGGGAAGGCGGTAGCGTGAAATGACTTCGGAAACCATGGTGACCAGTTATCAGGATGTACGTTGTAAGGCAGACTGGGAGGCTTTATTTTCGTAAGATTCTATACGAGCTTGGGAGATGAATCTGCCTTGGGTCTTCAGAAAGTTCGTGTGTTGGCAGACTATTTATGCACCTGGTCCGGCTGTGTGAGACAAAACGAGGCTCTGCTAGCTCCCAATATGCACATTGTCCCCCTCACACCGTGAATTGTTAAAAGAAAAAAGTTCCTTGCACAGTGTGAAGCATCGAAAGAAACGCCGTGCAGCAAGCCGTGTCTTGGCTTACGATAGATCACGCCGAAGGATGCTGGCTGAGTGTGCTGCAACTACTTGTGCAGAAGTAAGGCAGAGTCAGGCTCTGCCAGAGGAAAGCTGTATTTTCTATTCCGCCTTGACAGTCTAGGTAGTTCCAATTGAACGTTTTGTGAAACAACACGGGCAGTCCCAGCCACAATAAGCTTCTTTACAAGCTCCATCATTCTCAGAGCGGGAGGCACACCACATCATCAACGGCCCAGATGGCGGTCAGATACCCCCACAAGAGACCGCCCACCCTCACACGAATGTGCTAATTCTGCAGCTGTTAGGCTCTCTTCATGGATCCTTTGCATTTTGCACAACCTTCCCTAGCCCAGTCATCATTAATGTGCGTCCACGTGGTATCCTCACATGAGCAGGTTCGGTAACATATAGTGCACAAATAACCGAGGAGAGTCGTTAATTCGCCCAGCTGCTTACTGGCAGGAGGATTGGATCAGTTAATGGCACATTGTAAGCCCCCCTCAATGCCTAAGGCTGGGTGCCGATGTCCACGTCACATGAGGCTCCTCACCTAAGGTAGCATTTGTCTCAGCCGTAGCTCGATTCCAAAGATCGATCTCCATTCAACATTATCGGTGTACGCATGCTTTCTATTAGGCCTGGCCAATTGAATCTAGCCACGTAGAACAATAGACGCAGTGCATTGTGTGGGACTTCTTTTCGCACTCATAGCTATGTTGGGCCATTGATGCAAGTCAAGCTGAAATATTCCGACTCGGGTCCAGTTCTCATTGGGCATTTCTCAGTCTCAATTCCAAAATCACGAGTCGGTATGGATTCGTCAGGCTATGGATAACTTTCGTGAATGATGTGATTGCCAATGAGCAGATATGTCCCCTCCCAACCCTTCAATTTGGTCAACACTTCCATTTCATCCTTTATACCTGAATGCTCTCTAGTATGATAGAAATAGAAGAAAGAGTTGCGTTTTCAGATTATGGTCACTGATTCACGCGATACTTTCAAATGCTTGGAGCGAAATAAGGAGTATTCGTGTTTCTATTTGCATGTCCACTACATGATTATTTATGCATCTACAGATATGCTTGGGCTACGACACCCTTCTTGGGTATGATATCTTTCTCAGGCTCAAACCACCAATATATTAATACTTCTGCTCAAGATGAACTGGCCTCTCACTTCTGTCCCATAGCTCCTCGCCACTCTTTAGTGCCAGTTAAAGATATTAAATCGCCTCTTGCGCTTTAACTGCCTCGCCAACTGCCCGGGTGTCCGTCTTGAAATCTTTGAAATTCCTAGCAGGAACCTTCTTGATAAACATCTCGTCCAGCTCCTCGTAAGTGCGGTCGGCAGTCTCAGGGTGGTAGAACCAAAGAAACACGAGACTGAAGACCGCCAAGCCGCCGAAAATGAAGGCGACCTTTGCGGAAAGATTGGCCTTGTCGGGGTTGAACAAAAGGGGGAGAACGAAGCTCCAGATCATGTTAAGGAGACTCTGGGTGGCGAGACCAATCGCAATGGTCTTGACACGGAGGCGGGCAGTGGAAACCTCGACCAGCACAGTGTAAGCGGTGGCACCAATAGTCACGTTGTACCACCAGCAGTAAATCAAAATCAAGGCGACTGTTCCCTTGATCGCGCCTGGGGTGCCAGCCACGGCGAGGCCACCGGTAAGGAACAGGATAATCGTGAGAACAACAAGACCCCAGAATGTGAGAGCGCGGCGCCCGACCTTGTCAACGAGGAACCATGACATGACATTGCCAAAAAGGGAGATGACCTGCTGGACGATCTGAAGTTTGAAGCTCATTTCGGTGCTGAAGCCGGCAAGTTGAATGTAGTAAGTCGAGTAGGAAGCGACAAAGACGATACCCGAAAGGGATTGGATACACAGAGGGGCGATAGAAACAATTGTGCGGCGTAGGTTCGACTTTCGGAAGCATTCGAGGTAGGTTACGCCCTCAGTCTCTCTCTTGATTTCCTCAAGGGTCTGGTTGATAGCAGCCAGACGCTTCTCACCATCTTCTCCCTTGCGCCCAAGACGGTTCAGGGCCTGGAGAGCTTTGTCATTTTTTCCGATAGATGCTAGCCACCAGGGTGATCTATTAATGAAAGTGTTAGATTTCCATGAGCAAGGGTTTCAAATATTCTTGGGGTCCATACTCAGGCATGAACGGGACAAAGACGGTAGCAATAACAGCAAATCCATATTGGGCGCAGAAAACGGCACGATAAGCCCAGCGGTTTTCGTAGGTTCCAGTCCAGTTCACGATGAGCGCAACCACGAATGGGCCCAGAGTATAAGCCAAAGCAGACAGGCAGGTCAGAAAGCCTCTGAGGGAGAGGGGTGCAACCTATGCCAGGAAAGATTGGATCAGTGAAATATTCAGCATTGTTTGTAGAGTCGAACTCACCTCTCCAATGTAAGAAACCGTGACAGATGCCAGAGCACCAACAGCAAATCCATTGAGGAACTTTCCACCGAAGAACAACTCATTAGTTGTAGCAACAAACTCCATCGTGATAGCGGCGTAAGTTATAACGAGACAGATCATAATCGTAGCCCGGCGACCGAGCCAATCTGCAATGGCACCGCAGCCGAGAGCACCGACAATACCTCTAAGTTGCACGATTAGCCAAAGGGCTCTGACGCATGCATGCTGAAGATAACTTACGATGCAACGGGTGCGCCCTGGAAGGCACTTTGCCAATTCGAATCTAAAACATAGCCTCCCTCATAAGGGCGACCAAAGTTTTTTCGGAACTCGGGAACACCAATGATGTTGCCGGATGCTTGGTTTTCAAAGGACACCAACAGAACGCACCAAACAGCGTAGAGACTCCAGAGAAATGCTGAAGGGTATTTCTTGATCGATTCGAGTCTTCCAAGGTCGTGCTCCTCCTGGTTGGCGAGGTTGGCAAGTTCTTCCTGCACTGGCAGGACATCAACGTGCTCGGCGTCTGACTTGGACGTCATGGCGGCGGTGGCAGCGGATTGGCGCGCTGTGAGAAGTAAACGGAACGAAGCACCTCCAAGGCAGATCAGGTCAAGAGGTTAAAACTCGAGGTAGCTGGTGGTCGCTGAAATATTCAGGCAGAGCGTCCGGGTTATATAGTCATCACACATGAAGCCTCTGACAGTAAATGATTCAGGTTGCTGCTGATCCGGGGGTAGCGTCTCCACCGGATCACGGGAGCTCCAGACTCTTGACATGGAGAAGTATGGGGTTTGCATCCCTTAGATCGGAAAATGTTGAATCCCCACGGCGGTTAAGTGTTCCTCTTCCAGGAGATTCTGGACCGAGAGGCTGGTAAACCCCGCATTGGTTGGGCAGGCTGGAATGTCACTCTACCACATGCTCTCCCTGCCGGGTGCTTAAGATGTCTATACTGGGCTTAGAGCTATCGAATCTGGTCTTGATCCCGTCCATTGGCGTCTAGAACTGCCTCCTTCTGGGAAAATTTCGGCAGCAATTCGGCTGGTGGGCGTTTGCCATGGACTAACGACTCAGCTACTTCCTAGCTCATTACGAAAAAGCTAAATGTAGACGATGTGCCGGTTTTCTTCAGCCCAATTTAGTCAAGCTTCTACAATTATTGGTGACGGGTGGCTACACACGCTTGAATCTCCAAATGAGGCCGGGCCTAAATAGTAGCATCTGATTAAGAAATTATTTTCAAAGCATTTTCTATCACAGCTTGTTCTTCAAACCATATGGAACATGGAAAAGTCGGTCTTTTTAACCGCCCCGGATGCAGTTTCTCCTTTCGGCAGTCATCTAGACTGGCGATGCCTCTATTGGGAGCTGTCTAGATTGTTGTTCTTGACCAGTTCTGGCATGATTCCCTCCACGATATCAAAGACTGGGCCAGTTCGATCTAGATTGTCATTATCGGATGATGTTATATCCACTACAAGGAGGGCAAAAGTCGGAGTCGGAACTTGCTCGTACGATGAAAAGAACTCGTCAAAATAATGTAATCCACTAATTCAAGCCCATTCTCTGAGTAAAAGTTCAATAATACCAGCGCAAGTATGTCACTCGTAAACAGTAGCACATTGGCTCTATTTCTTTTAGAGCTTGCCGTGGCAAATTTCTAAGAATTAACCTATACCTCTCGTGATTCAGCGGCCAAAGTCCAAAAGAAGCGTACCTAAGCGACAAGAGATTCAATGCTAGAATCCTCGTTCCCGTTTTGAATCATGATGGCCAAAAGTCAGAGAGTCCTACTCCCCAACTCTGATTGCTAGTAAAGCGTGTAGCCTTAAATCGTGTTCTAACCATGTAAAAATTATCCACACCTGAAATTGTCGTGAGTTTTGCAGACCTGATGATTGACTGTTTTGGCACTGTTGGCTGTGAACGGTCTCTTCTGCTTCATCGTGTCCCTTCATATTTCTTATAGGTTTATTGATTTCATAAGCAGTAGGAGGGATTATACTGCATCTAAATACCTAGGAAATGAAAGAGTGAAGTAACTAAGCAATTTATTTCAAATAATTGATCATACCAGTAGAGTTCCAGATACGTGGAAAGCGTTGCTTTTTGATTACTGTTCCAAACTTTCGGCACATGTGCTACCTATTTTCATAGCAAGGAACTTCTATTGTATCCAAAACTGACATATACCATGTAGAATTTCCCCGTGTCATTTTTCATGAGATCATTAGAAGAATCGGGGAAATAACATTTGCCACAAGCTTGATGTGCCATTTGAATCGGCTTAGGCATCCATGTGCAGGGTAGGCTACCAAGCTACCTGCATACCTTGGGTCTGTCACGTGATTACGCGAGCAGCTCGCGTTAGGCAGAGTCTCCACTTTGAGATTGCTGCCTGGAATCAGGTGGGAACTTGCGCGTTTCGCGTAAATGGCTTACACAAGCTGTTGCAGTTCACTGGGGTCACAATGCGCTTAAAAGAATCTCAATCCCCTCCTGGGCTGGGTAATAATATTTTATCTGTCATAATTATATCGATTGCATCACATCTCATTTATAAATCCATTAACAAACCAGACCTTCATTCCCACTACACCTCAGCTGTTAACATTGAACACATCCAGGCGGGTTAGCAAGTCTGGGTTTCTCATCATCATCTTTGCAATGGACCAAACTGCCTTGCCTAGGTTCTTTGAGCTATTCACACTCTCACCGACCGAAATACAACTCGAGATCCTTTCCCACTGCTCCGTGGCTGACCTCGTTTGTGTCTCATTGGCATCGCATTCCCTGCGCGCTCTTGTTCTTCCTCACATACCCCTCAAGCCCTCCTTGCTTATGGTAGAGCAACTTGGCTATTCTCCGTGCTGGGACTGTGAGGAGAAGGCAAGCAAAGAAGGATCCTTGGTGCAACACCAGAACCAAGTTCGCCCCTGTCCATGCACCAACCACAAAGGTGTCAGGTACGATCCGAGGCTGCACCGTAGAAAGATTCACGACTTCATAGGTGGTCCTAGATATTGGAACTATCTCTCTCGGAGATATCCATCGAACCATGCCGTATGCGAGGTTCCCCGGTGCAGAAAGCACTGCGCCTGCATATCGTGCCCTTTGTTCACAAGGCTACGCGGTTGGATGGGAAACGACCTACGATATTGCAGTCAATGTACTAAATTTACGCGGCGATTGAAGAAAAACAAGGGAAGATGTGAGTACAAGCCAGACTATCTCGAAATTTCGAGATTGGTAGCTTACAACGAGAACAGGCATGCATGGTAAAGTCAAAGTTCGGAAAACGCCCAACAATCACTGGACCAGGACCAATGGGCTGTCTTGGGGACGCCGGTGGTGGAACAGATGGGGAACTGCTGGAATTAATTACACGACCTATCAAGGAATAGGCCCTGAGAAAGCCAATGCTCGAATCGTGTAATTTCTTTGCGCCGGCATGTCATGTATTAATGAGAGATGATAGAATAAATTGTTTTGCTTTTTGGAGTCAATGAAAAGATATGCAACCTTGCAGTTACGCGTTTCATATATGCTGGCGAGCGGAAACATGTATCTTAGATACCATCAGTTGATGATTGCTATACTGTTAAGTACAAGGCTCGAGTTTTGAGACCCAGCGTCTACTCAAGGTCTCGCGATACTTATTCACAGGTGGTTAGAGAGCTTGTAGCCACAGTACTGTTTACTTCCTGGATATAACCGCTGGCTTTCTTCCGAGGTAACCGGGCTAGAGTGAAAGCCGACGTGTTGGCCCTGTTTCGCTACTCTGGTCCAAAGCGCATTTCTAACGGTCGCCAAACGGAATATCGAATCACGGCAGTGATTATACATTGATTTTCTACGGTCCAAGGTTAGTTTAGATCAATAGATTCTAGGTATTAATACGATGAGACACACACGCCAGTATGTGCTGCCCCTAATATCAAAATGGGATGCAATGGTTGAAAGTCACTCGACAATGATATCTCGCTACCCCAAAATAAAAATGGCTTGCAAATCAAAGCTGATACTTATTAGAGGTCTTAGGCGACAGTCTTGTCACCTACAACATCAAAATATTTGCATTTGAAGCCCTCTGCAGAATAATCGACCTCAGAGTCTTATGATACACGTGTGCTGGTGCAAACACATAATATAATCGCCTCCAGGGGCAGTTTAGACCCGAAATTTATCAGACCTGAGTGGTTTCGGCCACGGCAGCTTCCTCGATAGATATTTCCAGTGTAGAGGTCACCAGCCCAGAAACCTCTGCACACTCCCCTCTGCCCCAAGCTCGCTGAATCTTTTCAGTGGCCGTAGCATCCCCCGAAGTGTCAATCGTAATACCAACTGTGTGTTCCGAGGTCCGGCTGTTTCCACAAAGCTGCATGGTAGTTCCGTGGACCATGCTGAGGCTACTAATTTTCTCCTTCAGTTGGCTGAAAATTGGCTTGACAGATGATTTGGCAACACCTTTCCCGATGAAGGAAGCGATAGTAAGGTCAAGTACGCTGATGGTGATCATCTCCTTCAAGCAGTTGTCGGATTCCTCAAAGTACGATTCCAGACCTTGGAGGGCGTCTTGGACGAATTCATGGGTTGAATTGGCGCCGCTGGCGTGAAATTCGAATGAAACCGGCCTCTGATCTCCGGATGGGCATACCTCCTGCCTGGATTCCAGCTGAACAGCGTTTCGAGACGTCAGATCGTGGACAGTTATCTTCGGGTATTGCGCTGGGTAGGAGTGGACCACAGCCGCAAGAGTAAGTAAAGTTGAGATCAGAAAAGAGTGAATCATTGTTAATAATAAATGAATGAGCGACTTGAAAGAATGAATGTGGTAGGTACAGTGACCAGTGACAAAAAGAAATCAGTGTATGAGCGAAATACGCATGATCAATCGACCAGTTGAAGGAGGATGGGCAGCCAACCGACAAAATGCAGACCAGCAAGAGTGAAATATGCATGGCCAAGGGGCAATTAGCATAAGTTCGCTGCCATGGAGCCAACTGGTGCCGTCTGCCGTACATGATTTGAAACAACCTCATTCAGCTCCAGTGGCAGGAGATGACCTATTGTGGCTGACCAACAGATTTTAATTTCCCAAACCATGCCTCATCTAGCCCCATCTCGGTGATATGCAGCGGGCATGCATGGACAGGCGGCAATATGTGTCAGAACTTGCACCAACTCAGACGACTTGAGTGGCTGATCACAGTAATTATTTTAGAAGAAAAAAATATGTCGAGACGATCCCAGAGATGTAGCAGAATTCTTCAAGACTCAAGAAGCAGTTTGTATCAAAATGTTCGAGCTCCACGGTGTTGGCGGACAACATGGGTGGGAACAGCGGCTACTCCAAGCATGTATCACCAACAAGTAATTCTCCTCTAGTGATCGACACCCCTATCAACAGTCCTGGTTAATGTCATGCAGCATTCCCATCTCATCACACATCTTATTGTAATACTAGAATTACACATTCACAAAAAAATAGCCAACAGTCAACCTGTCTCGCCGGATGTTCGAGCCGATTTTACGGCAGACGACGCCACCGCCGGTCGTCTCGTCGCTTTCAGCATCAGATAGCAGCCTCAATTTAGCTCGTGACTAGCCTCCGGGCGAGGGATAAACTTGAGATTGGGCCCGTTATGAGTTGCGGCAAAGGTATCGTCCACCTGGAAAAGATTTGTTCTTCCCCTGATGCCCGGTAGCCCGGGAACACCGCCACCCAGATCACTGGCCTTTTCAAAGTCGAAATACCACAGAGTCTTGGCCAACACAAGGCTGCATTCGAGATACCCCATTGGCTTTCCGGCACAGCCCCTTGAGCCGGTTGAAAAAGCCGCAAAGCCACGGTCCATGATCTTGCGAGCTTCTTCGTCTTTGGCCTCTAGCCATCTCTCCGGGCGAAACTCAAATGGCTTAGGGAAGATCTCCTCGTTGTGATGGAGGCTGAAGATGTTGACGCCGAATTGCGTACCCTTGGGAATGACGTGTCCATCCACGATGAACGGGTCCGTTCCATCGTCGCCGTTGACAAGTTCGCGCCACAGAACACCTGGAACAGAGGGGCACATTCGCAGGCTTTCGTCGATAACGGCACGGAGATATCGGCAACTTGCCAGCTGGGGACCTTGACGGATCTCAGACCCCGATGCAAAGGAGGATCTTATCTCTTCAGCAAGCTTGTCGTAGCATTCTCGGTTACGAGATAAGTAGAAAAATGCGGCTGAAATCGCGGTGGCCGTTGTCTCGCCGCCTGCCCAAGAACCAAAGTCAAGTCAGTGCACCATGTCATTCAAGAATATGAAGATCGACGTACCTGCTGGGAAGAAGAAAAGAGCTTCGGTCCATAGTTCTTGCTGTCGCAGAGATTTGAAGTCATCGCCCATTGAACCTGCGATGACACCCAACAAGTCGTGCTTGGAATCAATCTTTTGAGACAATCGTGCCTTGATCATAGTGTCAAGGAGGTCAAAAAGGCGAGCACGAATACTGTTGGGCATCAGGCCACTGATCACTTCTGGTCGGATCCAAGTCAGGAGCGGCCACTGCATGCAAACGTTGATGCGCCAATCACCCAGATAGAATGCTTTCATCAGCCAGTGATTGGTCTCTTCCGTCTGCATTTTGAGATCATAGCCGAATCCAAGGTGCCCCACGATGTCGATCCCCAGCTGGCGCACGGCGGGAGTTATATTGACTGGCACCGAGGAAGCAGATGCCTTCATCAGCTTCAGTAGCAAGACATCAATCTGCTGGAGCATGACGGGCTCAAAGCTGCGCATGCTCTTTTCGCTGACAACTTGACCGATGAGTCTTCTCTTAGCGCGATGCATACCACGGTCTCTAACATTGAAGATGTTGTATTGATCTGGGTGCTGTTGGGCAGCTCGATATACATGTGACTTGGTGACTCTGTCGCTGTTGTAGATTGCTACCCATTCATATCAGTATAATGTGAGTATACGCATATTCATCTTATGAGAAAAGATAACAAAGATTCATAGGATGGAATAAAGACCTTGAAATGCACTTTCCGTGTTGAAAATCAGACGGTCAGGGCCATAGCGCATGGCATGTCCTAAATTCAATGCTGATCAGCACGTGTGAATTTGTTGATTCAACGCGAAAGCTACAAACAAACCATATGTCATGTGGTCTTCATATATTTTGAGATGAATATCTTTCCGCAGAGCATAAAACCCACCGAAACCGTTGGTGAGCTTAGCAATCAATGGGCCAGGAAACTTGGTCAGTGGATGCAAGGTAAGGCGGTATCCCAACAGGCACAGAATCTGGGGCACGCAGCATCAGCTATTTTAGAACCTGTATCTTCCATAAGAGTGTCTTACGTAAATCGTAAATGCCAAAGCGGCCGTCGGGATAACTTTCTCCATTTTCAAGATGTGATGCACAAGGAAACGTGATGTTGTCGCCGACTGAGTTGCCAGAGTTGATGAGATGGTGGTTGAGACAATCCCCTTTTCAATTCCAAATGGGAGATGTTGCATTGGTTCGCCCCCTGAAACCGCTGAGGAGAACTATGTGTGGTCTCGGATACGACGTTTACAACCTTGCAGGGCATGGTCACGGGAATTATTGGCTACTGTCTATCAACACGTTGCAACGGAATTAGGAAAAGGAGTTATGTCACAAGACGTCCTGACCCGAATAAGCACTAGTAAAATCCCTGTACAAAGCACATCATCCTCCCCCCTCTTGCAAGCCAACTGCATGAAGCACTAAAGGCAGGAAGGGGCACCCCTACACACATGCTCACGCCTCTCACGCTTCTCAGATCAAACCTCATCTTACACTGTGTGCTTCCTTGAGTGTCTCACTATGTGGAAGGTAAGATCTGGGATACAGGGTGGACTAAAAGCTCCCAAAGTAAGTCGCGCCGACGAGCGAGATCATGCCGGGCATAAGCCATTGTTAGTTCTAAACCTTATGCACGGCTGGGCGTAAGCCTTGTGGCCGGGCAAAAAGGCTGAAGTGTAATGTATCGTGACGGTGGGCATAGCATCAAGTCATTGATTTCCTGGTGTTTGGTATCCTCCCCCATCTTTTTAGCAGCTGCCGCATAAATTGCATAGCTCTCTCGTTTACAAAGTAGGTGAAGATTACAATTTCAAGAAAATATAGAATCAAGGCAGTAGTTGTTGGATTTCAAAAGGCTGGGCAGCTAACTAACTTATATCATCTCTAAATATTTGTACTGCTCGAGAACTTGCCTCGGGTTTCCTCAATCCTTGAGACGGCCTCATCAATCAGATTGTGTAGTTCGATGTCCAAAACCTCCTTTCCAACTCTCCTATACTCTTCCGCAAATATGCTCCAGAGTTCTTGATCCCTTTCATTGAGCGTTCCAGGGCGGGGATAGTAGGGGTCGTTTCGCCAGAACGCTCTCGCAATCGCCGTTAACCCAACACTATCCGCAGTGATTGGCTTGCAGCAATCGAAATCCAAGACCCATAGGGCGCTCTCGCTAAGGGTGTTGGCCTTCGTATGTCTAGGTGCCCCCAAAACGAATTCAATATCTGCGCCATCTACTCTCAGCTTCCAGTGGATTGTGGCAAGGGCGCCGCCCATGGCTTTGGCCCAAACGTCGCAAGGAAGACCAAGTTCTTCCACTTGGTCCATGTGTAGGGGGAAATTCCTGAGGCTGAAAAACCTGGAAAGGTGTCGCTTTTTGTCGCCGCTCATCAAACGTCGTCTGCCAAGGTAGATTCGGACAAGGCAGTGTCTATTCTCCGGGCTGTTGAGTATCTGTGACGGAAGCATGCCCTGTGGGCAATATCTTTCAGTCAAGACTTGGCGGCATGCTTCAGATACCGGCTTGATGAATTCGCTCATCATGGCATTGCAAGACTCGAAGCCTTCAGGTAAGTGAACCAAGATTTGACTCCAATTGCCGCTCTTCTCGATGAAAGCGAGGGGAGAGGGTACAAGAACTGATTCCAGTCCCTGGTAGACTTGTGATTGGATGGTAAATTCGTTTCTGAGAGAACGCCCAGGACTGCCGTCCTCTCTCTTCAAAGCAATCGGAAGTCCTGGATGGTTGTTGGAAGTGAGCGTAGCCCAGACGGACCCGCAGTGGCCAGCTCCAATACGTCGAAGGGGCTTGGTTGCCTCAACTGGAAGGGAATCCATGATTGAAAAGGATTCGAAAGAATGTGCAGCGACTAACTCAGTGGTCAAGAGTGGAAGTAATGTGAAGGTGATTGAGAGAAAATTTCAAAGGAGAAAGTCCGGTTTGGTTGAGAGTTCTTATGGCCCATCCCGCCTCATTAGGTTCTAGGCGAAAGTTTTAATAGGAGAGTCATGAAGTAAACTTACTTAAATTTTCACTTGGGCTGTGACGCACGCGCCACTGCTCCTTCCGTTGGATGCTCCTGTGGCACTTGTCGTTTGTTCGTGTGGCCGCCAACACTTGCCGAGTGGCAGAGAGCGAAGCCGTGTGGCCAGAGCAGTAAAATCTGGAGAGTTACAAAACGGAAAGAACTTGCATCCTTGGTCTGTTTTTTTTTTCATCCATCAAACTACCATCACCACTTGCCCTCAAGTTTTCATGGTTGGAAACCGCTCGGCTAAATCGAAAAGGCCCTCTTCCTCTTCGTCATTTAGAACGAGTGGCAGATTGAAATTTAACATCTCGCTTGGCAAATTCCTGAGAACCTTCTAATTCAACACCCGAAAAATCGAGCAGATCTAAAGTGCTTTGATGGACGATATTGTCCCTATTGCAATCAAATAACATGTCCCACTGACAAAATATGGCGTTCCAAGAGCCAGTCCCCCAGTAGTTATACCATGAACCCATAATGCAGCCATCAAAGGCGCCCCAAGAAGCGACCCAACAGTCTTGACTAACATGACGATGGAGAATATGTGACTATCTACATTCGAATTCTCATCGTCAGACTTCCGGGGAGAGATCGAGGGCGACTTCAGAAGGGAGAGGGTGAAAATTGGCAGCGCCGACCCAACAGCATATACAAAAAGCGACGGGACAAGGATCCATATCTCCGCCGCGACGGCGATTCCCATCGCACCCATGACAGAGACCACGAGGCACAGATTGGCAAATTTGATATTCGCGCGGTCGATGCTTCCGGATCCTGCAAAGCGCGGAGACCGAAGAACGCGGGGCACAATGACGCTGAGAAGAAGGAAGTTCACGACGGCTTTCCCGGAGAGCAGGTAGCCCGCCGAGGCAAAGGTCCAGTGGTACCTCCCGGAGATGTATTGGACGAGGAGTTTTGTGTCGGAACTCGCCAGCGAGGTGAGGAAGAAGCTGAACAGCAGGAGGGAGAAGTTGCGAGGGTGGCCGGTGATGATGTCCAGAAGCACACGGAGATGGGCAACGACGGAGTGGAAAACAGAGTCCCGCTTCTGAGAGTCCTGGGCTTTGAGAACCGGCGAAGACAGCAGGCCCTGTCGCTGCTCCTCCGTATCCGGATCAGAGGGGGCGTGGCCGGGTGAGAATGAAAGACCTAAGATGACGGGGACCGCTACCAGAAGAAGGCCAACGCCCAGCAGGAAGGGAAGCCAAAGGATGATTGACATGGTTGCAGAGCCCAGGGCAGGGCCAAGAAGGGCTACCACATATGAAATAGAGCTCATGTAGCCAAAGTAGGTGGCGCGACGGACAGGGTCGTCGGTGAGTTCCGACACGAGTGCATATGTGATTGAATTGAAAACGCAGTCACCTCCGAGAAAAGAGAGGATGGGGCCAGCTATAATGGAATTAGGTGGAAATATCTGATCAAAGTAGCCAACAATAACGGCCCAGGAGATCATGAATGCACGGGATATGAGGTTCAACAACAAGACGATATGACGCCCCCGACTCTGCGCGACAAAGCCAAGAGGAATCGTCATGATGAAATCTGCCCGAGTTTCAGCTTTGGTTCTTTTGAGGGGTGCCCTCGAACTCACCTCCGACAATCCATGTGGTCTCCATTACACCTTGAATCGACCCCAGGCTTTGCTGCACCTCGGGGATCTTGCAGAGACTCTCATCCACACTGCCATCCGGCTGCAACTTGGTAGGGTCGGTGCTGGAATAGTAGTCGCGACAGAGCCGCCGCTCGACGACTCGGTTCAGAGGAAGCTGGTACAGGCTCATGGCAAGGTTCACAAGCAGCAGGAGCAGGAGCACGGAGCGGATGCCCCTCGCTGGTGGCTGGCCTGGCGAGTGTGAGAAGGACGGCTCGCCATCGTCGTCAGTCGGCACGTTGGCCCCGGAGCCAGGCATTCTCCAGAGAATCCTCTTTCAAATCATGTACCGTTCTTCTATTGAACTGCCTTGCGACGATCCCAGGGTTTGTAGATGGTCGCGGATGCAGACAGTCGTTGAATTGACATCGACTGACGTGCAACGTGACGTCTGGTGTTTACGATTTGACCTGAGACATCTACTAATCAGCTGCTTTATCGTCCCCCAAGCCGCTGGGATTTGGCCTTCCAGTGCTGTAGCATTCCCCTGTAATCACTGCCAAGTGGGTCACCAAAGGGGAATGCCAAACATAATACATCTAATATTTAACATATCGCTTCAGAAAAGCCAATCAAATCAATATTTAAAAAATAACTTCTATTATACTGTGTATTGCCTTGATGTTCTTCTACTTATCGGGATAATTGTTCGATCTTCTGCTGCTCGATAATGTCAATAACCATGACGCAACACATCACTCAACAAGCTTATCAGTTGCTTATCTTATCAGCGACCACCAACACAGATGCACGTGACCAGCCATCTGACCCCTCACATCGGCGTTGACACATGCTCAATGTGATCTGTGATGTCTGATGACACCCATCAACGGTACGGTATCATTTGCTTCGGTAATCGTGAACGGCTTAACCGACCAACATCCTCTAGACCGAAGTGATAGATTCAAGTCAAAGTACCTCCTTTATAGAATAGGGGTAATGGAAGCTTGTTGAATAATTTGATGTTATCTTTAGTAGCGGCGCCATCATATAGGGTAGTTGGAAACCGAAACTGAGTCGCGACTCCATCACCTCAAACCATCATATGGAGATTACATGTCTGTTAAGGCAAGTAGTTGGGCCCAGATAGAATATTAGAATTTTGGCTGTCTCATAAATTCCTTTACGTCGTTATCTACCCAAGAAAAAAAGAACAACGCGAAATCACAATCATGCCTCCCTCCGTATAGTACCCAAAAAATCACAACAGTTAACAATGCTCGGTTATCTTGGTATAATCCCAGACCTGCTTCTTCGCTTGGCAAGTTTCCCGTGCGTCGGCGCGTCCGTCGCTCCGTCTGCACCGTCGTCATCCCGCAGTTGTTTCCCAAACTGCAACAAAATAATTCTATCCGCCAGCCCAACACCAATTCCATTTTGTCCTACCCGACATACAGGCCCCGGCGAGACCGCTAGCAGGCCCGTTGTCAATTCGTGCGTGTTGATTTCCCCTTGCGCCGTCATGGTCCAAGCTTCCCATCGGTATTGCTTGGTCCCGCCCCCTTGCCCTTGGCTGCTGCGACATTTGACGTCGCGACGCCACAGCCCTGTCGACTGGGTGTGCCGTTGTGTCTGGACAATCGACGACGACATGACCCGCCGCACACCTGCCACTCCGTTTGCCCCGCTCGCCTCCCATGAGCCAGGCTCGGCCATGGAGTACGTCGATTCTTCGCCGCTTGAAAATCCCATGCAGCGGCGTTCTCGGACGTCACGCTCTGAACGTAGACAGATCAGGCGGCTTCGGTAGTAGTCTGGCCCAAACCGTTGTGGTATGGCGACTGTTTTCATCGTAAATCTCCCACAGGCTGTCTTCTCAGTGTAGGCGATGGTGAATGAAGCAACGGCGATAGAACCGCAGTACACACATTGCTGGGGAGAGGTGTGGATGGCTCGTAGCGATTGGTGGCGAAGGGGTTGAGTTTTGAATGTGTATATGACATTTCCTAGGCAAGGTTAGCGAGCTGGAATGGCAGTACAAGGAGTTGGAACAAGTACGTACCTGATAAAATATCCAACAAGAGCAGCTCATTGCTGCCCTCATTGTAAACAGAGGCTACACCTCTTAATGTGGGAATCATGGAAAACTGAATTGGCCGGATCTGCGTAGCCTTCAGATTATCCAGGGCGGCGACTTGCAAAGGCACAGTCATCCACCTCCGCTCTCGATTCGCCGACATGAAAATGGTCTCGTCTGCAGTGACGGTGATGAGCTTGGGGGCAGCGTATCGGTTGATAGATACAAGATGAGACGACTTTATCGGTCTTTCGCATATCTGAACCGTATTGCACCCCTTCCCATTGAGATCAACGTCCATCAAACGGCCGCTATCTAGGACGAGTAGGAGGCTGGAGAGCGTCTCTACTCGCTGGGGCCCAAGCCTTTGTTGGCTGGTGTCTGTCTTGAGAAAGAAACATTTTATTACTTTCTCGTTTGAGCTCACAGACAATTCTTGCTCAAACTTTTGGTGTCGACGGTTCCATAGCAGCACCTGCCCCTTTCGAGAACAGATTGCTACCCATTCGGCATGGTCGTCAATGGCTACCAAGGATATGGGCCATGATATCTCATGTTCGGTAGTGGAAGCTATCGCTTCGCTGGTTGGTGTTGGCCCTTCCAGATTCCAAAGCCAAATCTGGTGATCAAACCCCACAGACACCATAAATCGCCCGGCGCACGCAGTGAGTAGGTAAATGTCGAGAGTGTGCCGTTGGTCAAGGCGGCGGGTTAGTGAATTGTGTGTCTCCCTTCCGGCACCTTGCTCATCCTTCTCATCTTCGACTGTCTCTGTCGAGCCATAGTATGTGGTGTGGAATCCAATCAAGGTCAATAAGAATGGGGCCAATGGGAGCATGGCCGAAATCGGTGTTGATGATGTCGAGTCGTCAATCACGGCCAACGTTGCATTCCTTGCATCGGGCTGAGTGAAGACATGAAGAGGGGCGTATGATTTGACAATGAAGCTAGAGGACTGTGTCGTGACGCTTTGTAGAAGCTCGCGCAGAGTGTCGGGCTCCTGGGCACGCAACCAGCCCAGTAATGAACCGGTCGGTGAGAGATCGTAGCTGGATGCGTGAGAGTGCCAGCTGAGAGAATTGATCGGGATTCGAGAGGCGAAATTTATGTTGGCGAGGAAAGTCAGCCACGATCGGATGTCGTAGAAGTGGCAGGCCATAAAGTAGATTAGACCCGCCGTCATTAGAAGGTGGTTTGTGCTCCAATGCTGCTTCATATTCCATATTGACTTCGGGGGATGGCTCGTCTCTTGTTGCTCGCTTTTCGTATCTTGCAACTCTGGTACTCGGAGGTTCGTGACGAAGGCGGCGATGAAAAAGGTGTAGAATATAAAGAGGTCGAGGGCGAGGGAAAGCATCGCGAATCGGCAAAAGTTCGATAGTCCGGCAGCAGGAGAGATCCATAGCAAGATCATGAGTATTGTTATGGCCTGCAGGGTTCGTACGAGAGGGGCGATACCCATGTCCATCAAGGCAAGAGAGAGCAGCTTCGCCTGGTCCGCGTAGCTGTAAACCTTCTTGACCTTGCTGATGAGATGATTGCTGCGAAATAGAATGAGCGACACTGTTCTTCTCCCAGATCCCTCCAATCATTACTTACACATTGAATAGGCATTGCGAAAGCACTAGCAGTGGGTAGCACGCTAGCGGGACTGTCGAAATTGCGATGCCAATTGAGGAAGAAATGTGCCGGCTTATCAAAGTTACGAGTGAGACCTGTTTCGCGCTTAAGTTAGAATCCTCATGGCCGTCACATGGAATGGGTTGAGCAGGTCTCCACTCAGGGTCTTGGTGGGGGGGGGTTTGGAAGAATGCGCATACCTCAAGAGCGATGGAGCCTAAGAGCCAAAGCCCGCTTCGAAGAATTGCTCGCCTTGACATAACAAGGCCGGAATAGAGGAATCCCAGGGTGTAGAGAGAAAGAATGATGAGTTGATCCCGGCTCGTGGTAAACAGGTAGTGGACCTTGGCGAGGGCGGCGGGTTGTGAGTCTCTTAGTATGTTCCACTGCGGCCTGGTTTCCCTCAGAGAGACTGAACCTTCATCCCAGTGATCTCCAGCAGTCGACCCATCCCTGGTGAGCATGGTGATGACGATGGTGTCGGCGGCGGGTTTATGGCTCTTTGTCAGGCCAAACTTCTTGAAGACCGAGGCGGGGCGGAGAGTGATATTGGCCGACGACTTGCGACGCAGTGCCCGGGACAGGTTGCCTAGAATGTCGTTGTCCGAAACAATGGCCTGGGCAGAGCAGTCCCAGTTGTCTAGAATTGAGTGGACAAACACGGTGGACGAGTCGGCGTCATGGTTGACGACCCTGGCAGATGGCGACTGGTCATGGCTGGCGGGGTGTGCACCGTGATCGGAAACGAGGTAGTTCTGGGCATCAACAGCATCGACAAGCGTGTCCTTGTCGAGGGCTTGCATCCAGCGACCGCAGACCCAGGCTTGACGGAACTCGACATCGGATTGTCCAGAAACAGCACCCCGGGCGGGGTCGATGGATATCCAGGCGTGTGAGGGCGGGTGAAGCAGCGACGCCTCGGAGTTTACAAAGCCGCAGAGGGAGAATGCGACATAGACCAGGGCATTGAGGATGGCGCCGACGACGATGGGAAGCGGGCGCCTTAGAATGAGGCTGTCGTAGATGCTGGCCGATGTCTTAATCCATTGGTGGCCTGTGTGAGGAGGCTGGGATAGCTGCGTCAGGGCTGTGTTAGCGGCTGCTGCCGTGAAGCGACGCGCGCGCGCGGCAGATGCAAGTGGGATGGCATGGGCAGCAGAGAGCGATTGGGCGAATGGAGGCGCGAGAGATAGATGAAGAAGGGATTGATTGAACGGCGATGCTTGGGATTGAGGGTGATGGGTGATCATTGCATGGCCGCCGCTACTGGACCGAGAGATGACGGGGTGCATGGGGACGTGCGCTGGTTCGTCACCCAGGAGGAGGGATATACGGGTGGAAGTAGGAGGCAGCACGGAGGGTGAGAGGAGAGAGAGGGAGAGAGACGCAGAGAAATGAAAGAAAGTGAATTACCATGTTGACACCGGCCGTACGACCATGCTCAGGTCCCATTTACGTGACGGCGATTTCCTGGCTGCGTGCCTGGGCAAGAGGCGGGGGCTGGCAAAGACTCCCGCATATGGGCACCGGGATTGCTGGGGAGAGGCGGCGTGGATGGATGGGCGTCTCTGTCTGGTGCCAGCGAACGGACGGAGAGCGGAGGATGCAGGAGGGAAAGAGAGAGAGACGCTTCCCAGATGGCAAAGCTGCTAGGTGGGCGTGCGTCGCGTGCGTCACGTCGTAGTTGCGGCCGTGTGGTGACGTTCCTTGTTGGATCCTGCAGTGCGTGTGTGTGTGTAGTAGCAAGCAAAGCAAATCACAGCCAGCCAAGCAAGGCTTTTCTTTTCGTTGAAACAAAAAGCAATTGCTCCATCCAATCTCCAGCGAAGCCGAGGGCTGAGCAATGCATTAATTATCGACACCCCGGCCCGCGGAAAAAGGATGATCCCAGCCTATCAGCGCCCGACACGCCTTTTTTTAGCCGTGCCGGGGGTGCATCTGGCGGCAACGATGCGACGCAAATGCACATCCTCATGCCCTGTAACGTCGGTCTTAAGTCACGATGTTGGCGACTGGCAGACTGACTGGATGTCTGCCTGTCGTGGATGGTCACAAAACCCCCTCGCGCGCCGGCGCTGGTACTACGACGCTGGTGCAGACACGACACGGACGGATCGTTGCGAGATCTGCTAAACTAGAGTCGAGCTAACGCCTGCCAGACTCACCTCAGGACCCTGAGCGCCTGATTGGCGGGGCCTTCCAGCCGTTGTCTGCCATGTTCTAGCTGTCTCAGCCCGCTGTCAGCCGCCTTCCCCCCACTAAACCGTCGCTACCGTCCAGCGACTGATGTGCCTGGATTCACAACTGTTCAGTGGGAATAGGCTCTCAAATCCAGTGCGCATCGGCGATTGGCCCTCCCCGCAGACCCACATCTCTTGCCACCCTCTTTTTTCGGGTTTCCTTTTTCCACGTCTTGGCCGTCATTCGTCCTTCCAAGTGCTGCTTTCTCCCTGCCTTGATTTCCCCCTGCCGACTGGCTCTGCCCCTGTTCTCCAAAAAATTTGCTGCTTTGATGTGTGTGCTTTTAGCGAGATCAATCGGTGTGGGGTCGATGGGATTTTCGTAGATCCTAATGCGCTTCGGCTGTGTGTCCTTGATTTGATTTCCAGCTGGATCCAGGATCGCGAGCTACTAGGTAGTTTGCAGTGAATGTGCGCCCCTTTGCTCGATCGCTCGCATAACGTTTGGGTTTTCCCTCTTCTCAGATCTCATTCCCGCCGTTTCCGCCTCTTGTGCCGGGTTGACCCCCCTTCTCCCATGCTTTCCCAGCAGGCGTGCGTCTACACGTGCACGTACATAAGGTACCGCACCCACCGTTACCTGCCACACGTGTTAGTAATCCTTGAATTCAGGTGGTGATCTCTCTCCAATGACTCGTTGGTCTGGACAGGTTGCCGCTGCCATGATGCCGAGAAAATAGCGCACATGCTATCTTCCTGCTGGGTCCCGATAGCAACACCGCTCTTTGTTATTGCATTGCTCCCTGCTGCTCGTATAAGGTGCACTTGATAGCAACACGCCTCCTGCATCCCATAGGTGCTTGAACTCTCAGATGGATGGCAGAGTGTCTCAGGAGCTATGGTGCGCGTTAGCACTGATGATTAGCGTGCCCATACCCTGAAATTAGCACATGTACACCTATGCTGTAGTTAGTGGTGTTGCGGGCTCTCCCTAGTGCGGGAAAGCACCAAAAGTGGAGCACACGTTTTGCACAAGCATGAGTCATGAAGGTAGTGCAGAGCTGGTAGCTAGATTGGGAACTCCACGTGACGGAGCCTCTCTTCGCTTATCTTATCTTTGCCCTTGTTCTTCGGCGCCTGGCAAAACGTAGCGCCGAGTGTTCGTGGGCGCATCACCACGAAGGAGAGTTTGCGTTGTTTCCAATCGACCAGCCATCGTATGGTTTCCCACAGGGCTGATGGAACCGATCGCACTCGTTCATGTGGTGTAAAACGCCATCGCCGTTCCCTCCTTCGATCTCGATAGAAAGCGAACACCCCTCCCACCCTGGTCGAGTAGCAGCATCTCATGCTGCATCATGGCACACCCGCCGCAAGCACTGGCGAATCGACCAGCCCACACAGAGTCCTGTTGATCTTCCAGCTGCATCATGGCACCACCACCCTCGTCAACACATGGACAGTGCGTGGCGTCATCTGGCAAGCGTTTCATGCGATGTACAATGCCACGAGTTATGCGAAGCAACCCGAAACGTAGCACTCCTGCCTGCATATGCGAAAGGCTGGTTTGGTCGCTTCAAAACAGACCAAACTCTCCACGCCTCATGCGCCATCACACTGAGACCTCTCGCTTGAGATATCCTCCCACGTAGAGACATAGAGTATCGTGCTCTTATCTCCTTCAGAAGATGCTATAGGGACGGTTTCCCTACGGAGCTTCGACGCCCGTCTGCTATCCCGGTTGCCGTGTACTGCCGCCATCGATTGAATACCCCGATCCGTTTGTAGTCGCCGCTCGAACTTGCCCGACCCTCAGGCATGATTGCGTCTCGGGCGTGATTGCCTCTCGAACTCGCTCGACTCTTCGAAGTTATTGCTTCTACAAGGGTCCACGTTGGTTGATGCGGGCCTGTTGGCCTCCCCGTAGCGCACACACCGACATTTCGACCATTTCCGATATTCGCCGCTTGGGAAGCTCGTGGAAGGTGACTGATGGATGGAGAATATGTTGAGAAGATCTCCGGCACAATCGAGGTGTCTCGCAGCCCCTCCTGACGATATTGTATGCTCGGATGGCCGATGTATCAGCCGTGCGGGCAACTCGTTCTTAGCAAAGGCTCCGTCGGGCTCGTTCGTGTCGTTTCGTCTCAATGAGCGATGACTCTCCGAGTTCGAAGTTGTTGATGAGTTCATCTCAATGTGTCTAAGGCACACACGACGAGGCGAAGGTTGACACAACGAGGGAAGGCCGTTGTTCTGTCTCCGCGGTTTTGTTGTACCTCCATCACCTCTTATGGTTGTTGATATCATCCGTTGTAACAACATCCGCCGTTGGGAGTTCAACAGAATGTTTTCCCTCACGTATCGACGCTGTTATCGACGCTGTGGTCTGGGAGCGGTCCAAGTGCACGGTACCGAGTCTAGCCAACCTGGTTGAAGTTGGAAAAACAAGTCCCGCAAAGATGGGATGGGGCTGGCGCCAACAATGCTTCTCCTCATGCAAAGAGATTGCACAGTCAGCCGTCTCAAACTTATTGCCGGAAGCTGGGATAGCGATGCGAGTTGCCAGGAGCAGCCTCTGCCATGGCGCGATTTTGTCAGTCGATAATCAAACTGCTCATGCAGTCCCTCCAACGGCGTGTACGAGTTCGTCCTCTCGCAGGAGCCTTGATGGCACCTCTGTCTTAGCCCTTTCCTGGCTCACTTCCCTTCATGAAACGCCATTAGTAACGGCTTGATGATCTGTTTACAAGTCGTGCCGGGACCAGCGGTTAAAGATTTCGCTGGGATACTACGTGCCGAGGGTCGGAGCTTCTCGAAGCAACCCTACCATGACGACAATGATAAGGCGGCGGCGTAGGCGGCAATACGTCCGGATAGAGCTGGGTGCAGGCGTACAATCCACAACCTTGCAGCCGAGGTTCTCGACATTAGTGATTGCTAGCCGTAGATGAGGCGATCCAGGCTGGCAGCTGGTTTGAAAAACGGTCTGTTCAGCTGGGTCTGTAGATGTGTGGTCGGAGGAACGGGCAAAGCAACGCACCAAAGGGGCAAAACCTGCAAGAATATCGAGCTGGAATGCTAATCTGGGGTGATTAATGGTCATGTAGCATACGTAGACGTAGGGTCAAGGAGGGAACACGGCCCCGGACCTCACGACAGATGGGAACACATGGCATCAGGAGATCTGTATTACACTGCTATTGGTAATCGGTATTGACAGGAACAGATCAGATGGTGCTCTCCAGGGCTTCCGAAGGAGATCACGCCAGTATCATCCATGTGCCCCCAGCTAACAGCTAACGTGGATGGGGAGTCAGACAGCCCGAGCGCCGATCCAAATATCAATTGGGATGTCGTGGCCCAGCTCCTTCTTCTTTGCTGTCCAGCCGCAGCAGCCAGAGCCAGTAACGAGCCTCGTGCGCAGCCCTTTGCCCCCCATCCGCCCATCGTCGCTCTGTCGATGTCGTCCCATGGAGCGGGGAATGTGTTCTGACATGTCTGCTGGCGCAATTATTCACATCATGGCCGCCCGTAAGACAGCGCCGGCTCCAGGGTCGACCCTGGTCCGCCACCCCCGCCGATGTTTGCCGTCTGTTGGAGTCATCCTCACCTGGGGCGACAGCATGACAGCCTAGGGGGACGAACTAGCATGCTTCAGGTGACATCTGCCACACCACGGCTTTGCTCCGGGTTGCCTAGGGCTTCCTTCACGGTCTCCTCCTCCGTCTCTGGCATCTCCACAGGGCGGTACCGTACCAGAGTGTGCTGTTGCGTGTGGGTCGGCCAGATCCATCCAATTGCTGCTCATGCTGTTTCTTTATTTGACCCTGAGGGGGACCATCCAAGTGCCGCCTGGGGACTGTTCCTCCTCAGTTGCAGCCATTCATCCCATCCTTTGACGTCCTGGAGAGGGGATGAGATGACAGCCCGCCCCTTCTGTCCAACCGTTTGTGCCTTGGTGGGGAGGCCTTGCATACATATCATACGACGTCGTTCTGGACGCAGCATCAGAAGATCCACCTTGTCCCAAAGCGAACACTTGAATCTGCTGCGGTGGGAATGAGGCGGCCGTGGACTTCCACCTGCATGAACCGATGAGGATAAAACCAAATCACTGACCCCAGAGAGAAGGAAGAGAAGAAGAGCAGCAAAGGACATAGAGGGAGAGAGCGAGCGATTGAGAGCCCGCGATACCTGCGGTGACCCAAATACCCGCGCCTCCCAAGGGCATTTTCGCCCTGCCTACCTACACAATGGCCGAGGAGACTCAGACCTTGCCGCAAGTCAATGGCCACAATGTCTTGGACGTCTGCGTCGTCGGGGCGGGTCCGGCTGGGCTGATGCTTGCGTGAGTAACCTTGTTTTTTTCCTTTCTTTTTTCTTCTGTGTCTGGTTCCTCTGTGTATGTGCCATTTTACCTTGGTAGCATTACACTACATGTGCATCGTTCACACGTGGGGGGGAGGGGGAGGGGTTACGTTTCTTTCCTTTCACCTCACCGTTTTTTGATATATTTTTATCCTTTTTTTTTTCTGTGCTGAGCGGAGCCCTAAAGAATTTTGTGTATAGGGATAATCTCGCTCGCTTCGGTATTAGCAAGACGGCCGTGGTGGATGAGCGAGCGACCGAGACCACAGCCGGTCGCGCAGACGGCCTGCAGCCCAAGACTATTGAGACACTGCGGATGCTACGGCTTGCAGATGACCTGCTCCGCATTGGCACCAAGGTCTACGACATCACCATCTGGGGTTACGGCTACGACAATGCCCTCAGCCGGCTGGGACGGGAGCTGCACTACCCCGAGGCCAGCGTCGATGTGCTTGACCCGTACATTCTCCTGTGCCACCAGGGCATGATCGAGGGCACTTTTATCCGGGCCATGAGAGATAGAGGCCTTGAGGTTGATAGAAACACGTACTTTGAGACGTACCAGCCCTCCCAGGATGGGAAGACCTTGGACATTAAGCTGAAACGACAGAGCGAGGAGCAACTTATTCATTCTAGATACCTGGTTGGATGTAAGTCGCACACGACCGCCTTCTTCCCACTCTGTGTCCCTTCTCCCTCTCCCCACATTTCAGTATCAGTATCCCCATTTGGCTAATCTGTCGGTCGCACCAGGTGATGGTGCGCATTCTAATGTGCGAAAGGCCATGCCTGGCTGTATCCCAGAGGGTAGCTCCTCTGTGTCAGTCTGGGGTGTCTTGGACGGTTGGGTAAAGACGGAATTCCCCGACATCTGGTCCAAGACAATTGTGGTGCATCCTGTACACGGAGCCGTGCTCATCGTCCCTCGGGAACGAGGCATGACACGGTTCTACATTGAATTGAAGGCCGACACGGCCCTCTCGGCACCTCTGCCGGCCAACACCAGCCAGGAAGCCATCATGGAGCGGGCACAGCTCATTCTGGCACCGTATAACCTCGAATGGATGAACATCGAGTGGTTTGGACACTATCAAATCGGCCAGCGGGTGGCTAGCAAATTCATGGACGAGACACACCGCGTCTTCATTGCCGGCGATGCGAGTCACACCCACTCGCCCAAGGCAGCGCAGGGTATGAACACAAGTTTGCATGACTCGTGGAATCTTGCCTGGAAGCTCAACCTGGAACTGCGGGGACTGGCGAAACCTGTCTTGCTTGACACATACCAGGAGGAGCGGAGAAAGATCGCCCAAGACCTGATCAACTTTGATTACGAACATGCCAACCAGATCGCGGCCGGCGACAGCGAAGCCCTGGCGGAAAACTTCCGCACCAACATTGGCTTCATGTCTGGAATCGGCGTCAAGTATGCCGACAACGTCTTGAACCACGGATCCAACATGGCTGTATTCTCGGGCGTCATCCGGCCAGGCTCGATCCTCCCGCCGGCCAGAGCGATCCGGTACGTCGACCACAACCCCGTCCACGTGCAGCTGGACATCCCGAAGCTGGGCCAGTTCAAGATTTACTTTTTGGTGGGCAACGTGGCCGGTCCCGCCGTGCGATTCTTCCTGGGAGAGCTGAGCGACTACATCGCCTCAGAGACATCATTGCTGGCTCGTGTGTCCAACCTGGCGCGGGAGTCGTACATCGAGAAACCGAGGCTTCAGGCGCCGGAGGATTTGTACTACAGCCACGAGCGGTACCTCACCGTGAGCGATCTATTCACGGTCGCACTAATCAGTGAGTTTTCTCCCTCGGGAATTTGACGAATGGATCTGTGGGGTGGATCATCGTGGCTAACACCTGAGACAGCTGCTACCGCGAAACAGGACTTTGAAATCGTCGATCTCCCTCAGCTCTTCTCGGCCAGCCCTTGGACCGTGTACCTGGACGACTCGGCATCGATGGACAGCCAGGCGACGAGCTGCATGGCGAAGTGGCTGGGAGACCTGGCACCGGGAGAGGTGGCCATTATCAACGTTAGACCAGATGACTATGTCGGGTCGGTATCGCGGTGGAACGCCATTGAGGGTGAGGCAGAGAAGGCCGCGGAGTGGCTTCTGTCGTACTATGATGGATTCCTGCAAGCTTAATATGTAATACAGCGGACGTTTTCCCAATCAGACACCAAGCAAGGCCCTTTTAATGAAAATGCATATACGTTTTTCATCAACCCGTACTTCTGATTAACTGGTCTTGAGACAAAGCCCAGCCGGTCCATCCCCCATTCACTGATGTACATGGCACGCTGATCCCCGGCCGGCAATGTTCGACGTTCACTCTCTTCTTATCTTGCATGTGTTTACCGGGCCCTTGACAAGGGTAGCAGCCAATGCCGAGGAGCGGAGGAGCATGCAGGATGGGGAAGAATTTGTCAGCATTTATCACAGGCCAGGTGGAAAATCATCGAAATTGTGCGGCTGGCGATTGCGACGTGGCCTTCGTAGATTGCGTGCTTCTTGCATTTTCCATCATCTAGAATTATATCATTCGAGTCTCCAAAAAGTATTGTTTCTCACTGTGTCTGCGTATGCTTTTTGCTCGAGTTACCGGTTTCGCAAACCGAGAGCTCAGAAGGATCACCAACTGCCGACATGGGTGTTGGGGAAAAGATGGCTCCCGTGGGAGAGAAGAACCAGCCCGTGTTAGTGCCCGAGCCTCAGCAGCAGCTCAAGCAGAGTGAGAGAGGAGAGGGCGAGGCCGAAAAGGTCCCCGTGGCTGACCATGTCCGCGCCGTCTCCGACTCGGACGGACTGGACACTGAGGAGAGAAAGGCCCTGGAACGGCGTCTCCGCTTCAAGATTGACTTGAGACTCTGCACCATTGCCGGGCTGCTCTGTAGTCTGAACCTGCTGGACTCGGGCGTCATCAGCTCGGCGTCGGTGACGTCCATGGTGACTGACCTCGGGCTCTTTGGCAACCGGTACAGCGTCAGTATCTTCATCTTCACCATTGCCAGCATCGTCTTCCAGCTGCCGTCGACGCTCGCCGTGCGGCGGTTTGGCCCGCGGCTGTGGTTTGCATCCAGCACGTTCGCCTTTGGCCTCATCACCATGTGCACTGCCTTCATCCGCAACTGGCAGTCCATGATCGCCCTCAGGGTCCTGCTCGGCGTGGCCATGAGCGGCATCTACCCCGGCCTGACGTACTTGATCTCCACGTGGTATCCCCGGCGCGAGCAGCAGACCCGTTTCGCCCTCCTCCAGAGCGGCCAGGTCATCGTGCTTGCCACGGGGAACATTGTCAACTTTGGGCTGAACCAGCTGGACGGGAGGGGCGGCATCGCGGGCTGGCGCTACATGTTCCTCGTGCAGGGCCTGATCACAATGGTCATCGGGTTTGTCACGTTCGTCTGGATCGTCGATTTCCCGGAGGAGGCCCACAATTCCTTCTGGTTCCTGACCAAGGAGGAGCAGGAGCTTGCGGTGGCCAGGATCAACGAGGACCGCAGCGATGTCGAGCCCGAGCCCTTCAGCTGGGGAGCCGTCCTGGCCAACCTGAAGGACCTCAAGATCTACGGTTTCGCCAGCCTGTTCTTCCTGCTCAACCTGGTGTCCACCTCCATGGCCTACTTCCTGCCCATCATCCTGCAGAGCGGGATGGGTTTCAGCGAGAACCAGTCCATCCTCCTGTCCGCGCCGCCGTACTACTACGCAGTCATCCCCGTGCTTTTCACCTCGCTCGTGGGGGACAAGCTCTGGCTCCGGGGCCCCGTCATCATCTTCAACTGCATATGCCTGATCGTGGGCTTCTGCATGCTCGGGTTCGTCGACCAGGTCGTGGTCCGGTACATAGGGACGTACCTTGCCACGGGCGCCTATATCAGCAACTGGGCGGCCCTGAGCACCTACCAGGCCAACAACGTGGCTGGGCAGTGGAAGCGTGCCGTCACCGCCGCGGCTGTGACGGCGCTGAATGGGGCAGGAGGTATTGCAGGGAGCTACATCGTGAGGCAGACCGAGGCACCGCGGTACATGACGGCTGTTTGGGTCTCGATTGGCTCCCATCTCATGATCATTTGTGTGGTCTTGTTGATGTCTGTTTACTTTTTATGGGCTAATCGACGAGCAGACCTTGGGAAATTGGTCATTGAGGGCGTTGAAGGGTTTAGATACACTCTCTAGACATGCTCGGGTAGCTGCAAGTCAATCGATCAAATTGGTTCAAGTGTGCTGGCAAACTGCCTGAATCAATAGTCGATTGCGAATGACTAATTGTAATGTGAATTAAGACTAGCATACCGCACATGAGAAGTCACTGGGGATCGGATGGCAAGAATGGCTCAGCTTTTATGAAGACATGCGACAAATATCTGATCATCCGGGTACCCTTTCAAGTCGCTCACATCTTTGTACTCCCTATCCGACAAGCTACTCAAAATACTCGAACATCCTTTCCATTCCTTCGGCAGTCTTTGGTATCTTGTCTGAAAAAGGTGTTTCATCTTCAGGCCTCTCGGTTAGATCTGGCATGGGGATGGTTCGCTTGTCGTCCACACGCACCATCCAGTCGTTTCTGAAAAAGTCGAGACTTAATTGATACCCTTCCTCGCACTCGTGAAAGGTGATTGGAGGCAATAGAAGGTCGGGCGCTGGGATTTCACTCCCAACCACGACGAATTCTGGAGGCATCGGCTCATCCCCCCAGCAGGCTGCGAAGTTGATAGGCGGAAGAGGTGACTGCTGGCTGTCCCTCAAAATGAAGATTTTGTCTCCAAAGATTTTGATATTGGCGTTGTTGACTGTCACTTCATTGCCAAGAAGAAGTAAAGGTGCACTTAGAAGTCGTTTGCGCGAATAGCTCTGGCATAGCTCGTAGCATTCCATGGCCTCGACCTTCTTCGATGGGTTGAACATGGGAAAGGAATGCATCGGGCAACATGCATCTCCGTCTTGTTCAAATTCTGCTAGGTCATCTTCCTCTCCATCCCATTCGTCTAAACGGCCCGTAAAAGGCTTGCTTGGGCTGTCTAGGAGGGAATCTATGGTGCCCTCCGTCAATCTCCTTAAGCCCTTCACATCTTTGCGCACATGAGAAGAGAGGAATGTCCAAATCTCATCATTAGAGATCTTCTCTTCTATCTTCTTCGAAGCACAACGTGAGCGGAACGGGCGGTTTCCGACTTTGCAGTTGAAGTAATCTAGCATTGCTACGACAGCGCAATCGTTGATATCCGTGTCAGTGGTATTCCCGAACCAATAGCTGTAACCATTGGTCACAAAGTTCATGCCCTGGAACTGTTTCCAAAGGTACACTGATCGATGCGGAGCCGTCTTCTCGAGGCCCCAATGCAAGGAATTAGCTCTTTCAAAGCATTCATGGGCATGTAGTGATAGATGTGGATCTTGATCGAATACACTTTGACTCGTCATGTAGCATGCCTCGCTGAAGATGCGGCCGATCGTGGGATCATGCTGGAGATCAGTGTCCCTAAATATCAATTCCGAGCGGAGGAAGATTTTAGATCCGTCCAAAAACGGTCGGCCCTCGTGCTCATAGCTTTGATTGAAAATGATACAGGACATTTCCTCCACGTCATTGAAAGACACGTCATTGACCCGTAGGACTGGGCTATTGTGCCCTCCAGTTATGTAAAGGAGAAGCGTGTACTTTGAGACGTGGGAGCGAGCAGAGTCATAGTATGGTGTGTCCAAATGGCTTTCGAAGTTGCCATCTCCAGGAGCAAACCGGTTGTACCTGAAAATATAATTGACAAACTCGAAAGATGAGCTGAGGCTCCCATTTTCTATCTTATCGAGTACACCACTGGATCGAAGTGTGCTTGTCAAGGCCCTGCTCAAGATGGATGAATGAAAAATGAAGCGATCACCCCCCCGAGTCTCCTTGTTCAGTGGAGGAACATAGAGATCCAGAGATGATAGAGAATTGAGTAAAGCGCCAGTGAGTTTGTCCTGAATCTTGCATGTATAAATTTCATGCTTTGGAGAGGGCTGCGTAGACTCGCCGAGTGACGTTTTAAGACCATCCTGTCCGTGGTCTGCCATACTCGCCTCGAACCAAGGGTCTAAATGGACGATGTTTTCAAAGTTGTGATGCGAAAGATCTGCTGCTCTGACAAACACGGCGAAAAGCCTGGGTGTACTTACGCATTGTATGAAGGGCTGAGTGTTCCTGTCCTGAAGTTTGCCGTCTAAATCTTCAATGAATTTGACGCATGTGAATTCTGCTGAAGGGTGAAATGAAAGTATGATTCCATTCATATATATCGGATCCAAAGGCATGTTGATAATCCCAACTAGTTCTTTTAGGAGCTTTCTTTCATGCTCGACTAAAAGGCCATGATAATCAGCAATGAACAAATCGCGTACTCCAGTTGCGAGAATTAGTCTCTGTTCGGATCCCAGAGCCTCTATATTTGTGGCACCCAGGTGGGGATTTGATACAAGATCTCGGAAAAAGGCGAGAGATCGGAGACGGATTGCCTCTGGCGTGCTGGAGTCCATATTCTGTCCATCAAAGATTAGAGGGTAGAGCTCTGCAGTCGGCTCCAGACCGCGAAGATATAGCTGCATCAAAGCGGTGTTTTCACGCTTCTCAAGAGAGAGGAAACACTTGATTCTAGATTCATCAATCGAAAATGTTCCATCTTGATGGATGGTGCACCATCTGGCACACAAACCCGTTTGCTGCATAGTCGCGTCGAGCGCGACATCTTGATCACTCTCATCCCGCCTCGTTGGACCTGAAACCCTTTCTGTGGGGTAATTAGCCATAAACTCTGCAAGAAGAAGAACACATATGAATGTTACTTGCTGCTGAGGGATTCTGTTCTTGGTGTGTCAAGCCTTCGCTTCATCGTGTAAACAGACTGCGCCCTTGGGAGGAGTGCTAATTACAAGTTCAACTAATTAGGCGACCTTCCAACCTAGAATTAAGGGCAGCCAAGCATTATATATACCTGCTCTCGTTTGGCACTAAGACGCTGGTGGATCACAATACGACCGACACGAGGCAGGCAAGAAATTGGTTGGATGGGAGGACGGGAAAAAAGCTGAAGCATCTCAAATGAGAAAGCCTTTCATGATTGATATTCTTGTACCTATTCATGTTAAACGCTGCTTAATAAAGTCGTCTCGTTTTGCGGGCTGCCCCTTCTCGACAGCCACTGTCACTGGTGCCTTCTGATCAATCCTAACAGGGGTCTTCAAATGATGACACGCTTGGGTTAGGCACAGTTTTTGCCTCCTGCTGCCTAGAAAAAATTAGTGGGAGCGGCCTCTCAACTAGTTTGAAATTCATGGCGGGCACCGGCGATGTTGAAGCTGCATTCGACATATATGTATGCTTTCACTAGGGGTAAAGTTGCGTGAGCTCTTGTAGACGTATGACTGCCACTGGCAATGAATTTGAGAAGATCATGTATGATTATGAACATGAGTGATCGAGTTTGCTACTACAATCACTTGGGGTAACCTAGCTAATTATCGGATGTATGAGGGCCGGTCACCCTGACCACTTCGCCTTCTCTGTAAATGACAGCCTTGGAGAATTTTCTCGCTGTGATATTCTTCTCTGCAAACAGAATATCCAACTCTTCAAAAGTCCGATTACCGGTCTCGGGAAGGCGGAAATATGCCCATATCAGCGATACGACTGTCAGGCCAGCGGTGAGGAGCCCTGATTTGCCTCGCCAGTTTGCGTTCTGGGGATTCAGAATGTATGGCGAGACAACGCTGTTTATTATATTCAGGACCAGGTATGTCCCTCTGGCCAGTGCGATTGTTTTGGATCGCAGTCGTGTAGATGATACCTCGGCGTTGATGACGTACGGCAACGGTCCCATAGTCAGGCACCACACAGCAAACCAGACCAAATAAACGGCCGACGTGGCATACCCAAAGGCTGAGTTGAGAGGACCGAAAGCTAAGAAACCGACAACCATGATGATTAGAGCCAAAGCCAAATTCCCCCAGAGGTAGAGAGGCCGGCGGCCATAGTTTCCTGTGAGGGCAGCGGATGCGAGATTGCACAACAAGTGGATTCCTCCCATACCCAGAGTCATCTTGAATGAATCAGACGGGCTCAGGCCTGCTTGCTGAAAGAAATAGGCCGCATAGCTCTGGACGACAAATCCAGTGAAGATCTGGCTTCCCCAAGTAAAACATGCGATCTCGGTTCTCCATAGATCATGGCCCTTGAAACAAGCCAGAAACGATGTTTCCTTGGTTGTTTCTTTCTCCAACTTGTCCGTCTCAATCATCAAAGCGACAGCCTTCTTGGCGTTCTCCGCTGCAATTTCTTTGCTTTTGGCTGAGCTGAGTCGGATAACAGATCGTTCAGCCATATCATAACGGCCCTTTCGTACGAGCCACCAGGGCGATTCTGGACAGAAAGCAGCCAACGGAAGGATGATAACGGGCCAGAGCCACTGAATTGCAAACGGGATGCGATAGGCCCACTGACTGTCCCAATCATTGAGACTGAATAGAACTGCGTAAGAAAAGAACTGACCGATACCCCAGCAACAAACGACCCAGGTTTCCAAGTAGCTTCTCAGGATCAAGGGCGCGATTTCTGAAGAGAACGCTGGGGCTAAGGTTGTGAACATGCCCCACGGAATCCCGCACAACAGCTGCCCGACGAATAAAACCTGTACATTCTGCGCAAAGAATTGGATGAAGATAAGCCCTATGAGAGCAATAAGACCACCATGGAGCACCGGCTTGTGCCCGAATTTATCGGTGAGATGGCCATTGAGTATGATCCCGACCACGTTACCAACAGGCGTAGCCATTCCCAGAGCCATTTGCCACTGTGCGGTCAAGGTGTACTTGTTGCTGCCGGGAACTTGGTGACCGTATTTGCGCTGAAACGCCGGAAAACCAAAAAGGCTGCCCATCAAAGCGGTGTCATAGCCATCCATGATGATGGCCAGACTTACAACCACTGACCAAGCCACTGCTTTGGGATACAACTTGACTCCTTGAAGAAAAGTTGTATTGTGTTCATTTTCCGTAGCTAGATTAGCATCTTCACGAAGCTTAGACCAGCCTCGCTCTTGGTGATCATCGACAGTTGGGGAATCGTGGTGTTCGTAGTGGGCAACATCACCCGAACTGTTCTCATTGGCCGCATATGGAGTCTTGGTGGCGGGGTTTGCCGTCATATTGCTCTTGATTAAACCAAAACAGATTGAGGGTATATAAACGAACACATGTCTGACATGGCGCCATGTGAGCTACTTATACTCAAAGCTTTGCCCACCATGTCTTGAAGGTTCTGCATCAAACAAGCTGTCATGTCCCACGAATAGCCTGGAGCCAACGAGCAGCAGCTCGGCAAGTTCCAAACTAGGAAGTCCTGGCTGATTTCCCCCAGGATTTGGAACAAGGGGGCTGTATTTCCCCATGGGGTAGACCACGCTTGATGGGTAGTGGCATGCTGATGATCTTTGGAGGCCCTATTGTCTCCCATTTCACGTACCTACTAACGAAATCCATGTCTATTTAAATCGGGCCGAACACTTTTGGGATCACCAATCATTTCAGTAATTGATGCATGAATCCACCAGCATCTCTCCAATGTGTGTCTCGTATATATGACCTCACGTTAGCCGATGCTGTATGCTTCCATCGCCTGTTTTAGCGGCTGAATGCTTGCCATCCCAAATTACCTAGTGATGGATGCCACCCCTTTCTCACAGTTATCCACCTGAACAATGCAGAAACATCCCGGAAGATGCGGGGTTTCCAACTGCTCACGACGCAAGGATGGGCAAGCTTGAGGCGAGAGGCGGAGACTAGCCCAATCTGGGGCGGAAATGTACTCTGGAGTCACGGACTTGTGAGAGGATGCGATCATCAGGAATATCGGCACATCCGACCCCTCACTCTTCCACCCGCCCTACATTTGGACCCCTTCCGCCTGCAACTCTGGTGATCCCCAACATTCGATTTACAAGTGAATTCGTGCCGCTGGCTTCCCAGTCAACCACGGATGATCCCGAAATGAGGGCGGGAGCGAAGCAGATCGTCTGGCAATCGGCTGCCACTCCATCAAGGAAACGAACACTACAAGATGAGTGAACACAGCGCGGGCACCCAACAGTGATGGGCAGAACCCGGAGAGGCAAGATAAAGAGGAAAGTACTGACATTTTGCGTTAGAGATTTACCCTGCCAAAGCTGCCGTGCGAAGAAAAAGAGATGCTTTCATACCGAGGGAGCTGAAGGGCCAAGCCGTCCGGATAGGCTTAGTAGAGTTGTGACTTTAGGATTGGAGTCAAACTCAGAGATAAATACACGGGAATCGAGTCTAAGTCCAGGCCACGAAAGGCCATACAACCCCGAATCTGTCCTGTCGTACTTGACCAAGGATCCCCCTCGGTCCAATGGGGGTGATCCCGCGAGACAAGATCCTACCTTTGTTGAATCGGCAGCCACTCTTTCAAAGCATATGGAATCTCCCGAGGAAAAGTTGAGACGACAGACTATTTGGTACAAAAGGTACAAATCCAGACTTGGCACACCAACACTATCGGAGCATCATAGAGCCTACCTGGAAGAGGTCGGCGCGCTTCTTGTTCTGCCAAAAACAACAACAGATGCGCTTTTACCTCTATACATCTCCCTCCTAGATGATCTGATTCCAGTAGTTGATGGGTCTCGCGTCTTTCGTGAGCTTAGTAACGGGGAAGCTTCCAGATATCTGGTACGGGCAATGTGCCTCGTCATTTGCAAAACAAAGCAGGCAACCCCGTTCCTGAGACTTGCAGATGACGGGCCTCTTTTAGAGCATCGAAAATTCGCATCGAAACTCCTAACTGGACTTGATGCGGCCCTGAAAGCGGATCTTGAGCCAGATCGAGTCATCAAGACCCAGATATTGGCGTTGATACACTTGCACAACGATGGCTTCGCTGGTGGAAACCGCTCTTCAAGTTACCTATCCCAGGCAATTTGTGAGGCTTGGTCAATGTCCCTACACTTCAATATTGCTGGAAACACAGACCAGGAGCAGTGTAATTTTCTCTGGTGGTCGTTACGAAACTTTGATCGGCTGAACAAACCTATAATGGGAGCAGCACCTTTCATTATTGACGACACAGACATTTCGATTGATCGTATTACGGCCAAGGCCAACAGCTATAGATCTCAGATAATGGAGGTCTCCACTGTGCTCGGTGATCTTATGACCATTGCAACTAAGGTATACAAGGCGAGCTCAAAATCAACTGTTGACGATAGCGGCGTCTTCCCATCACTTGATGACATAACGTCAAATACCAATTTCTCCCAGTTTCATCAATCTCATCGAGGTAAGACTAGGTCTTCTAAACTGAGTGAACGCTGAATACTAAGGAGTTCAGTCTACCTCGAACTGTGGTATCACATCGCCGCAATGTTATCATGTCGATACAGCGGACCAGGGGCTGCACAATATGATAGACGGCTTGCGTCAGCGGATCGTGTCCTCGGTATATTTTCACAGGGGAGACACGAAAACTTCCCACCGCTCCCTTTAGTTCCATATGCGCTCTCCATGTCCACAACTGTGATATATAGAGCTTTGCGTGATGGGCAGCGAGATCTGGCCGCGGCCTACGAAGATCTCCGATCATGCTGCGACGCGCTAGATGCATTGGGACAGCGATGGACGAGCGCAAAGAGTGTGGCTAAAATAGCCAAGCGTTTATGCAGAATCAGTGCAAGGGCTTCACGAAACCCCCAGCTCCAGGAGACAACCCAGGGGCTCCCGAACGATCGCTACGCCGACAGCCAAGTTGCGTCTAGGAACTCACTGAACACTATCGCGCGGACGAGTGTTGAAGACAATGGCCTCGTGAATATGGAATCAAGCCTCACTTCTTCCCTCAACGGGAGCGAACTGATCCCTGAAGAGCAATTGTCTAGCCAAGACCAACTTTGGCAGGGGCAGTCGCTTGGGCCGTGGCCAGGTACTATGGACGATCCATCATGCGTCCCTCTTGATAGAGCCTTCTACGACCTTTTTGACTACAGCATTCCGGACGTCTTTAGAGGGCCAGCAACCTGCGAATTCTTGCAGCTTGTACACAATGAAGATGATGGTATGGATTGTGGTATACAGTCTACTTCTCCTCTTGCCTCTTTCAGTGGCTGCAACGATCCAGCTACTGATATGCCCATCTGAGTTGGAATTAAATTCAGCAACTGGCGAAAGGGCAGTTTCAGCGGGTCGAAAAGAGAAGGCTCGTTGTCATCGTGAGAAAACGGACTAAGGGTCACGGTGTAAATGGCTACTAAACTGCACAATATTTTGGTTCAGAAACCTTTATGGATGACATTTTGATGTGAAGTTTCCCCTTCCCTGCTTTCAACTAGTCGAGACCTGGGCCTGTAATTTTGATAAATGGATTATAGTGCTGGTTGTATCCATTGAATGCAGTTTGGTAAAGCCTCTGCCCTTGGTTGACGTGGGTATTCTTGTCTAGCTTAGACGTGATGCCATCCAAGTTCATGCCGTTGAACTCTAACATGTCGAAGTTGCGGACATAGTCATCAACGTTGAAAATAATATCGTCTTGCTGCTCATGGACGTTCTCAAGGACTTGCTCATCCTGCTCTTCCTGCTTCTGCAATTTCCGTACATCGGTATAGTATTTCATGAAGCCATCGCGGTCTCGGTTATGCGAAGACAGAATGTGGATAAAGAGATTTTGATACGTGTCTCCACGCTTGGGCGTGATGTAATCGCGATGATCAGTTCCCCCATGATCATTGATGAGGTAGGCGGGACCGTCAATTCCGTCCGCCTGGGCAGAACATATTTGCCCCCAAATTTCCTCAAGATAGTTTACTCTTTGAAGAATAGCGGGCAAAAATTGTATTGCTTCGCCTTCAGTAAGTGCCTCAATTCGTTGTTTCTGCACTTCCCGGACTGCGTCACTCATTGCCAAATTGACATAAGCTTTGGGCTTCTTGAACCATCCGGGGTAGAAAGTGGAAAAAAGTCTTCGTGATGCGTTGCCATGCGCGCGGAGTTGCTCAATAATATTGGGATCTATATGTTTCTGGTTAACTACGTGACCCGGATTTGGAAAGCCTCATGAGTGAAAGACTTACGTGGGTGAGTGTAGGTGCCATTCTTGTTCGGGGAAACGACATATCGCTGTGGTTGTAGCTTTTTCCAGAGTGCGAGCGGGCTGCTATGTCGACTTCCGTGATGTGACCATTTTGCCACGCTGAATTGGTAACCATCAAAGAAATGGCCTTCTGCGTGAGTCCGGTCCGCCACAAAGTTCATTTCCATAGTACTGACGGCGTCCCCGGCCCAGTAGAGGGATACATGCTTTTGCTGAGGGAAGTGAAGGACAGACATGAGCGATGAAAAGTTAGCCCAGGTATCTGATGGAGATGATCGTTCCTGTCCAAACGCCTGACGAATCGCCGATTCTGACAAATCACCACCCAGAACGAAACCTGCTGCCCCTATGCAGAAGAAGCGTGGATGATCATATCTTTCGCGATAGATTCGGGCCGTGAGTTCCTGTAGGTGAGAAAAGAAGCTCAGGGTCATGTTCAATGCCACCTCAAAGGAAGAGTCACCATTGTCAGAGATCAGCGACGGCGTGTAACACATTTCGCCAGTAAAGTAATCGATTCCTAGCAGTTTCCGGTGACCCCATTTGGCGCGACAAAATCCACCAAAATGTCCTCCTGGTTTGCTGCTCAGGTAAACAATTCCTTGGTTTGAGAGCTCGGCGTTTTCTTCATTTTTCATGCATAGATTCTTCGGTCTCTGCTTGATATGCGAACTCTTGGGGAGTGGCACACCGGCATGGGTCAGGAACGTAGCTGGTTGCGTCCAATTAGGACAATATAGAGTTGTCAGAGGATTAGAATTCTCATCGTACTTGAAGTACTTTGTCGTTTGAGCATTGTTGCCGATGGGGCTGTTTTCGAGCATGTAAAGAGCACCACCCCAATGATCGCCATCCCAATGAGTGATGACCCAAGAATCAAACTGGATAACTTCTTGAGGCATGTTTGCATTGTTGTAGTGCGATCTGATGATTTTAATGGCGCGGGCGAGGATCTCTGCGCAAGTTTTCACGCCGCGTCCTCCGCTGTTTCCACCATCCATCAACACGGCGCGCAGGATAGTGCCAGCCGGTTTCTGACGATCGCTTTGATAGTCGTAATCTGGTGGTCGCTGTACGAGCAGGTGGATAGAACAGTCACCATTGGGAACGGCAATTTGGTATGAATCTACTTCCCGAGTGTAGGATTCCTGTCTGAGCTGCGGGAGATCCAACAATATGTTGTCGACATTTGCGATATCAAAATCCTGGCCCTGGCCAACAGGTTGTCTATGTCGCTGTTGTTAGTAACATACTTGGATTGGATTTCGGGGCAAACTCACTCAGCTACGAGCTGCACAGGCTCCAAGGAAATATTATCGATATGGTCATAAAATAGGTTGTTCGCTGGTTGGTTGAACTCGCTCGTCTCATATCTGAAATTCCAATTGTTCAAGTCGAAGTTATTCTCACCCACTTCCGTGTTCGAGCGAAAACGATTATCCGCGAAGGTCTCCTCATCCATCTTGACGGATGCTTTGGGGAAAGAGATGCAGAGGGAATGTGAATACCGTGAGCAGGAGGTCGACGACAAACACACAATGCGAATAATGAAGCTTGGGCAAGTATAGACCTGGGCGACAAAAGAGACTCGTGTTTTCGTCTACACGCACCCGAGGATGTCGATCTTACCCGTGTAGAGAAGCACTAGCCTGTGTCTTGGAAGTCTTGATCTGGGCCCGTTGATTGATAGATAGTTGCTGAAGATGGTGGGTGACTGACATGGATGTTTGACAGGGATCGGTGCTCGATTTCAGCTCTGGTACCCATGCTGATTTAGCTGGGACACTAATGAAGTCTAGAATCGAATATTGAATATTGCCCTGCACGTCTCAGGCCTGTTTTTAAATCATGAGGTTACGTGGATAGTAAGATGACGACGGCGGATGAGATGAAGCTATTGGAATGCAGGTGAGAATGTCACTGTTTAGTGCGCCTAGACTGGCCGCGCGGTGTTACCACTATCCTATTAATGATCATGGGTAGGTAGTGAATAGAAAATTCATAGTTTCTGAATACGGGCATAGATTTATTTGTAATGAAACATGAAAGTCAGAGAGGAGAAAAGTTGAAATTGGGACATCTACAGTGCCCCTTCACCCCAGACGGGTCCAAGCCTGTCCACAATGTCTCCAGATGTGCCGTAGAAGCCCTTCAATCCCGTATACTCGCTCGTAGCTGAAGTCTCGACGACTTGTTTTCCTGCAGAGTCACCCAATCTTTCCACGCGGCCAGTATTTGTAGTAATCTCAATAAAGGCGATGCCTTCGGCTCCCCAGACCATTGGCCCCTTGGCAAGACGAACCTTGGTGATATACTCTTCTGCCGCGAAATTAAGGACAATACTACCCAGAGAGTGGCCACGGTCATTTCCACGAGTGAGAACCATCTGCTCATATGCCGTTTTGATCCACCCAATGACCTGTGAGGTGTCCCAACGAACCATGTGAATTTCAATCCTCTGTGGCCAAGCAATAGGCGCCAATGAATTGGTCAGCTCGATAGCATCGGAGAAGAAGCCTCCGCCGGGACTTCCGACAGTTTGATCAAACCGGTAGTTGCGGAACTTGTTCCGACCAGCTGCAGAGAGGAGAATCGACTTTTCTTGTTCGGTCATGCTCTGTTCCACTTCAGGGGAGCAAGGCGCTGGCTGGCTGGGCTCTATAGGTGCGGGCGGAGAGTGAGACGCCGCAGCAGCCACCGATTGCTGCACCGAAGCTAGGGAGGCTTCAATCGAGTTGTTGAGGGACGATTGGGGCGTGAGGGTTGGCGCTGGTGTGGACGATGTTGCGGACGCAGGAGGACCCTTTGGCGGTGCAGAGGCGGCAAAGGAGAACTTGGCAAGTTCCTCGGCCGCTTGGGCTGGTGTCCAGTTGCCATCGTTGGCAACTTTACGCAGGATGGGCAGTCGGTTGGACCACAGCTCTGGAGGCTCGATGCTAGAGGCTGATTCGATCTGGTCCACATTCTCGGGGTGCATCGCACTAGAGTCATGTCAGATCAGATGCCTCTATGGATGTTCTGCATGCTTGTAGATTGGGCCTTGAGCACTCACATTTTATCCACATCTCTGCTGATGAGTTTCATTTGCAGCTTCATGTGTTTCCGGATGTTGAGAAGCTCGCGGACACTAATACCAACAGCATCGGGTACGGGACTCAGCACATAGTCGAGCGGGTTGGTGAGGACTGCTTGGATGCGAGTCACGCAGTTCTTGTACTCCATGTACATGTCCAGCAGGTCGCTGGTGAAAACCTGAGCGACATCAAATTGAGGAATCCTGACATCGTTCTTCTCAGCCCAAGCGACAAAGTTCTTGGTATGATTGTAGGGAGTCAAGATAGCCCATGTCTTTTGAGGACAGTTAGCTACCTTGGCTGGGAAAGCAGCTGCGGCTTTGTACAGAGTCTCGAGTGTCCATTCCTCATTTTCTGCAAGTAGGTATGAGTACAAGGTAACCGCATCGAAAGAAGCATCCATCATGTATGCCAACTCACCAGGCTTGATCTGACCACCTCCCGACCAACTGACCGTGATGGTAGATTCGGTCTTGCTCATGGCGGAGCTGATTGCTGAGGTGCCCGCAGCTTCATTCAGGGTGAAGTTTGTCTCTCCTCCACCGCTGCTATTGACTTGACTTTTGATCCTGGGGAACAAGCTGTCAGTATGACGAATGAAGAATCCAAGGACAGATAGTCTTACGCCCGCTCGACATCGCCTTTGTTCGCAATGTCCAAAACCCTGGCTGACAGGATGGCGGTGAAATCACCTCCTTCAATAAATCCTACAGTCACAACCGTTAAAACTTTATCTCTCAAGCTGAGGGGACACCCAAGACGGCAAAACATACCTGAGATGTAGCAATTGCCATAGATATTGAAGAACTTCTCACTATTGAAGTAGATCCCCTGCATAGGCTCAAAAATGGCACTGTCCAAGATCTCCGTTGTCTGGTTGATGACTTTCACTGATACAATCGCATTGAGGTCGCTGGATGCGAACTTGGCTTCGTCCAAGGTCAAAGTACTTCCAGAGGCAATAATTCCTCCGTTCTTGATCGACGAGCCTGCGCTGACATTCATGCTCTTGGCGACTTCGGAGATCTTGTCCACAAAACGGGACGTGTAGTTGACGACTTGTGAGACCTTGCCGGCTTGATCGGCCGGCTTGGTGACAATATTGTCATCCTCGATTTTGACGGCATCGTGCACACAGGGCGTATGGAGGAATGAATTATACCCTTGGCCTAAGCGCATAGAGTCATTGTACGGCGCAAGAAGAATCCCAACCATCTTGATCCTTATCGAGGCGAATGCCTTGTTGGTCTAACAAAAGGATAGTAAAAAGATTGATACTTGGTAGAATTATTCTCCAAAGGATGGCCGCTGAAGGCTTCTCTGATTCCGTTTGATATGATCTACTGAGGGACGGGGATAAGTCGAATCTGAGGCTGGGAGCTCGGAGAATCTGGTCCAGGATGTTGTCCATATGATGCACTAAGTCATTCAGCCACGAACTATTAGTTGCAGCTGACGTTCTAGCCCCGTATTGGCCACCACCCCCTGGGCAGGGGTTCTAGGCGTTCTATTTGCTCCCCATTCGTACTTTTCACCGCAGCTAGTGGCAACTAGGAGCGGGCCGTCTCCATTTTCAGCTCACTGCCGTGACTTCAATAGTCTCGTAATCCCTGAATGGACTGATACATACTCCCGAATATCGATGTGTCTTGGGGGGCCAGACCATTTCGAAGGAACGACCAAGTAGTCACTTGCCCAGCATTGTGGAAACGGGGTTGTTCCATAATTGAGCATCATCTTACAGTTCGTCATTGATCTCTTCTCCGCCACAGCGGCTCATGTCTTCCACTGACTGTCCTGACTTTCACTTGTTTCTATTCCATGGTTTAGCAGTCCGCGTCGATACTGTTTATGATGGATTCTTCCAAGTTATTCGACCAACCATATAGGAGCTCGGCTCCTGGCAGCAAAGCGCAGTCATTGATGCCAAAGCTGCCAGAAATTAAACCACCGGCGAATACCGGCGGCTCTAGTGCTGGTGCTCCAGTCTTTGGGACCCAAACAGCAGCGCCATCCTCATCCTCATCCTCGTCATCCACAAGCTTCAAATTCAACATTATCAGCGTTTCATCTGCTCCTCAAAAGCCTCAACTGCCTCCTAGTACCAAGCCATCCAATGGAGCCACCGATCCGCAACAGAAAGTGGCGCTGCCAGAGGAGAAGCACACTGAGACCAGTTCTGGCCAGAAGCTCAGCACAGTCCTTCTCACCACCATTGATCTTCCATCGTTAGTTTTTATTCTGATCTCTTGGTAATTATTGAATATACTAAACTTCCTGACAGCCCCAATTTGGATGCTATGAGGAAGCAAACAACGCTTGCTCGGATCAGAGAGACAATGAAGAAGAAGTTTCCATCGTAAGTCGCAAAAATCATTTACTCAACGAGCTAAGATTAATCAGGAGCATATTCCAGAGCCACCCCGTTTTCTTTTTGCAATGAAGAAGGTGCTTGCGCCCCAGATACTATCAGTCTCGAAGCCTACTTTGCTGGTTTGAAAAAACCACCCAGTGCCGTTGTGAGTAATAGCGGCCTTTGTAGTAATGCCTATCATCAAAATCTCGGGCTAATCAATGAATTATTTAGGATACAACGTTCAACATCTATGTTACGGCTGTTGTACCAGCTGGAATGACAGCTGCAACTATTGCCGCCTTGCTTTCCAAGCCATTTTTCATCAAATTTCTCAGGGTTCTGGATAGCAAGAGCAGCAACATCGAAGGCTCTCTTGATTCATCCATCTTCAAAGGGAAGAACGCATCCAGCACGAGACTCAATGTTCTGCGTGGATTCGTCAAATCCATGAGTGTGGACGCAAAGCAGGATACCTTTTGCTTGCCTGATGGCACCCCCATTCAAGATGACGTTGCTTTCGAGCAGTACCTCATGATAGCGAAGCCAGCTATCAATCAGACGGAAAAAGTGCCTTCTATACCAATATTTCTCAAAAAGTCATCCCTTGTAGCTGTTCAGCCAACTAGCAACTTTAGTAGCGGCGGATCAGGAGGAGGCATATCAGGACTGGGCGGTGCCAGAGGCGGTCAGTCGGGCTCTGCCGGAATTGACCAGAGCGTTCTTGCAAAACTAGGTAGCTTGGACCTAGCGTTTACAGTAAGAACTCCTCCATTTTCATTCATTTATGTCTCTTTCTAACTAGTGGAGTAGGACCGTTCTGGCCGAGAACTGAGACGAGATCAGACGAACCTGCAGGTGACTGAGACCCTTAACCAGAAAGATTACGCCGCGTCTGGGACGAGCACATTGGCGTGGGTTGTTTACTCCAATGAGTTTGATGGAAACAAACACTAACTTGAGGTATTGTAGACACGCTGGAAAGCTTAATGAGGCAGAGTGGGATCTTATCTTGAAGAACTGCAATGCATTTTATGGATGGATCATTGATTTTGACGGCAACAAAATTGGCAGAGCGCCCCATGCAGGTGAGTTGTCATTGGGCTGGTGCGCTTTTAACTTATACAGAACTAAACATATTTTGGTATTTAGCATTCCGTCTCCGTCGAGGTCTGAATCTAGAAAAGGTCAAGATCAAGATTGAAGAAGATGCACCCACGCCGACAGAACAGCCATCACCTGAAACAAAGAGTGATGAAAAACAGATAGAAGGCAGTGATAAGACTGATGAAGAGAAGGCGGTAGTAAAGGCTGCACCACCCCCACCAAAACCGAAGCCTTTGGAGGTGGAGGACGTGCAAGAATTCATGCCTCGAAAGCCTCAAGGAATTCCCAATTTTTCTGTGACGGACGACTCCAGCATCGAGGTCGCGGCTTATCAGCATGAATTTGCCCAGTCCATGGCCGAAAACCACTTCGACAAAACCACATTCGAAATTGAAGCGTAAGTTTCATCGTGAGACTACCTATTGAGTCATTTACTGACACTGCCCGCAGATCTGGAGTTATCAAAGGCGTCACTGTTGGTGCCCAAGGTGGCGTATCAACAGAGAATGAATCAGGCAAAACATCATCCTTCAAAACAATGTCCAAGACACTCGTGGCCACATACAGGGTAAGGAATCGTACTCTTGTCACGTTCCCAGACGGTATCTTACCCTCATCTATAGATTCCTCGTGTCACAGTCTTCTTACCAGCTGAAGACCTTGAACCTACTGACGAATTCGCCGCCGCAATCGCCAAGATCAAAGACAGCCAAAACCTGTTCGAACTTCGCAAACTCCACCGCATGTTCGGACAAATCTTCTGCGCCGAGATTGTTCTGGGAGGCTGTCTTCAAACTACCAAGACGCTCACTGCCGACGAGACAAAGGAGGAGACCTTGACTCGGAACAAATTCAAGGGCAGTGTAGGAATAGCCGTCGGCGTTCCAAAAATTGCCAGCGGATCAATGAAGGCTTCTCATGAGACACAAGACATGAAAGAGGAAGGTTCCAGGTCCTTCCGACAGCAAGAACACATGTCCTTCAATGCCACCGGTGGCAACACGATTTTAGCTGCTGACCCCCCTTCATGGTTAGGCAGTGTTGGATCCGACTTCAATAATTGGCGTGTTATCGAGCAGCGGCAACTGAAACCTCTTGTTGACGTGGTTTCGGACATACCGAAATATGAAGAAGTCAGAATGTGGTTTCTACAGGCTGTGCCTAAACTCACCGAATACATTGTCATCCCACAGAGCCGAACGCTGGACGCTCGATTCAAGGTCCTGTTTCAACTGGAAGGCCTATCTAGGGCGCTTGCTAGCTTGCAGGTCGGGAGAGATCACCAGGAGAGCACGGACGAGGATGTTGGCTTGACGAAATCGACCAAGAACAAGGGACTCAAGATCCAAACGTACTTGGCGCACAATCCTGAGAAGCCGCCCACATTTATTCGGACATATGTCAAGCAAATTCCACATGCGCCGCTTGTAACCAAGTCGCCTCTTAGATCTGAAAAGGGAAGAATGGTCGTGGATGTTACCACCAAAATATATCAGACTGTCGACGCTACAACACAGGCTATTTTTCAACCTTCAAGGTAAGATTACATCAATTAATCTATATTGCTTCTATTTGGAAGTAGCTTACGATTTGGTAGTACCCAAGCTCCGGTTCTTATCGATCCCAGAGCATTCCCAGTTCGTAAGTCTACAGAACTATGTCGAGGAACCGCCTGAAACCTGAAATTAACGTACATATAGAATCAACTAACAAGGACAACCCCATCATTGATAAGAGAACAGTATGGCGAATGGAAATACCATATGGATACAGCGTGCGTTTCTCTTTCCCCCTTATATTGATTTCATGCATGCGATAATTGACCTCTGAACACAGCTTACGCACGGCTCCCTTGTGTCCATTAAATCTCTAGCGAAAGATGGAAAGTCTATCTCGCTCACCGTGTATCGCAACGCCCAGGGAGTGTTCTTACCCTCCATCACAAGCTCAGAAGACCCTATTTACTGGAGAGTTCTAAAAGCCAACCTCCAAGGTGGAGCAGACGCCAAGCAGCTTAAATACGGCGACTCAGTTCGCCTGTCATGGTCTTTTACTGATCAGTCGAGCGGTTGGAGAGACTACTACGATGATTACTATGGCAGAAGACGCTTTGATCGTCCGTCAGAACTGAAGGAAGGGGAGGACTCCCTCTATCTGAAAGCTCCCTTCCCACGATTCGAGGAACTCGGAAGCCCACAGGGCATGTCCCTGGTCATGAGTCCCGCAAGCAACACGAACCCGATCTTGCAAACTTTGATGGTTCGCGACCCCAACAAACCAAGTGGGTTTGAAGAGGTCGCGTACAATCTATTTGATATTTCTTTCCGAATGGACTTTGTTGGTCGAAATGGCAATGGCGAAGTGTTCGACTACATGAATGTGCCGGCTGACGATGATACCTTCAACAGCCGTGTTGACCTTGCGCATGAGTGGACAGACCAAGAGAAGCAATCCGTGCTTGATGTGGGCAGCAGGGTTGTAAATCATGTTGGTAACACGTACGTCAAGCAATTTGACAATGTTGTCAATGCCGTATCGAGTGGTTCGCCTGGTACGATTGCCAAGGAGCTCTTCAAGGGTGCTATGATGTAAGTTGATTTCTCATTGATGATAAGAGAACGATTAGCTAATTCGACTGATTTAATAGGGTCAATCCAATTGGGGCTATCACTAAGATCTTTGGTCTTTGGTGATTGTGCACCCTGGAGGTCGGGTGTCTTAGAAGTCGGAGAATTCTCAAGATTTCAATATAGGGAAGCCTCTTATAGCCTGCACACGATGCTGAACAGTGTATCTAAATTAACTCCAGAATAGCTATTTTATACAAAGACGTGGCAGAACGCATGAGTAAAGCAAATAAATATCCCAGAGGTGAAATTGCTCTGGGATCCCCATGGCCAGTGAACTGCCCGGCCTGGACACTGAAAACTCGCCGCCTTCATCAAGGCATCTCCACTACTTTAATACCCAAGAAGAACGCCTGTGCATAAATAAGTGACATGATTACATATGTTTGCTGAGACCATTTGTCGTAGAGTGACTTGGTTGTGGTTGGTGGAAAAGAGGGCACTTTTGATCACGTGTAGGCCGCATGGGCAGGTCGTAATCAAATATAATATTGACCCCTCTTCGAGGATCTTGTGAATTATTCATTGTACATCTCTCTTTCTAGCGCTCATATGAGGTCCCGTGCTTTGATCACTTTTGGACCATGTCAGACGCGCCGTCATCTCCGACTGAGCCTGCAGCCTGCCCCTCCCAATTTACAAATGCTTCCGTCGTTGACTCAGTCGATTCCATCGAACTGCCAATTGATGATCTTCTTTCCGTCGGCAAGTCGTTTCCCCCACAGATACCACCACCGATACCGCGCGAAGACAACCCACCTGCGGGTGGCCGTATTCACTCGGTGATCCACCTGCCGGCCCTGAGCGTCAGTGACATACACTCCTGTTTTATCTTGGCAGTGTCGCTTCTCACTACTGGCAGTGGCTGACTGACGTCTGTGAACAGAAGGCATGGCTGATAGTTAGTCCCGCGGATTTGCTGGCTCGCCTGAAACTCATGTGAACTGAATTGGTAATACTAGGCCATACTTGAAAAGCTTCAAAGTGAAGGTCACATCAACCGAAATTGGCCTATTCCGTCTCGCTCAGATCTGTGGGATGTCTTTCACTCCCAGCCCCAAGATGCTGTAGACTTCCACTTTATGCCTGTAGGTTGACCCAGGAGAGCCGCAAGATTCTTGTAGGCTAATATGAGGCTTGGATGGGTGGCTTGGCAGTTTCCTTGCTTCCATACAGAGGCACACTTTAACTTCCAGAATCAAAGATGGGAGTCGATAAAAGGGATCCTTTCTTTATCAGAATGGATGGGAACAGAATTCTCAGACCTGGATTTGCCATGCTCCTTGGACGATTACTTTGGAGCAAGCGACGATGCAACGACTGAATTACTGAAGAAGGATCAAGTAATATATCGGCACTACGCTTCGTCTCCGCTCTTCCGAAATTCCAAGGTAAGTAGTCCCTCCCTCATATCACTCGTTGTGCAATGCTGATAGAAGACATCTGGAAGTTTCACCGCATTCTCATGGTGTCTCGGTTTTGGGTGTGCAAAGTAGATGGTTTGGTCAACTCCCTGTGCCTGGAATGATATGCGGAAATCATGCTAATATGCCGAGATAGGATACTTGATCACAGCGCTTTGGCAGCCCATGAACGACGACGGACTGCTCATCAATCCAACATATGAATTCATTGATTGTGTCGAAAAGCTCAGACCGTGGGCTGGCTTCCACGATATTCTCGAAAGGCTTTTACCGCAGCTTGTCGGAAGGACTAATCTAGCGTTCCCCAACCTTGATGACCCAATCCACACAATCTTCAAAGTGGCCATCGCACAACAGGTACGTTTTCGGGCGGTGTGGTGTGACAATCTCAAACGGCTAACGACGATGTTAGTACGGACAGCAACTTAGCCGACACCGAGAATTCCGTGACCCTCTGAAAAGTGACGAAGAAAGGAGGGACCTCATATCAAATGAAATCGAATGTTTTCGAGTGATTATGGACATCATTCATGAGCTGTCGCTAATAATAAACATCATCGAGGAGCAGCAGGACTTTACCTTTGCGCAGGCTAAACGATTGAACTTTTCGTTTGGGACCCTGTCAGAAGTGGGATCGTTTAGAGAGCAAGTGGTTTCCAGCATGAGCAGATTTAAGGCTCTTAGAGATCGTGCAGGCATCGCCAAATCATCTGTAAGTCGCACGATGACGCCAAGTCGTGGTTACCTCTCTTTCTTCCCGCTAGCTTCACTGCATTGAACCGGCTGACCTGGTACTCACATTGTCTGTCAAGACTGAAAGCCTACTGGATATCAAAATGAAACAGGAAAATCTTGAACAAGCTACCAACATCCGCAAGCTCACGGGGAACATCAGTAGCCTTGTGGCGGAGGCGGACCAGCGAGCCCGCGAATCTGAGCGGGCGCAGACCATGCTCTTCGTCTTCACAATTGTTACGGTCATCTTTGTATGGGAACACTGTCGTTGAGGAGCAGAAATATTGAAGCTCGGTTGACGTGGCTAACAACCTTTAGACGCCCCTCTCATTTGTCGCGGCTTTCTTCGCCATCCCCAGCCGGGAATTCCCTCAGATAGGAGAGGGCATTAGCTGGTCTAAGGCACAAATTGGCTGGGGTCTAGGTATGTTGAGGGACTTGCGAGCCCTTCGAGGTAGCGGAACGATGTTTGACGCTAACAGCTGATATCGCGGGCACTTCTACAGGAATTTCTGAGGTTGCCACACTCATCGTGGTATTCATGCTTTCATGTTCGCTCATGACAAGTAGCAATATGTTCTCATGGATCTCATGGCAGCGCTTGCGGGGAGGACGTAGGGGGATATTGATCGGAGCTCAGTAGAGGACCAAAGATGATGTTGAAGTAGGCCTATGTTATTAATAACGTGGTACTAGGGCTGATCCTATTTAATTTCCTAACTACAGTACTACGTTGCTTTTCAAAATAATCTTCTAAGTATTGAGGTAGTATAGGATTATGCGTCAAGGAAAAGAGGCTGGCTACGAGAACGGTGTGCGTAGAATCAGCGGGCTGTATCGGAGTTTGTCAGCTGGCTATTTTCTCACTCTGGGTTGTTCATGCAGAGGGCCGAGGGTGCTTACCACGCCATTACCGATTCGGACGGCATTGTTGAGATTGGGGTCAAGGAAGTAGAACATGTCTTGAGCCAATGTGATGGTGTGGGTAACGTTGGCCGAATACTCCGTTTCAACTTGAAGGAGGCCCCCCTGCGGGTTGTCCTTGGCTTGGTACTTGACTTTACCGCCGCCAGTGGCAAATGTAATGGCGATGGCGCCATCCCTAGAATCAATTTCACTGATTGAAGGTGTACCAATCTGAGCTGAAGTGAGAGCCATTGTTTTTGAGGCAATAACAGTCGTAGGTTTGTTGACCATTCCTATATTGCGAGTATTAGTTTACAGAGGCTTCAAGAATCTTAAGAAGCAACTCACGGCCAGCAACATTTGCCCCGGTGAAGGCGTAGTTGAACAAATTCATTGTTTGACAATCAATATCAAATCCATTGTTGATACCTCGGATTGTGACAGTGCCTGTGCAAGCTAGATCACGAATCCTGTACTTGTCATCTGAATACACTTTGCCATTGAGTGTGGTGGTGAAGTGGCCATTGCCCTTATCAGTGTCTTTGGCAGCAACAAGGCCGCAAAAAGCCAAGTAGATGAAGGTTGAAGTGTGCATTGTATCAGATAATTGTTCCGATTCACTTCACAATATCTCGAGATTATCTGACCGAGTAGAAATAGAAGTAAAATAGTTTATATACAACATCAAAACTATTCACATTCCGCACAGTTTCTCCCGGCGGCCGCCTTGTTGAAGTCCAAGCTGCCAAGCCGGGTTTCGGCAAGGCCACACGACATTTCTGTTGATAGACTTCGGCTGGCTCTCCGATGAGAGATCAATTCTTTAGTTATTGTATTAATCTCAGAGATGACGCTCTTGATAGGCTTAATATAAACAGTCTTAAGTTTCACTTACAACCCATGCTGGAATTCTCCAGACTTGTGGGCGGGTTCTTGGTTTCCCGTTAACGTATTCGCACTCGAACAAGCAGCAAAAGCTCGTTGCGAGTGCCCCTAAGGGAGATTTTAATTAGAGCAAAAGTACGCTGAATGCTTTTAAAACACCCAAATGTCTTCTCCTAGCTCGCCCGCTTGGTGACGGCAGGAATTTTTGTTGTTTAGAAATGTTAATGGCCGGCCTATCCACTGGCAAGGGACAAGTATAGTCACAGCCTGGGTTCTCTTCCACTACTGGGCAAAACCATAGTGCGCGGCATACGGAGTGCTTCTTTGATGTAAATGCTCTCCGGTTACAGGGCTCCTGTTTCATAACTTGGCACAAGGGGGGCACTCCTATGGCTGCCAATAGAATTCGAGTGGGTTCAAACCAAGGTTGGCCTGCGACTTAGTTTTGGTCTTGTCCAGGTGATGCTGATCACCGGCGCTCCCGACCCGAATTTGGAAAGCCCGCCAGCTTCATGCTAATTTGCTCCACCACCACCCGAGCAGCAGCCAACCACTCACCAACACATCGACATGCTTCGGATAACAGATCCAATACAACTTTGTTTCGGTTCAGTCTTGCGTCGTGGCTAGACCCATCTTGGGTCGGATAGATGTGTTACTCTATTAGTCTCCAATCAAATCTAACTGCATTGTGAAGCGATCGCCACAACTGGAGATACATGCATTTGTGAAGCAAGGGATGATTATACGAGCAAAACATGATTTGATGGCAATATTGGTTTGATGGAGTTATATCTACTCCGCTAATATGGAAGCCTCTCATTGGGAATTTTCAAACCCGATGCCGGAGTATCGAATGGCATATAAAAAGACGACCTGGGATGACTCTCGGTCAGAAAACGAACTTCATCGACCAGCTCAAGCTGTTATAAATCTTCTGATCAGTTGTTCTCTGTACAATCACCCAATATGGCCACACCACAGGTCAAGCGATATGTCATTGTTGGGATGGGCGTGCGCTCTGCCTTCTACTACCAAAGCATTATCAACGACTTTCCCGAGGCTGCCAAATTGGTCGGAATTTGCGATACAAATCAAACCCGTATGAATGCCGCCAATGACCGCATTGTCGAGATTGGAGGCCAGTCGCAACCCACGTACAAGGCTGAAGATTTCGACAAAATGGTCGCAGAGCAAAAGCCTGACGTTGTCATCGTCACCACCATCGACCTCTATCATCATGTTTATTGCATCCGAGCCATGGAGCTAGGCTGCGACGCCATCACCGAGAAGCCCATGACCATCGACGAGGAGAAGTTGCAGGCCATGATTGACGCAGAGAAGCGGACTGGCAAGCAGGTCCGCGTCCTCTTCAATTATCGCTACGCGCCTCACCATACCAAGGTCCGTGAGCTGATAGCATCTGGCGTCATTGGAGAGATCTCAACTGTTCATATGGACTGGATCCTCGATTGCGCGCACGGATCCGACTTCATGCGTCGCTGGCACCGAAACAAGGAGACCAGCGGGGGCATTCAGATGCACAAATCCATTCACCATTTTGATCTTGTTCATTTCTGGCTGAACACCGAACCTGAGTTGGTGTACTGCCTGGGAGATTTGCGATTCTACGGCAAGGAAAACGCGGAGAGGCGTGGGGAGACCAACCTGGGAGAACGATATCTCAACAATGAGGCAGCCAAGTCTGACCCGTTCGCGATTCACATCGATACAAATGCGCAGTTGAAGAAGCTTTATCTTGAGGCTGAGCATGAGGATGGTTATATCCGTGACCGGAATTGCTTTGCCGAGGGCATCACCATTGAGGATAATCTCTCCATGATCATCAAATACAAGAACCGCGCAGTCATGACGTATAACACCTACGCATATGCACCATGGGAGGGTTACCGCTGTGTGTTCAACGGGAGCAAGGGACGAATTGAGATCAATGTTGTTGAGGGGGGCTACTCTGCAGGAGGCGAGACAGTCACCAACAAGGGGATCGGGGACCTGGAAAAGAACTATATTCAGGGTGGCGTCGAGCAGACCAAGATTGTCGTCTATCCCTTGTGGGGTGAGCCTTATGTGGTAGATATTGTCAAGCAGGAGGGCGGTCATGGAGGAGGGGATCCAGTGTTGCTTCAAGACGTCCTGGTTGGAGATCGGAGTGACAGCTTCAAGCGAGCTGCCTATATACGCGATGGAGGGAACGCGGTCTTGGTTGGCGTGGGTGCGAACAAGTCAATGAAAACAGGGCTTCCTATCAAGGTTCAGGAGCTTGTTAAGTGGTAGGCAGTTCTAAATAGTCTTGGTCTACCATAATTAGTTTTATTTACTCAACTAGATTGTCTTTCAGAAGCTTCTGTCTACCTAAACAGTAACTCTACAAGTAGGTATCAAATGAATTCATGGTGAGCAAGCTCATAGACAAAACCAGAAGCCATCTTTGCATGCTGAAAGACGTGACCAAAGTCCACATACTCCAGGGTGTCATTTGGAGTATGGATGTAGGGGTTGTGATTGCCAAAGGGCGTCTCAAAGATAAAAGAAGAGGGATAGCCATTCCTAGTCGCAGATGCATGGTCTGAACAAGCATACCCACAAAGTGTCTCTTCATAAGAAATGTCTGTGTACTCCCCGATGACGAGTTTGAGAAAGTCGTTTTGACTGGCATCTGTGTTGTCGGTGACCAAGCCGAAACGTTCAATGCCGTCGCGGCCCTTGTAGCCGACCATATCCTGGTTCAGCATCGCGACCACCTGCATATTAAGGGTGGCGTACTGATTGAATATGTCTTGGGATCCGAGCAGACCGGATTCCTCGCCACTGTACCAATGCCACTCAAGAGTGTTCAGGTGGTCACCCTCTGCGATTCTTGGATCAGTCAGGATAGCTCGAAGAACAGCTAGGTTCATCATGGAGCCGGAACCGTTGTCATCTACACAGGGTTTAGTTCATTAGCCACCTCTACCTTCTATGAACTTCAGGCTATATAAAAAGAGAGCGAAGGAACCTACCTGCACCAGGAGCTCGGCCAGCGCCGCGATCACCGGAAATGACCGAATCGAGATGTGATCCAAGAACGACGGTCTTCCCACGGGTAATCCCGGGAATCGAAACAATAATGCTTGGCTGCGACCAAGCTGTATGGCGAACGAGACGAGACGTAGCCAGTGGGTTACCACTCTCCTTGATCACTTCCTTCACTCGCTCGTAAAGCCACTCAGCCGCGTCAACGCCATACTGAGAGTTGAAGTAACGATTATGGAAGGAGGAGTATGTAGTCAACTGATCCTTGATTTTATCGACGTCGATATTCTTGATAATCTTTTGCACAGCACACTTATGTTGGAGAGCAGCGGGGAAGGCAGCAGCAGCAAAAAGCTTAGCAGAGGAGATTTGGACGTCCTGGAATTCAGTGATGTCAAAGAAATGACATCCTTCCTACGAGCAAAGGTTAGAAATACAAGAGCATGATTACCACCTGAGATTCAAATCGCTCACATCGATCATCTTGAACTTTTCGTCCTCTGTGACTTCGATGACTTCGCCTGGGGCGATTTCCAGAACGTACAATTTCTCCCTCCCAAGAGGCGCTGTAGCCGAAGCTGTGGCAGCTAGTGCTGCGAGAATGGGGGCCAAGTAACGCATTCTGGGTTACTAATGATGGAGAAAGATGTGAGTTAATACTGGAATATCCGTTCCTAACGAGGAGAATAAAGATGTGAGGGCCTGGAAGGGTTTAAATACCTGTGTTGGCGAACCATATTACACCTAAACCCCACCTTTGATAGTTATGTCTAATACGCCAAGAAGCGAATCCAGACGGCAAAATATGATGTTCGGATACTCTACTTGCTCTTATGATACGACCGACCCGCTGTGGCGGTGAAAGCCAAGCTATCTTATGCATTGGCAGCTTACTCGCTTGTTACTCTGGTTGCGGGGTTCAACAAAAGAACGTCTTGATTAATTCTAGAATTGCAGTGAAGCTATCCAGAAGTGGAAGCTCAAGCATGAGAAGAAGCTTAAACCCCAGGCGCCAAGATAGCCAAGTAGTGATAACCAACGACTCATGCGGGGTCTCCCCATGCGCTATCTTGTCATGAAGTGCGAGCTGACAATACCTCTATAATACTAAGTGGTTGTTTGTGTGTGGATGGAGGCTCGGTTCCCCTGCGTTTTCTCATATGACATTGAGCAATTTACGGGATGGACGAACCGCTCCGCTCCATGTTACCATGCCAGTGGCTGTCATGCCAATTATATGATGCCTGCGCTTGGGATCTTGGCAAAATGAGACTGACGGACCTTCCTTATTGAGCAAGTATTGGATGTAGGGAATTCGAATGTTAGTGGTGTATGACCTGCGCCATGTACTGCAACTAAACCTGCATATCACTCTCAGATGTTTCCCGTTGTAATGGTTGATTGGTTGGAAGTCATCTTGTCCTCGCATCAGCCTTCTCTTGGTAATATTCGCGTACAACCATGACCAGGATGAACCCTGCCACTGCCTGAGATAATGACTCTAATCACATTTCACTGTATTTTGATGCATTTGTTATAATTAAAGAACGAGCGTAGAGGAATACGCCAAGGGTCGCTCTTGAATATGAACATGGTAAAATAAACAAAATCAACAACGGTAGAATAAGCCCACGTAGAGATCGCGATTCGTCCCAATTCTCCAATACTTTTTACAGTTTGTTATTTTTCGGGACTCTGGATCTTGCTTTAGCTGCGGCCTTTGTCGAAGCCTCAGCTGCTAGTTTGGCGGCCCGGTCACTTAGGTATAACGGCTTCTCTGTCTCAAGCAAGAAGATTGTGATACCCAGGTTGTCAACCTTCTCTAGGTCGTTGGAGCCTTCCCGAGCTTCTTGAAAGCTCTTTTCCGTAGGGCCTACGAAATTTATTCAAAATCAGCAACTTCATCTACCAGCATCTACCAGCTTGTAAAGGGGACGCCCATGGCTTCATTCTCTTACCATGAATCACATTGCTACCGTGCAATCCTGCTCCCAGAGGCTTGAAATCAGCCCCCCCATTGAACGGATAATCGATGTCTTGGGAATTGATTATGGGGGCAAAAAACTCGCACATGGTGTTTCGATGATAATACGGCAGGCGGAAGGTATTTTCGGTTACCATCCAACGCGGAGGGATTATGGCAAAGTCGACAACCGAATTGCCCGGTTCGCCGTGAGAGGGTGCAGTCAACACAGTGTAGAGGCATGGATCGTGTTCGTCAAAGAGGAGATTTCCCATAACACAAAACCTCGCCAGATCATACTTCGAGGGATAGTTCGTGCCGTGCCAGGCTACCACGTCAAAAGGTGTATGTGTCTGCTCGCAGTGCCACAGCCGACCATTCTGGCGTGTTACGATCGTGTGTTTGGTTCCCACATCATTCGAAATGGCCACTCCGTCTTCGACACTCCCGTCGAAATAGGCCACAGGGATTTGGAAATCTCGGGTATTGGCGAGCCCAGTGCTACCTACAGGGCCAAGTTCTGGAAGACGAAAATGGCCGTGGAACAATTCGCATATGTACCCTCGAGCGGGACCTGCGGGTAATGTGACACGATGCCGTATCCCTCGGGGAATCAAAGCAATCTCGTTCTGCCTGACCAACAACTTGCCCAGTTCGGTCTGGATATCAAGAGAACCCGCCTGAGGAATAATGAGCACGTCGCCATCGATAGAGCAGAAGGCCGTTCTTGGTTCCATATCTTGTGACACGCTCCAAGTCCAGATGGCAAGCCCATCTTTACCCATAGGGTCACCATTCCTGGCCAGGAGCTTTTGTGCAGAAATCCAATCAGCTGTTGGATCAGAGGGAAGCTGCGGCCATAGGTACGAGTTGGGAGATATGAAATCCGGCACTTTGGGAGGCTGAGCATCTAGGGGTTCAAATGGATCATGATCCAAAGATGGCGCAACGCGATACATGAACGTTTGTAACATCAGATTGCGCGGCGCAACGAATGAAGTCCCACTGAGTCGCTCTGTGCGAAGCCCGTATGGAGGTTTCACGGGGGTATTGTTCGCCACAGGGATTGCGCCCTGGAGAGCTTCGGATCTCATCGAGCAATAAAAAGTCAGCTAGGGAAAATAACTGGTTAGATACCCAGTAACTGACGAGTGGTAGTTACCAAACCCTTCCAGGTACGGATAAGTGTCCTTGACGGCAAAATCGGTGACGGGAGCCATGATTGGAAGGCAACAAATTCGATCCAGAAATTCGATGTCACTCAAGAATTTAATACGTTAATACAAAGTCATCGAGAGGCGTATTTATAACATCCGGACGGGGTGACGATTTGTTCTTGTGACATCGAGCATATATTCGAAGCCGAAGCTTGCTCACCAGTGGAAGCATGCGACACACCTTATTCCTTCCTCGGTCCTAAAATGGTATGTATCTCGCCGCTCAGTTTACGTTGCTTGATATGATAGGTGCGAAGAAGAAAGCGACCCTCCCTGTTCCCCAGACATTGGCATCATCCCCCCGCCATTTCTCCTTACCCCACACTTTGAGTGTCCATCCAACACCTCGATGCCAACCAACCAGAGGTCATGCCGAGGTACTCGAGGCTATCAGAACTACGTATTTCATGGCTGTAGGCAGCCTTAAATAGCCTGTCGATATGTATGTGGCGGGTCCCTCTCATGAGTTGCCTAATAACTAGTTCTCTTGACCGTCTTACAACCTTCGTGCCTATTACTGCATCACGAGAACAAAATGTCCGCTATTCCTGCTACGCAAATAAACTACTTGGAAATTAGCCAAGATGTGAAAATTGAGGACCAAAACACGGACCCGGGCCGTTTGTGGAAGGAGGCGCTAGATCTCCTTGAGGCATATGATGGCTTTCGTCGACTGTACTGGGGCAGAAGTCCAGAAGACTGGTCAAGGGTTCAACTTCACGTTGGTGAGTCGACTTGACTCACTTTATATGAATAATCACGCGATCCTAATATCTCATTTCAGTCAGAGATCACCTGTCACAACATCAGGACTTTCAAAAGACTTCACAGTATGAACAGTTGCAATCGATTCTGAGGAAGCTCATAGTCCCATCCAGTGTCCCATTCACCCGTCACGCTTTTATTGAAGAATTTACGCCCAATAATCAGGCACTTGGGAAAGGCGCACCTTTTTCTGGGACGGCGATATACATTGATACTGACGAGGCTTGGCATGTTGGGGCTTGGCCACTATGGACACATATCGTTCGCCACGTCGATGGATGCTTGGGTGTGACTGGAGGTAGGGTGGTTGAATCCGTCGATGGACACCAAAACTGCTACGTCGTTTACGTTGGATGGGAGAGCATTGAGAAGCACGACGCGTACCACCATACCCGCCATTTTGCTAAACGCCGAGTGGTCCTGGCTCTTGGAAACAAAGGCTGGAAGGAGTATGCCCATGTCAAATTTCAGGGTGCGAGGGAGGCGAGGGGAAAAGTCGAAGGAAAAACTGCACAGGTATCCAAAGAGTCCAAACTGTAACTTGCATAGCAAATCTCTTGTCGTTCGCAACGCAGGCTCATGCCTTAAATGAATCCAGCTTCGAACGATTGTTTTCAAAAGGAAGTTTCCCTTGCTGCATACAAAGGCTGGTAATATTATTACATTTCATAACTCTCCTCTAAAATCCGTACCTGTGTTTCCAAGTTTGTCTTGTAATAAATATCTAGAATCATCTAAGGTACCCATGGATACGAATGTACCAGTGGGAGTTGTCCCGCATCTCTCACCGCATCTCACCTGAAGAAACCGATATTTTAGTAAATATTACGCGATTACCATTTGGATGTGGAAGTGGAACATGAGAAATTTGCAGTGTCCGTGGATCTTGTTCGTCGACCATCCATAATCGGGAGAAAATTATTCCTTGTTGTGGTGCTCAGCCCTTCACGTTCCCATCTCGGCGTGGAGTTCTCAACTGGGTTTATTAAGGACGACCCGCCCGTTAATAATGATACCAGACGGCCAAGGCCAGCTTAGACTTGAACAAGACAACGCTAGTCACTGCGCGTGTCATCATCTGTGAACCATTCAGGTGTTCATATCCCACAAACCAATTGGATCGCAGCTAATCATAAACACGGAGATTGAACTGTGAGCCAAACTACATTAAGGCCCGGGCGTGCTTTAGCATAAACCAACTAAAGTTAGCGGTATGTCGATTTACGAGCACCAAGAGCGATTGGCGAATCAGAGCTCCGCTATTTGCATTGCATGTCACCTCGCCAGGGTCCTGGTCGAATCACAGGTCAGGCATTACCAATACAGGACCCACCAGGCTCCCGCGGTATCCCAATGGCTGACGTCCTTTGGCAGTGAATGCACCATCAACGCCACGCGGTGTGCAAATTAGTGCTCGGACATTGGATTTTGATGGTCGGAAGCGACGGATGGCCCCGCAATGCAACCACAAGCTGACAACCCGGGCCTTCTGGTTGGCTGGTTCTCAGGACAAGGGAGGTCTCATCCGCTGCAGGTGTGAACTTATATCTTTGCCAGGATGGTGGTGATGGAGGGTCGCCTCAATCTCCTCATTCTTCTGCTTCCATCACAGCACTTGACTAGTGGTGTCTTGTCTCCTCCCACATATTGACTCGTCGTCCTTTCACACAATCATTCAGATACCGACATTTTCTATTCTCTCCACATTCACAATCTACACATCTCAAAATGGGTTCAAAACCCAGCGAGCAGCAGGTTAGCATTATCTTAAATACATGTGATTCTACTACTCCGTACGATACTAACATACATCGTGTTTCAGGCTCTTCTTCCCAGCGTATCAGAGAACAACACTTACTCTACATCGCGGTCCTCCTCCTATCAATCGATAACAACCCTAAACGACGATTACGACAGCGACACTCTTCAGGATGACAAGGCGAAAAGGGACTTGTTCATGGCACGATTTCTAGCCGACTTCACATTGGGGTTCTCTGATGGATTGACGGTACCTTTTGCGCTGACAGCCGGGCTCAGCTCCTTGGGCACAGCGCAAACTGTCATCTATGCAGGCTTCGCAGAGCTGTGCGCTGGCAGCATCAGCATGGGTATTGGTGGTTATCTATCTGCCTTGGATGATGTTCGAGCAAACGCTCGTTGCCAAAACATCGAGAACAAAAGGTCGTTGGAGGGAGACAAGGACGATGTCGAAGAAGCACGCGTTTTACGGTATCACGCCGAAGACGACGCGACCGAAACCGGCTCCAACCTTAGCGAGGACAACACGAACCGTGACGCTTCCGAAGATATGGTCCGCCATCATCTCAATCCCCTAAATCTCCCCCCTCACATGGTGTCTGAAATTCTCTCTGCCATCGCCAGCCGACAGAAAGGTTTGGAGATTACTGCACTGGCGTTAAAACCCAAGGAAAAAGTCGATCGCATCCAGAGCGCTATCTGGCCCATCATGTCTGGCATCTCAATCTCTCTCGGATATGTGATCGGCGGTTTGATTCCTCTTCTGCCGTATTTTTTCACCTCAACTGTAGGCGCTGGCTTGTGCTGGAGCACTGGCTTTTGCTTGGTGGCCTTGTTCGGATTTGGATTTGGCAAGTGCTGGATGCTGAGTGAAGAGAAATCATACTGGCGACAAAGCCTGTGGGAGGGGTTCAGGATGCTGGTTCTCGGCAGTCTTGCCGCCGTTGCATCTGTGCTATGCATCAAATTACTTGAGACGAGCACTGGAGGGGTGCCTTGAACGATCATACAAAATGGGAAATACCTTGGGATATGGGGAAATAATTATGAGTAATGACACCATCACATAGAAGCGCCTGTATATATTGTTTGCAAGCCAAATAGCACTTAAAGAATCTATTCCCCTCTACTAGCAATGCAATTTCACATAGCTTGGTTGATTTGTAGAAGTTAGTGGACTGCGGACCATGTTTTGAGGAAGTGAGATGAGATGGGGAATCAGAGCTCCAGGTAAGAATGTGATCTTGAAGCATTGTGTTGATTGTTTAATATCCAAGAAAACATAGACTCATTTCTCAATTAGTTGCCATCCTCTAGTCCAAGAAATTCGTGAACCTGAATTTCGGTTCCTTCGAAATATCGACGTGGCTCATATTTTGGGTGGCATCCCGTCATCTCTTTATCTATAGGAACACCAAGCTCCTTCAGAAGCAGCTGGCAATGCTCGGCTGCGGTGCAGATATTGAACATGGTTTGCTTGTGGTCATAGTCCAGGGTTTCAAGCTCAGGGACACGGCCACCTTCACTGAATATTTTAATTGTGCCACGACTAGCATATGATTTATGCCTGGCCTTGACTTTTTCAGTTTCATCGGAGATGCTGGCGTTGAGCTCTCTAAAGCTGGTACTAATCCGACTCAAGCCATCAATTCGCTCCTCTGGTCGCTGTTCTCGGATCAGATGAATTATTTGTACTAGGCCGGAAACTTCATCGCAAATAATGTCGACGGTTCTTGGAGCTGGCAATGGGCCAATGAGTTTATCCAAGCCGCGAGAAAGCCTTTGAGAGTATGCCCGGGTGACCGACCCTCGTTCATCGTGGACTCGTGAGGTGTCCGCACCATGTTTCAGCAGGATCTTGAACAACTCTAGTCGCGAGGCATATGGAAATTGGCTTTTGGTTGTTGCTATCGGGAAAATCGCAATGGCGTGAACAAGGGGAAGGTAGACAGGAAGAAACATCTCTCGTGTCTGCAGAGGAACACTATCGTTTGCGCTGCCCTCTCCGCATTTGATAAGTACTTGATCCAAAAGATGCGTGCTTGCAAAAGCCCAAGGCATGTTTGGATAAGCACCATTAGAAGAGAGATACTCTCTAAGAGTGCGGCGACAACTATCTTCAGGTAACCTGTTGATAACCTGCAGGATGGAGTCATGATGACTTGGAGGTATACCCATCTTGGACAAGAGACAGAGAGATTTTACTCCCTCGCCTACACTGACTGCCTCCAATGATAGCATGAAATCGACAACTTCTTGGTTTTTATCCAACGCTGCCAGCCAAAGCGGTGTCATCTCCATCAGGCCATCTGAGTTCGTCACAGAAAATTGAAGCGGGTAATTTAAGTAGCCTGGATCCGCTTTTGCCAACTCAATCAGACACTGAATTTCTTCGACACAACTCCTATATCGTGTTGTCGCTGTACCGACGTCCTGTCGGGCCATTGCGAAGAAATGGATAGGCGAAAATGGCATGATGCCAGATTGTCTTCTATGGATCTGACAGAATGGTCCTCTTGTTCGTGCTGTAAGAGAGAACCCGTTATGTTGGAAATAGCAGCGAATGCATTCATCACACTTTTGAAAAAGTGGAAACGAGGTTTTGAAATTGCTGCGTATGTACTTGAGCCCTCGATCTGCTGCTTTGGAAGGGTCTTTTGCTGCCAACTTCGACATGTCTTGTTGACATTTCAGTAATTCCAGCCTCGGCCGAGATGCATCTTTGGATTTGGCGCGAAAAAGGGTTTCTTGAAGCTTTTGGAGCTTATTTGGTTGCTTCCCATAGCTATTAGTTCTTGAGATCTCCGGTTGCTTCTGAACCGGCCAAGTTGCAACTGGGCCCCGATTAACAGAGGAAGCAATTTGGATAACTTCTTTCTCTGGAAAAGCAACTTGAGTTGGTGAGGCTCGATGTAAGACCTCCTTTTCAGTAGTCAGAATATTAGAAGCCAATGCGTCGCTGACAACTTCCTTTTCGGGTCGTTGAAAGTGACTAGATACTTCTGGCTCGCCAACTTCCTTCTCAGCTTGTGCAAGGTCTGTGTTGTAATATAAGCTTCTCCGGGCTCCTGTCTGACGAAAGTCGAGATCCGAACTTGTGGTGGTATTTCCTGAATGTATGGACGTAGAAGATGTTTCCACGGATGAGCCCGTCTTCTCAAGACTGTCAATTGAATAAGACGTACTCGTGCTAAGCCACCCCGATAACCAATCAATCGTAAGTATAGGCTTCAAATGGGTTTGAATATCGAGGGATCAATCTTACCGTCCTATGGACCCGTCCACTGCATTTTCATCTGCAATATAACCCCAGTCACGTTTATTACAAGACCGTGCCGAAGGTCGGTTTTGCGGTTCAACAGTGAGCAGCTCCTCAATAATTCTCTAGAATGCCTGGGATGTAATTTTGCGAAGCCTTTCCGTTCCTGGTAGAGGGATACTTCCAGAATTATACTCAATCAAGTGATACACACTCTTGAATGGGGTGCCGTTTGTTAGCAGTTTAAACATCAATACTCCAAGTGACCACATGTCAGCCGAAGATGCCAAGTCAGAGTCGAGTGGTCTTATTCCAAGCTTCTCGGGTGAGATGTATTCAACCATTTTCATGGGAAGAGTCACTACCGTATCGTAGTCCCAATTACGGTATTTCCCAGTTCCGAACCCCGCAATTTTCACAATCCATTCTGGGTGCTGGGCTGCTATCAAAATGTTCTGATAGGGTTAGTCAAGATAATTTCCAACTGGTAATCGGATTGCTTACTGATGGAGACAAGTCCTCGTGAGTAAGCATGTGGCTGTGTAGGAATTCAAGAGCTTGCAGCAGTTGCGAGATGATCTGATGCGTTTGATTGATAGGAAAAGGAGTAGACAAGTAACGACTGAGGTCACCAAGTTCGAGATATTCCATGGAGATAAAGACAGAGTCTTGATTTTCGAACCACCCAAAGACTTTCACAAAAAGGTCTGAAGACTATACGCGACATTAAGAAATGTTCCTTTGTCGATAAACTGCTCACGGAATTCTTGGGCAGTGATACTGACCTTTGAGCTGGAGACAAGCCTAAGAGCATCAAGTTCTCGGGCGTAGTCGATGCTAACCTGGCCATCAAAGAATTTTCCAATCTCCTTTACGACTCTTTTTTGGTTTCCGTCACTGCCGCATCGCTCGAGCCGCACACTGCTTGAACCACCCTTTTGGCCTAATATTGGGGTCTCATCAGGAACCCAGCGCTCTACCAAAGACTCGGGCGTCTCGCCTTGTGGTATTGTGTGGATAGTAGACCCATCATGAGCGAACTCCGTTTCCAGCTTGAGGCCAAGTACAAGGCCAGGCAAATCATCAGTCGACATTTGAGGCAATTCTTCCTCTACCAACCGAGCAAAAGAAGTCCGTCTCACGCACACTCTGTGTGCTCACACCTGCTGCGTTCCCCGATCCGATGTGAGACAAGTGTTGTTCAACCGGCTTGTTGGCGTATAGTGTAACCTCTCGTAAAGTGATTGGTCCATTGACTGATGAGGTTTTGGGACACATTGCCAAGTTCTGTCAGCAGGAGGGCCATGAGGTAATCACACAAGAATTGCTCACAAGCAGAGTCTTTCATTGGCCCTTGAGCTTACGTGCGCGCTTTGCCATCACTCCACATTTGCCTCATGATGTCCCCAGTGTGATGCGTCATTGCGCATGGGTAGGAAATAAAGAAAGTATGAGATTAGGGTCAAAGGTTCCCTCTGGTCTGAGCTCCAATCAGTCAAGCGAACATATTTTCAAACAACACGATATCAATTGCATTATAGCCCCTCAGAAAACGTCGATGCAACCTCCTATGCAATCTTGTTGTTTCTCCTAACCTACCCTATACCTTGACTACCCAACTGGCCAATGTTCAAAAAACGAACGTTCGGTAGCGTGTGATTGCTTAAATTGTAGGTTTTTGTAAACAAATCAGAATTATGAGATGCATTCAGACGTAGCCTCAGACCTCGAGAAATAGAATTGAATGAATATCCCACTTGGTTCCTCCATGGTGGAAGAGGCGGAGATATTGTACATATCCCTAAGCAAAACAACCCTTATTTACTCAAATCATAGGTAAAAATCCGGTCAGTTCAAAATTTTTTGCGATACAAACAAATATCGACCGGTTTGAGTTAAGAAATCACCATAAAAACCGTGTTTGAATTAAACTATGCAGATTCAAAGCTCGCCCTTCACGCTTGAACCAACCCTCACGTCTTCATCTCCTAGGGAGTTTTCAGTTCCTGTGTCTTCCGTATCATCTTGCTTTCCATCCTCCTTATTTTGGTCAACTCTAGAAGGTTGGTCTGACTTTGGAACTCCCTGTTTACAAACGTACTGAGTCAATTCCTGAATAAAAGCTGACCATGTAGCTGGTTAGCGACATCTCTTGGGAATAGACGAGATCACCGTATGGATAAACCTACTACTTGCTCGATCAGCGTCGCATTTCTCAGCACATGGCTTGGCCTCTGTGGCGATGGCAGCAATGTTGTTACAGATTGTATCTGCAGGACCTTTCCCATTGCACGGGATCCTATTTGCCGCTTCTAGGATGCAAGGAAGGGCACAGTCGAACTTCACAGTGAGACCAAGGGCCTTGGTCAAAGCAAAAACCGTATCAAATTGGGCGGAAACAAGCGGTGCTGCAAGGAGCAAACTGGCAATAATTGTAAGCTTCATGATAGCTATTTCAGTTTAGAGGAGCTTGACTGTATCGTGCTTCTGTATCCCGTGGTTTTATGTTCCTGGTATTTGAGCCATAGTAATAAATATCAATCATATGATACATGAAAACACATGAGGGGCTGACGAGTTTGCGGAGTAAATAAATCCAAGACCTACTCATCCGAGGCAGATGGAAAGGCTTTACGTCACTTTATTCCCGAGATTCCAATTCGGGAATTCTTGTTTCTGTTCTAGTCAATTCATCGCCCATATCTTTCCGTGAATGGTAAGCACGTCGTGTTGGTGATTTACCCCGCATGCGACACCCATGTGCACATGAAATCACAAATAAACCACTTGGTTTGAGCAACTGGGAAGTACCTAATTATAGAATGGTCTTTGGATTTCTATCTTCGGTAGTTTTGACCTAGAAATTGGGCTTTTAGATAGGATACTTGGTGTACTTGTAGCCCCCCGATGAACACGCATGCCAACCTCTTTCCTTTATGCTTAAAGAAATACCTATTTCAGGAGTCATCGGTGCTCAGACGGCCTTTCCAATTCTTCCCTCTCCACTGCAACAGCATCATTGGTAAAATAGAGATTGCCACGATAGTAGCTGTAGTGATAGCCGTGGAACCTTGAAGGCCTAGATTCTCTATCATTTGAGGTATCCTAACCGCAGCAGATCAGTATGAGTTCCTGAATGCATAGTGCTTAATTTCACCTACCAGAATGGCCCAATGAACCCCCATACTTGACGAACAAATGTAATAAATACACCGACCGAGGCAGAATCTTCCCTGAAACAATCAACGGCGTAAGTAATAGACACGGTCGTCACAATTTGATTTCCTGCCGCTGCAATCGCCGCGCCAATAATTGGCGTGATATTCCATCGGTCACCAGCTCGATCAAGTTGAACTAAGAACACAACAACGCCAGTGAGTGTAAGGAGATGTCCTGGATAGCTCAACCATAAGCGGTATTCGGGGGGAGGGGTGACTCCAGATCGATGTTTCCGTATCGCCATCCACTTATCAGACATGAGGCCGCCTATTTGCTCTCCAATGACTGTCCCGAGGATGATGCCAATGTATTGAAGACCAACTTGTTGGGTATTGAAGCCGAACTTCTCCGGCAAGAGCTGCGGAATTTCAAAAGTTGTCATGACGCTGCCCCACAGGAATATCATGGAGTATGATACAGCGGGGATCATAACACTGGGGCGAGTGGCGAGGCTAAGAGGGTACAGAAAATCCTTGATCTTAATAGGAGTTGGATCTAAGCGTTTGAATTGGAAGTACTGTCGGCGAAAGGATGTTTTCGGGTCCGTTTTGGACGGATTGTATCGGGTTTCGGGACAAAGGAGAATATGAAGAATGATCTGAACGGCATTTGTCTATTCTCACTGTTAAGAAGCGCCCATAGGTTACCGGTATTCTGTACTTACCAAGGCTAGAATCCAATAGATCCAACGGTATCCAACTCGCATTGCCACAAATCCAAAAATGAGAGGAGCAACTGGGACACCGAGGGTAACCATTGCTGTCCAGATGCCCATATAATGTGCCTGCTCGTTTCTGAAAAAGGTCTCTGAAACAATGGCACTTCCTAGTGAACTAGCTGGGCTAATAAAGAACGCAGTGATGGCTCGGCACAATCCCATCGTCGCATACGACGGGCTCACAGCGCAGCCAATGTTTCCAATGAGGCTACACAATAAAGATATCAGGAATATTGGGCGTCGGCCGTAAACGTGAGACAGTGGCCGCCAGAAAAAGGGAGCTACTCCGAGTACCAAAACGACGAGAGACGTCAAATAGCTTGCTTTTTGGACAGTGATTTCGAAATCTTCAGCAATTTCGGAAAAGGCTGACTGAATTGCGGCCGCAGTAAAAGTAGCCATCATGGCATGGAATGCGACCACTAAAAGATTGACTACTTTCTGCTCGATTCTTAGATTGATTGATGTTCAAGTGGGCGACCTAGGACAATATACCTTCCATTTGGGCCAGTTCAAGGGATCGCCATCGCCCATTGTTGGCAGCGGATCCAAGTTAAACGTCCCATGACGCTTCAATAGATAGTCTCTGAGTTCTCGAGACAAGCTCGCGCCCGTTTCCTGTATGCTATCAGCACCTCTTCATGCTTTCGAAGAGAACGGTGGTAGTGGGAAGAAATATGCAAGACTGTTTAGACGCACAACATGCTCAGTCGTCTCAGACTTAGATTTTGCCATTGAACTTGAGGACAGGAAATTGAATAATAACAAGTGGACACAATTTGCTTGGTCTCAGAGCTGCGGTTGAAGTACGAAAGACCGCTGTGTAAATTTATATGATGAGCTTGAGAGAATGCAAGATCCCTTTCCCCGTGGGGTTGCACTCGGATCAAGATGGCCTTGGCGCATAAATATGGAGCAAGCTGTAAAGGAGATTATTCAGAAATACTCGGCATAGAATCGAGGTTGGTGATCTGGTAATTGAGATGTGCAAGCTATTCCGCTTATGCGGCACGGGTTATTTCTCTCCGATTGGCAGGCTGGACGTATCAGTGTCGATCTATCCTAATATTGCCACGGGGTTAAAGTCGGCCGTGCTTGAAACAGGGCCGGAAACGGGCCCTACCGGGTTCTTCGACCTTGCGGTGGCAGGGTGTCAAGGTAGGAACCCTGCTGCAAGTATTATCTTTTGAGAAGGGCTTCCTGAGGACTTTTGATCAGATCACTTGTCAACTTACACCGGAGATTCTAATGTCACCAGATCCTAACTTAGTCAGTGCCATGTCGAGTAAATATTTCTCGTGAACTGCAGTATCGTTTCTAAGACAACTAGCCGCCCTTGATAGGACTGTGCAGCAATGTACATGCGGATACGAACTAGGGCTTTTCTTCTATGACTTTCTTTTGTCAATATATCACTGACTTTGAAAGTATGGGATTTCGATGACGCCTGGAAATTGGACAATCTTAACAATGCATTAAGGCTGAAACTCTAATCTAGATGCTAGCCTGCCATAGAAACTTCTGCTCTTTACCCGGGATCAGCTTTCTCAAAGCTACACCATAGTCTCCAGCATTAGGTGTCCTCAAAAGAGTGTGAATATGAAACTTAGCAGGTTCTTTGTTTGCCAAGAAAACCCCAGAATGATGGTCAAACTCAATAATGATGACTGGACTCTGGATACGATAGTAGAATGGGTCGGAATCTGTAAATCCACCAATCCAACAAAAGTAGGTCTCATGAAACCACTTCTTCACTTCCTCGAGACGAATCTTGCGAGCCGAATCTGGAAGATAGAGAATGTATTGGTTGACAATTCCGATCACGAGCTCCAGTTGCTCAGCAGTAAACTCAGTAACGACAACCCCCTCGTAAGGGACCACCCTGTTATCGCGATATGCTCCACAAAGGTGCCTTTGATCATCGTGGTTCCATCGGCCAAGCGGCATGGCATCGTCTTTCATGTTTTTGTAAATCTGTGCCCGTGACTGGATTTCAGAAGGGAGGTCCTGCATTAACTGCAGCCCAAGCCTCTCTTCAATCTGCAATATTTGCGTTCCGCTGTGCTTTCCATCATCAATAATGTTGGGCTCAGCACCTGTGAACCACGGTGAGAGGACCATCTGCCTCCTATAAAAGAAGGCATTCAGACACAGATGGTGGCCGTAGAAAGAAAACCCCCACGGTTCGGTAGATGAAGGTCTTTCTCCAAACAGAACAAAGTTGTAAGAGAACTCATTCATGATAGCAGGAGACTCTACTAGCTCTCCCAGAAATCCATTGATTCGCATGGCAGCTATCGCCTTTTCGTATCCTTCAGGAGAGAGGCTGACCCGCAAAACGTTCAACACAGCAGAGCGCAGGTCATCGCTCACCTCATCTAACCTCACGCCCTTGTCACTTAACAAGAACTCAGGATTAGACCACGTTCTCCATTCCGGAGAATCAATATGGTACACCGTTTTTTCTCTTTGTGCATGGTCCATTGTTGCTAACGCGGCCTCAGCAGCCTCCACGATTGCTTCGATAGGAATACCATGGTCTTCGAGACTGAAGAGATCCGGTCTAATCTTCCCTGTTCCGAGAATTAGTCATTACATGATTTATAGCCCCAAATAGTTTGTCAGCTTTTCTTACCATCATTCGTGACTCCTTTATAGGGCTCAGAGAGAAGGCTGCGCCAATGTAGATATAGTGCATGTAGCCAAGGTGGCGCTGCGCTATCCTTGAAAGCTTGCACATACTCGTGAGCATTTTGCTTCTGCATCACCGTAAACCTGTCTTGAGAAAGGTCGGGAAGGTGCTCCCGAAACGGGGATATGCCTTTGGTTTGGTTCGTCATGGCTATTGGAAACTCGTATCTCGAGTGGTGGAGTTGATGGAATCAGATTTGTGGACATTTGGCGTCACCTTCATTCATATCCTTGATCTCCGTCAATTTGGTGATAGATGTAGCCACGCTACCCATACTATCTTCACATGATCTCATAGAGTCGAGCCATCTCGGAAGTGTAATGGGTCGGGTCGGTAAGTGGACCACGATGGACCGTCGGATCACTCTGTTCCTATTGGACAAGGCATTCCGGTGGCTAGATGCACAATGATACCTCCTTTGTCGTTGGGCGGATTAAGGACACAAGGCAAACGGAATCCGAGATCCCGGTAGAGCTCGAAGGCAGCCAGTCGGTTATTTCAAGGGGATATAGTTTCTGAAGCCCGGTTCAATGTCACATGTATGACCACTCGGAAACAGTGGCCAAGAAGCACGATTTGCAATGGCCTTGCCACGTTTTAACCGTAAGCATCAATAGTATTGGCTGATTGCGGACTCTGTAGTAGCTAACTTGAATCCCTGCAGGCCTTGTTCGTTTTGTGCCACGGTCCGATACAGCCAAGATATTGATCGGCCAGCCCGTCTCTCAACACATCGATGTCGGCCTGGCACTTTCCCAAGGCGCTGATGTGCAGGCTGAAGTGTTCTCTGGAAACTCAGTATTGGCGCCCGGTGAAGCGACTGGAAAGATAGAAGCGATAAGTCGTGTATTGTCGCCGCTTGCCTCGAGCGAGGTTGGGACAATTCGCTGCATTGGGTTGAATGTAGGTTTTGAAAACGAAACATCCAAATTCGAAAATAATTCTAATTTAGATACATGTCCAGTACAAGCAACATGCAGAGGAGGTGAAACTAGACATCCCCACTGTACCAACAGTCTTCCTGTAGGAAGTTGAGAATCTACGTCAATCTCGCTTTCACTAACCCTGAGGGTAGAAAACCGAATACTGCATTAGGCGACCCATGGCCAGCTCCAACAGTATTGCCAAAGTTATCACAGATAGACGACTGCGCAGATTATGAGGCCGAGCTCGCGGTCATCATTGGCAAGTCGGCCAAGAATGTGACTGAAGCTGAAGCCATGGAATATGTGCTTGGGTACTCGGCTGCAAACGATATCTCAAGTCGAACATCCCAATTCAACACCTCTCAGTGGTGCTTCTCTAAAGGATTCGATGGATCTTGTCCCCTGGGTGTGTTTTCTTGAATTAGGTTATGGAAGACCAAAAGAGAGTGCTAACTTTTAATACCAGGCCCGACGGTTGTTTCCAAATCTCTGATACCTGATCCTTCTAAGCTTCATATCAGGGGCTTAAAGAACGGGAAAGTCTTGCAAGTCTGCGGGCTGGAGTGAGTTGCCTTGTTTTACCATACACCTTATCGAAACAACCTTATTGAAACATACTAATGTCGGAACAGCGATTTAATTTTCAGCATTCCGAAAATCGTTAGCTTCCTCTCTCAGAGCTCTACCCTGCCGGCTGGGACGGTTATTATCACTGGTACCCCAGCTGGTGTGGGTGCGGGGAGGAGCCCAAAGGTTACTCTGAAGCAAGGAGACACATATTCTGTTGAACTTCAACCATTCATTGGAACGCTGATCAACGTATTTGAAAACGAGATATGAAATTGGAAATAGAACTATACCAAAATGTATTCTTAAAACTCTTAACGAATGCTGTTTAAATCCTACCAGAGTGAATTTTACCCGTCCGATAAAAGCGACTAGAAGCAACCGGAATATAAGTACCTTATTTATGAGCACCTTCATGGGGAGTCAGAGAAATCTAACCTTTTCATCAAGTTTATATTATGGACATAACCGAATAGCAACCAGACTTGGTCTTTCATATCATTTTTTTAAATTCTAGAGACCAAGGTTCCTGAGCAGTTCCTGAGTCTTGAATGAATGTATCTAAGAAACTCAGTCTATCTATTGGAATATATGATTCCCAATACGTGTTCTATTCGTTGGGTGTCTCCAAAAGCTTAGGAAATTCCTCCTTTAGATGCTCCACGATAGCGTCAGGGCCTTTATCCACCTGCAGTCCGTGAGGAATGGCGTAAGTCTTGATCCCAGGCACCAGCGACTTGGCCAACTCCCGCATCGCCGTGCTTTCCTCAACTGTCCACATGGAGGCACAGCACTATCTCCATGTCAGCGCGGATCATGGCCATGATCAGCAATTTGACTTACTAGAACGTCAGGCTGCACCCTTTCCACGGTCTCTTTTACTTCATCTTTGCCTAGAATCATGTTAACCAACACCCTAATACGCAACTGAAGATTCACTTGGTGTGCTTACTCGCGCAATTGGCCGCATGAATAATAGTGTACCTGTCGGCTAGTTCGCCAACCACTCTACCGATAAGCCTCTTCGCACGCTCAGGGGCGCTGTTCACTGTGACAAGCTTGTAAGAGCCTTTCGGAGAAGTGGAAGTCATTTTGAGGAAGGCTGTTACTGCAAGCGGTAACAGCTACTTAGATGTTTCTGCTGGGGTTGGACTTTATCTCAGTTCTGTTCGGCAATAGAAATAACATCCGGCGGTAGCACAAGAAGCTGAAGTATGCACGCTCCTGATCCCGCCAATTGCAAACCCCTGATCCGTATTTCCGCACGGCATGGACATCTGAGATGAAGATTCCGCTGCCGTTCCGGATATCCCGCTTCCGATTGGGCAGGATGTGCCGGCTGACGTAGAATGGTGAGGAGTCAACGCGGAGATCCGGGGTCGAGTGGGGAGGCCCATTTGCCCCGGCTGTCATGGTCGTGTCTCGATCAGTTGCACTCAAATGCAAGGCAATGGCAGGGTGTGATAATAAAAGAAAATCTAACAATGATGTCAAGTAGTCTGAGGATTCCGCTATCAATTGCTAAGACATCAAGCAATTTAACACATCCAGTATAGACTCACCCAATATATTGCAACATGACGGTCAACGGGACACCATGGCAGGCGAAGGCGCTGAAGGATGCCCCTATCGTCATTATTGGAGCTGGTACGTCACACATAGTCTTCTTAACAAACAGAAGAACTAGGTTAAGCTAACTGCCACAAGGTATGGGCGGCCTTGCTACCGCATTGGCGCTAGCAAAGAAGGGATTCAAAGACATCCAAGTAATCGAGCGGGCTTCCGGTCTGGGCTTCGTTGGGGCAGGTATCCAGATGGCACCTAATGTGGCTCGCATCCTCACACGCCTTGGATGCTGGAGCCCCGTAGAGGCGGAAGCGACTGATGTCCTGGAGACGAGTATTCGAGGTGAGCTGCACGCCCCAACATGAATGAACACCTTGCTGAGAACCGATACGTAGATGGTGCCTCAAACCAGAAGTTAGCTCATGTTGACATGCCCAACATTCGAAAAATGTACGGGTACCCGCACTGCACTGGTCACCGAGCCACTCTTGCTGGAAGCCTCTACGACGCTTGCAGACTCGAGCCTGCGATCAAGTTCAAGTTTGGGCATAGCTTGCGGAGCATAGAATCATTTGCTCCGCATACAACCTTCACACTCCAAACAGAGGCGGGAGAGACCTTGCAAATGAAGGCCGCCGTCCTTATTGGAGCTGACGGCGTCAAGTCCATTGCTCGCGCAGCACTTCTTTCAAAAGCTGGGTTATCGGAGTCTGTAGAGGACACTGGCCAGGCTGCCTACAGAATCCTATTACCTCGGCAAGCCATGGAAAGTGATCCCGAGATGATGGAACTTCTCGACAGCAACCAGGTGACTCGTTGGATTGGAGAAAAGCGCCACTGGATCTGCTATCCCATTGCCTCCAGAAGCATCTACAACATGTCTTCTATCCAGCCAGATGATAACTTTGCCGCGGCTCCATCGTCAACATACACAACCAAGGGGTCTAAAAAGGCCATGATGGATGTCTTTTCCGACTTTTGCCCTCTGGTTCTGCGCATGCTCAACTTGGTGCCAGAGGGGGAGGTTTGCGAGTGGAAGCTACGCTCGCAAAAGCCTTTACCTACCTGGGTCCACGGATCTGTTGCGCTTCTGGGAGATGCTTGCCATCCCACGTTGCCTCATTTAAACCAGGGTGCCGGTTTAGCCATCGAAGATGCCGCCGTGCTTGCGGAGGTGCTGGATCGCGCTCCTGACGCGAACCCCGAGTCCATCAATAAGTGTCTTCAAGTCTACGAGACACTTCGGAAGCCGCGCACAACGGCGTTAGTGGACCTCGCTGCCCTCTCTGGGCGGACACTGCATTTGGGCCAGGGAAAGGCCAAAGAGGAGCGTGATAAGCAGTTCGCAGAGGCAAACGGAGGTGGCAAGGTTCCTGATAAATGGGCGTCACCAGAGGTGCAGGAGATGATATATGGCTATGATTGTATGCAAGAGGCTGCGGCCAAATTTGATGAGGAGTATAAGAACCTTGAAAGGAGTATTTCGAATCGTCTGTAATACTTCATTAGAATGCAATCACCCCTACGAGTGTTGAGTTCCTGTATATGCAAATCAGCCCAGCGAAACAGATGAAAATGAAGGGAGAAATCGATTAGTAAAATTGCAAATGCTTTCCCTGCACGAAGAGGCTACCCATGAATCATGCAAATGTCTGCTCATATTAGCCCCGCGGCGTCAAAATCCGAAACTCCCAACTCCAGCCCGAAAAGATCCAGGTCCGCCATACTGGCCACGTGTTGTCCTTGCAAAAACTCGGCAATACCATCCCCAGAGTACCCAGCTCCAGTCTCAAATTGATATTCTCTTGCAGTCGGGGCCAAGTGGTCCCGAACGCCAGGTAAAGGGGAAAGATGGACTCTCGTGGTTTCATGAGGTCCCTGATGTGTAGGTTGGGAGCCTAATGCAGGTCAGTGAATTGCTAGAGTAGAGAGGCAGCAGCGAGTAGCCTATAGATCTTACCTTTGTTTGACAGCACATCTAGATGACGTTGCAGGCACCGATGGGCTTTCACGCTCATAGCGCTTGAAGCGCCGATTGCCCTCAACCTATCAAGACAGCCCCGTAGTTTCATCTCCAGATCAGAGCTGTCGTGCCCAAGAGCCAAGAAATTGATGACAGCGTTTTCAGAGGCTAGCCAGAACGCGAACATGTGGAGGGAGATGGTAAGAGCTAATAGTGTTAGCCGTTTACCCTTCAAATCTAGGAACCGATCCCACTTACCGCCGTAGTTGCAGGTCCACCAAGCCGTATTCTTCTTGAAGAATGATGGGCATTGGACCATGATTCCGCTGATTAACAACCCGAAGTCCTGTACGGCTCTCAAGTCGTTCTGCAGTAAGCCGCTGATGGTGTTTTGGTGAACTCCTGGAGGAACACCACCCTTCTTGCTGTGGGTACTCTTCTCAAGCGACGTCATGAGAAGAGGTCCGTGAACTAATAGCATAGTTCGATAATAGTATATAGATAATAGGATGCCCTGTGTTTTCGCTTCAAACTCTGCGGGCGTCCAGCTGTTGACATTTGTCTCCGAGGTGATGATCGTTGAAGGAGGTTGCTCATTGAGCCAGGTTTCCAGCCGCAAAGATAGCTCCAGGGTTTTCCCAAGTAAGTCTGGCATCTCGGGCCGAAATGAAGGATCAATATTAGATCCGCAGAGTGAGTCAAGGGCAGTTCCCATGATTTGATGGAGCGATCTGCGTAGGTTGGGCATTAGGAACAGTGCCGTAGACTTGGGGCGATAATTTAGGGGTTTCATTACACAAGATTGCGGAAATATTCCAGATCTTCCTTGGGGTATTGCATTTCGAGTGTTCTCTGCTGGTTGGACGAATCAATCAAATCTATAATTTCCATTCTGACGTGCTGCACGGGTATCAGGCATGGTTGTCCCAAGGCAGAACTCAGCATTCTATGACGAGGTGAGCATCAATTCCAAAAGGGTAGGCAAAGATGACAGACCTGTCTTGATTAATGATCGCAAACCATAGCCTTGAGCGGACTTCTTTCTGAGCAGGTGTCAGGTGGCCGTATGAGGATGGTGCATGAACTCCAAGGTGGTATGCCGACTTAACCGCCAAGGCATGTGTCGTCAAACTCTCTGTTGACCTCTGGCTATTCTGCTGGAAGCTGGAAACCAACAGAAGCGCCTGGACTAATCATTCATCAGCTCGAAGTCCAGAAAATTGCGATGGGGAGAATCCTACGGAGCTCGATGCTAGGAGTATAAAGCGTCCTGGGGTCCAAGGCACTTAGAGTCCGTAGATAGAACGGTTCCGCCATCTGTGTATTAGTGACTGACAATGAATGAGCGAACACAATATAAAGGAGGGCTTGCACCGAACGAGGTGCTGGAACATCATCTGCGCTCGATTCCACTCTCTCGAGACTGTCGGTAACTGCGGATTCGCTAATGTAGGGCAAGACCGCGCCCACCGTATCGAAGAAGCGAGCAATCCAACCAATAGCAGTCTCATGCTCAGGCATCGAGCCCGGTATCGAAGAGTATCTTCCATAATACTCGCCGATACAGGATGGCTGTGGCCTAGGTAGCTGTAAGGGCCCGTCATTTGCTCTGATTTGCCGTAGAGGCTCCTGGAATAGGCGAATCTTGCGATGCCCTAGGTTGGCAATTGTAGCTGTGAGAGACCAGAAGAGAGAGTGGTTGGAGCTTGAGCCTGTTTTCGTGGGATTTAGCAGAGGTTGGAGGTGATGAAAGAGACGGGGGAGTTACCAAAATAGCAGATGCTGCTCTGTGCCGAGGGGTGGTCAAAGACGCCGGCGGCGAGAACATCGATGACGGATTCTGGCTCTGACCGTCCAGCCGCCGATGTTGCTTTCTGGCTGGGGTGGTTTCTTTCGGTTTCTAGTCCTGGAGAAGCGCCCAGGTCAGAGATGCGGGCGTCAACGCTGCCTGGATGCTCAACGTCATCCGGATGCGACGTGGTCGCAGCAAGGCGCGACTCCAATTCGGCGACTCTGCTGCGCAACTCGAGATTTGCTCTGTTCTCAAAGGTCAACACGAAGTGAGCTACCTACTTGAAATAGGTGCGCAGCTTGGGGGAGCTACCTGCGCTCTACCTGGCGGTTCAGGCGCTTGTCCTGGGTATTCTGCGAGTAGATGCATTCGACGTTCAGGCGGTTGCATCGCTCGCACACGGGCCTCATGCCATCACACTACTTGAAGGGTAAGCGTACGAACGCATGATGAACGAGATGCGCTCACTCTGGACTTGGTCCTCCGGCAGGCGTTGCATGCTACCGAGGCTCGCTGGCGCCTGACCAGTGCGTCATTATTGCGGTCCATGCTGAGCACAGAACACGGCCGTCATTTGGGGCCCGGTGTGTGACCGGGTTGTGGAATCCAAATCGCGCGTGCTCGTGTTTGGTGTTTGGAGATGGAAGAACGGGGAGGTCGGCCTTCGACTTCTGGGAAGCGAGTGGCGGAACAGTTCCCGTCTGGGGCCGTTCCGCCGCCTGAGATTGATTTCGGTTACCGAGCCCTCTTTGGTCGTTCCCCAGACTGAGTCGAATAATGCTTGGTAGCCGGCTTACGGAATGCCCAGGCGCTGTTTACCTAATCCGCTGCAACATCTGTAATGCCTCCCACAAATTGCCACAGGGCATCTCCAGTGGGCCATGCGCTGTCAATGCCTCCAAGCTCAGAATCCCGCCGGTATGTGATCGTCCCTGGTGATGTGTCATCCAAGAATGAATGAAAACAAGCAAGATCGATGGTCCCATTGTATAACAACTGCTACTGAAGATTTCCTCCTTTGAACCGTGTCCATTCAAGTGACCATTTCTAGCGCAATCTTGATTTTCCGTATTGTTGATCTTCCTTCTCGACTTCAACAGGTACAGATCCAGCATGTTTTTTTAAACAATAAGGAGAAAACAAACAATAATGAGCACTTTTAGGATATCCTTGTCATTAAAGAGTCGCTCTGCCAAAATTCCTTCAACACGCCTAGATACCTCACACAATGGATATAGTCTGTGGCGACAGCTTGCATGTGTGAATTCTCATTTCCGCAATATTTTTTCCTTTCTTTTCTATGTCCTCGCCCTATTTTCTCATTCTTGCAGACAGGTGTAGTTTCAAGCTCTTGCTCCCCGTTACCCTATTGCAAACGGAGAAGGTGACGGACAATAATCGTTATCTCACGCGCCCCCGATATTAGTGCGCACACACCAGAAAATGATTTCCTGGTTCTGACAAGCACCAAACCTTTATTTCTTAACTGTATGGCCGGTTTTTTACTTGAACTCAAGCGCCGATGCCTATGCATCCCAATGAAACATTGCTAAACGTGCCATTTCATGTTGAGCGACGTTAAGCTCCGACAGAACCGCCGAGGGCAAGGCGCGATGTAGTGAGATCTCAAGAGAGTCCATTTAGAAATTTGAACTTATTTCATCTCACACGTTTGGGTTGGGTTGGTGTGTGTTTGGCATAAAGTTCAGTGATCAAACCACCGCAAAAACCTGGATAGATGACTATCCCAATTTCATTCACTTGTGGTATATGATTTAGATCAGTCAAAACGGCCATGTTCCCGAAATTTCCTACATGACCAAGATTTTCCAAATATGAACTAAGAAGGAGGGAGAAGGCCGCCCCTCAAAATATCAATGTTACATTTCTATTGTCTACTCTCTGTTTCACGTAGATTCAATAAATTTGGGGGATTCAAAACCATCTCCCCTTTTATGCCCAATAAATTGAGGGTAACTTTTTATGGATGTTTAAACCATCATTCCCTTCCCAACTCTCTACTCATCATGGTCCGAAACAATGCAGTCACGCACGAGCCTATACCTGCAATTGGGCGCAGAGACACAGCATGTCGATGAAACAAATGCTGTATGATCATCAAGATTCTGGGTTGCATGGAAAACAGGGAATGGCTGAAGCAGATTCTGACGGGATGGCGTAACTGCGTCGTAAGCCTCAGTCAAAGCCCCAGCGCTCTCTGTGGATCTGAGCCGATCGGCCGAGACTGTGAGACGGCTTATTAGGGGATAGTACGCCTTCGAGTAGACTGCCACTGCTGTAGTAAATGAACGGTATGTCAAGCTAGAGGCGCCGTGCATGGAGCCGATCGGCGAAGGATCCACAACCTGAAAGCTTGACTTGCTTGACAATGCAAAACTAGACGCTTTGACGGATGCAACGGCCACTTGAAACGAGTTAAATGGGGCATCCCGAGACCGGGAAAGGGACAGGCTGTATCTGATTCGGGGAGGTAGGGTTTGAGAGTGTTTCAAGAAAGCATATCCCCTCCTATTTCCAAAGCCCGATCATAAGATCACTCAAACTAAAACGGTTGAACGGCAAAACACCGTGTGGGCCAGTGATCCCATCGGCAAGGAGGACCCTAGCATCAGCGAGATCTGTACGCAGGCCTCCCATCGTAGGCAGTGATAGCAATCCTGCCAACGGTATATATAGTTCATCATTCAACCTCATTGTTGAAACTTGCTCTCCAGTCTCGCAGACACCTTCCATTCATTTCCTCACCAGCTGGCCTTTTACTTTCCTTTCCACACTCAACCGTCAACTTTCAACCGCAACAATGGGCCGGCCCCAGCTTCTTCTTCTCGCCCTGCTTTCGGCAGGCAGCTTCGCTGCGACTACCACCACCACCAAGGCAACCTCTGTGGTTCACTTTGAGACACCAACCGGGTTTCCCACCGATCTTCCATCAGGATGCCCTGGATTTCCCGGTGGGCATCACACTCCCGGCCACGGTCACCATACTCCTCCCAGTGGCTTCCCCTCCGGCCACCCAACTGGAACTCCTCCTAGTGGTTTCCCGACTGATTTCCCCTCCGGCGTACCTACCCCCGGTGCCGGCGGCCACCATCATCACTGGCCACCTCACTGTGGCACTCCTCCTGCAGGCTGGCCTAGCGGTACTCCTCCTGCTGGCCGGCCCACAGGTACGCCAGGTGCTGGGCAATCTGGCTTCGAGACCCGCACCCACAAAGTGTGAGATGCCGAGCAGCGAAGCCAAGAAATGGATTGGTCGTCCAAAGGAATATATACGATGGACTGATGAAGTTTAAGTTATCTTAAGAGCTGGGGAGCCGTTTCAGACATGCTGGAAACCACTTGGGGCAATTTTTATACCTTGTTTTGGAGGAATAACTCGATCAGGTTAAAATAGAACAAAGTTCCCTCTCTAAAAGAATTGAAATCTTTCTCGTCTATCTTATTAATTTCCAACTACAGAGATATGTGATATTCCGAGGTAATTCATATGATGCCACCTATCGCCTTGACGGTGATGTAGTGTATGCTAGGCGCTCTATCCTAAAAGTGCTCTATTTTGTTTGTTTTCTCCTTATGATTTTATCCTTGCTTGAATGTATGCCTTTTCCTTACCAGCGCCGGACCAGCCGGAATTTTGTAAATGACCATGCTGCCATCAATGCTCAATGCTTTAGTTGTTGTTGGTAGGATAGTGGCTCCGCAGCCGCAGCTGGCGGCCCTTCCAGAAGAAAATCCACGGCACAGGTATCATAACCACACTGATGAAAGCAAAAATGCTCCCTGCCCAATGGATCCCAATCGAGGAGTCGTATAGCTGGATGATGAACTGAGGGAATGCTGCGCCCATGGCAAACCTCAGCATCCCATTTGCCGCAACTGCCGATGCGGAGTTTGCAGTTCCGTACACGTCGATCAGATACGCCATGCACGATAGGAAGCTCGCAAGCGTTCCCCAGCCGAACGGCAGACCAGCCAATACGGGTACGATCCAGTGCGTGTTTGGACCTGGAGTCCATGCGTACCACTGTGATCGTGTCAGCATGAGAGCCCAACCAGGGTACATGATCTAGAGCCGAGTTTGAAATTTGAACAACTTACAAAAAGGCCAATTGGAACCAGCCAACAGCCGAAGAGGGCTGCGTATAACCGGTGTTCAGGGGCCGCCATGTCATTGGTACGAACGACCTCCTTCTGGTACTTGATCTTATCGAAGATGCCGAATGTCGCAACGCCAAGGAGGAAACCTAAATTCATGCGTGAGGATGAGGAGATATTTACGAGAAAAGGAAAGGTTTGGGTGGGCACATACCGATAATGACTGGAATATAACATAATCCAATCTGACGCTGGTCGAACGAGTATACCTTGGTATAGATGTATGCATATGACCCGAAGAAAGAGAATATCATGGCAAAGCTGTAAGCTGAATAGAGGCCGAGAAATATCGAGAGCGGCTGCAATATGTGAGCATTCAAAGGATCAACCCATCCCATTTTGGGTTCTTACCTCGAACAGACACATGTGGAGGGGCCTGAGCAAGCCCTTGACAATCTTCCTCGTCGTTTCGGAGGCGGTGTCTGTCTTCACATGGCTCCCCCTCTTCTTTGCCCGCAAATAGAGGATCCTGTGCTTGGATGTCTCCTTCATAAACACAATGGCAACGCCAACAGGCGCCAAGATACACAGCACAACCCAAACAGACCACTTCCAGTTGTTATTGTACTGGTGGAGGATGTATGCGCCCATCAGCGGCCCGAGGGTTGGTCCCAGGAACGGGGCCAGGACATACGGCACGCCCACCTTGGCGGCGTACTTCATATCCCACACATCTGAGAGGGAACCTGGCATCGGAAATCAATCCCTGTACGTTCATGGCGTCAATCGCAAGAGGAAAAGACATACCTGCCCCGACTGCCAACACACCTGACCCGCAGGTGCCTGCCAGAAACCTAAATACGACGAGGATGGTGAAATTATCCGAAGCCGCTGCGATGGCATTGAAGATGACAAGGGTCGGGAAGTTGAACCAGTATATCCACCGGCGCCCGTAGAGCTCGGAGATGGGAGATGTTATGCACGGGCCGATGACAAACCCGGCGGTGTAGAGGGACACGGGGAGCAGGGCCACGTTCCTGCTGACCTGGAATTGCTCTTGGATGGCGGGAATCGCTGCGACAAAGGTGGAAATGCCGGCGGTCCTGTTCAATCGATGGCGAGTCAGCACGCACCCTCCAGTGCACGGGTGGATGGCACCCTCTAACGTCCAGCACGACTCGGATGAGAGCAAACATCTACGTACAGTCCGAATCCATATACGGCCGGTATCGCGCTGTGCATGACCCTCTGCCATGTTGCCCAGTTGTGCGGATTGTCAGCGTCATCTGGGCCATCCCAGTCGAGCTCCTTGGCTAAGTCATCGGGTTGGACAGGCGAGGGGGGTTCGGTCAGAGATGGAGGCTGCTCGTCGTGCTTGATGGATACTTTGAAGGTCTCTTCAAGTTCGATATATTCGCCCGATCGTACCGTGGCTGAATTTTGCATTATGGCAGCGGTCTGCCGGTGATGTTAATGAGTGAAGGTCGGGTCACGACTGAAGGGGGGGAACAGCGAACTGAAGGGAGAGGAAATTACATGTAGTAGGGAGAACACCTGGCGTAAATACATGCAAAAGTTGGAGAAAAAAACAACCAGCGTCGCCCCGTGTACCTGCTCCCTGGGAATCGTCATAAAACCCATCGGATTCCCCCAGCGTGATTCACCTTGCTCCCAGAGTCCCGGCACCATCCATCACCCGCCCATTCAACAACCGCCGGCAGAGACAAAAGGCCCACTAACGGGAGATATTGCCTGGCCTATGGGAAAGCAAATATGACAGTCCCCACTGTTGGCATGCCTGGCCAGAGTCGAGGGCGGTGCTGTGATTGGGCTGGCCGTTCCGAGTGACAGGCCATCTGTCCATACTTGCTTTTGCTGTTACAACATGCAGGCACGAAAAAACTTATCTTATTAATGCAGGCCGTCACACAGCGTCAATTGAACAGACACGAGGGCCCCTGTTGACTGTTAACTGCCCGAGCCTCATAACACACGCGCTGCTCTCACGCTGCCACGAGGGCCCGGGGGTAGGACAAAAAGAAAAAAACAGCCTCCTGCTGGGAAGCTGAAACACCGCTTGCGTGCCGCTTTGCCGGTGGATGCTTTCACATACGTTGTGTCTGGCTGCGTCACACATCACATTCTCTCCCTCGCCGCATGCCGCACCCGCCCAGGTGAATTCCGGAGGGCATTCCAGCCCCTGGGAACGGCATTGCATAGAGTAGCGTGGCATCGTAGACGCTAGAGTAAGCACCCGCAAAGCCGCGGTAGTAAATAACGTTGGCATCCGATCTTCCCAGTCTCAATCCATTCATGGATGCTCATATAGCGAGCATGTGGACACTGTTGCTACAAATCCGGAGCAAGGCCGCGGATCTCTTCAAGATCTGTCCATCACTCTTGGATTGACCCTAGATTTTGAAGTTGCTAACAATATCCATTGGCCGTTGTTCTGGATCTGGTGGACGTCTATTTTTCTTGTCTGTACAACCTACCGCTCCTTTTTCACAAAGCAACACCGCAGGACAATATCAGGGAAGGAACCGTTAAATCACACGTTATTTTAAGCCTTTGCGCCTTGGGATCAAGGTCATTTACCAACCCAGGGCTGTTCTGGTACAGCCAAGGTCACTGGCGGCGCTTTTGGGCCTCCTTTCTCTTCAATCAATTTGTCACTCCCGGATCCGCCATGCTTTCATGCCGAGATCGGCATTAGCTTCACAAGTCCTTCAAATCGCATACCTCCAGCCATAATTTGGTCCCCGCATTGGCACGTGCTCCCCCCCCCAACTGATCGCTAAGCATACCCAGAGCCTTGTGGATTACCGCCTTGCAGAGAATACAGTTTTCGAGACAAATTATCATTGCCCTTGTAGATATGTTCCAGGGCTCGGACTTTATTCTCGGGAATTCGATGAATCGTTAGTTGTCCTCCAAGTTGTCACAATCAACGCATCTGGGTTCACATGATCAACCTATAGTAGAGTGAGTCAGCAAATTGTATTGAGCCGTTTTGTGTTTAGACTCGCTCACATTCTCATCATTTTTGATCCGTTCAATGGTCTCGGGGTCGAAATAGCCTGAGTACACCTTAAGGGCGTCATCGTAGAAGCTGGTAGCACCTTCAAATAGTTTGCCATCCTTGACCTGGTGTTTGGTGATCCATCGTTTGGTGACATTTTGAGCATGTGTCCAGACGTCCATTTTGGACCGTGGATCCATAATGACCATGTATTCATGAGTAGGGCTGAACACCTCCATCAGCGACTCGTTTTTGCCGATATACCCCACAGCGTTGACACTAGTGACCTAGAGGAATCGGTTAGCTTTGCAGATACAGAGGTGGCATGTCATACTCACAGATGGATCGTCTCGGATTCGTTTTACAGTTGCATCTCCCATCGTGGCCCAATAGATCCCGGAGCTTGAGAGGCAACAATAAGTCGCCGATCTGTCCCCGGACCGAGCACCCTTGTAGCCTTTTGGATTCGTCGTGCTATTTTTTTGGAGGTTCGATGCCCATTCTGCATGTTCCCAAGGGCTCACCTTTGTTGTATGTTTGAGCCAGACTGAGTATGTATCTGGGACTGGGTTGCCTTCTCCAGGCATGGGGTCGTGAGTGGTAGCGATTGCCAACCCTACTAGGCTGAGGAGAAACAGATTTGGTATCAGCATCATAGGCCTGATATTTCAAAAGATGGATTCAATATTCTGGGATTTTCGAGTAAGTGGTGGGTCTTTGCGTGGTCAGGATGACGATGTTGTTGTTTGACAGATAGATGTGAGATCGCGAGTGGTTGTAGTCTTTTGGATCGCGGACATCAGGGCTCTAATGTAGGCATTCATTGTGCTCGATGGAGTTCAGTGTACGACAAGTGACTCTGGGCGACGAGGAAGTTAAGGTTAGGTCGTGCACCTTCTAGCAGGCTCTCAAGATGACTCTTGGCTTTTTTCTCTCGTAACTTCATAAAGTGTGTTATGTGGCTGCATCACATGTGGCCCGGAAACCTTTCCTTTTGACTTTTTTGGCTTCATATATCACGAGGTAGCCCATTGCAAACCGACTACGCCACCGGGCTCACACCTGATGAATGCTGTTTTGGCTTCCTACATCACATGCGAGTAAGTGATTGCAGAAGGGGAATTGAATGAGGCGATGTTGGCTTTGAATTAAGCCCCTACGCGAAAATTTTGTTTTCAATAGTTGGGGGAGTCATGCACGAATCACAGGCGAGTTCTCTGGACTGGTCTGACTTCTTGTATGAACGAATCTTCAATCCCTCTAACACACGTGGCGCCTAGAGTTCGGTTTGTGAGGATGCAATCCGGCCCGCCCCGGCACGATCGTGGCTGTGGAGGGCTGCCGATACGTAAGACAAATGGAGTATAAAGTTAAAAGCAGCAATGGAAGATGCCAGAGCCCGACATCTCAACACAATGAGTAGAGGGCTGCCAATATCGCTAACCCTCAACGTGCATGGAGGTTAAGGCCACACACATCTGAACCTAGCTAACTTACAAAACAGTAACTCTGCTAAAACTGAAGCTTTTCGTGATCACCTCTTTTCACTAATGGAGCCTGACCGAGCTGTCCATCGTCAAGACAGGCGATGCCCGACCCGGCTGTCCCTTGTCAAGACGTGCGATCGCTTTGCAATTGACCTGGCCGTCTCCCGTCATGACAACTCATTTGATGGCACTATTGCAGAAGAAGGCTCCTGTGGTGTTACTCCTACTAACCTAAGCGATATCGGCTACGAAGGCTTCCTCACACACAATCGTTCAAGGGTGGGGTGGTTGAGCTAGGTACCTTGGTCAAAAGAGATGGCCGCAAAGAAAATTCGTAGGATTGAGTTGTTCATATTTGTCCAAATAAGCCCAGCATTGCCCCAAAGCATATACAAAGCTGCAAACCCACTTAGCAACCTTGGGCTTGGAAGATATTGAGCAATCTGGATTTTCTCGCGTAGCTAGGCTTCAAACTTCTACTAACCGAATCACATGGAGTGCTTTAGAATGCTGTCGTAAATGTGACTACACTGCCATGATGACCCCCTTGCGTCCGAAGCTATTCCCAGGTTTACACTATACCCTCACCTCTATACCATTTCGAGCATTGTCAGCTATATCGTCCTTTCACCAACATTACTAGAGCTCGGCCCTTCTCCGAGCTGAATTGCACCACCAATATTTAGGTGAGTACTTTACTGGATGTGAGAAAGAAGAGTGGTGATACCTGAATTGCGACTTCGCCCATTATCACGCGACCATGCATCGCCACTGTGGCTGGCCGTAGTCAGGTTTTCAATCAAACAATTCTAGAAGAAGCATTATACGAAAGTATATCAGATTTTTAGTTCAGAAACTTTTATTGAGATCAGCTACTGTGGCCACGCGGTGTGTCAGATCATGGATGGCTGACGGAGAATGAAAGCGGCTATTTTCACAAGCCTTCATGGCTGGATCAGGTGAATCACTTAAGTCGGAGAGAATTTTTTCATGCAATATGATTCGGATGCATTTGAAAACTTTTCAACGCCGGATGGCAGTGGCGCTCCAATAGAGTCTATGGGAAGGAAGGTTGCCTAAGTCATGAGGTCAGGTGTTTTACGCGTGTTTTCCCACGCCTCATCAGCAACAAGCTCTAGACACAGCCTTGAAAATTTCCTTGAAAATTTCTTGGAAAATTTTCTAGGTAGGGCTCTCGCAGCAAGCAACGTTTCCAAGTTTTTCTATTTAAGTAGCCCTGCTTTCCGGTGTGTCTGTGATTTTCGTTCAGCACGCCACCCTTTACGAGTTCCACCCAGCAAGGTGTAATCAGTTCATCAATCACTTGAAAAATAAAGAAATACCCTACCTTACAACCATAAGAATACCCGGTCTGGTCTGCGATCAAAAATGTGGAACATTGCTCGTCATCTCCTGCTCCTGGTGTGCTTGCTCTTTGCAGTGAGCTGCCATGAAACAAAACCAGGACACTATCTTGTTCTGATAAAAGATAATCACCATACTACACTTCATGATCATATGGCTTGGGCCAATATGATCAACCAGGATAGCGGCTCGGGACATTTCGGAGTCCAAGAATATTATGATTGCGCCATTGGCAAAGGGTATTTTGCCCATATCTCTGGCAAGACAGCAACAGAGATTGGAAAACGCGATGAGGTAAGATTCAATAATGAATACAGCTGTTATAGCACTCATTTAGAATTGTTTCTTTTGAATTCGCCTGCCCCGCCTCTTTCTCTCCTCTTATAACTCGCAGCTCTCCGGCTTGGTAAAACTCTGTAATTAAGGTGACTGATTCAGTTTTATTACACATGCGAAAAGAGAGAGCCTCCTTCTCTTCACCTCTTCGAGCACACACCCCAACCCAGAACCCTGAATATTCTACCCAAACTTTTATGTCAATTTTAGCTAAGTATCTGTTACTGAAATTCTTCAATAGGTCCTTCACATTGTCCCACAGTCCACATGGTCCCTTGCAACAGCACCGTCAAATGAAGAGATCATTGTTGATAAGAAAATCGATCCCAAAAACTGGGCCCTTCATGCAATTTCTTCGAACCCACCAGAAAACAAGGGCCCATATAAGTATCACAAATCCCAGGCCACTGGAACCTATATCTACATTGTAGATTCTGGCATTCAGTCTGACGACGAGGAGTTTCAAGGGCGCGTAATATCTGGTTGGGGGTACAGCGCTCGAGATGATCTTTACGAAGGAGTTGTCGGCGGTGAGCTACGTCATGGCACTTTTGTGGCCGGAATTGCAGGAGGTGTCCGTCATGGAGTCGCTAAAAATGCTACACTGGTTGATGTGCAAGTTGGGCGCGACCACCCAGGATCCTCTCAACTCTGGGGCGGTAGCATCGCTAAAGGGCTTTGCTGGACAGCGGATGATATTATGCTACACAATCGCGCCAACAAGTCCGTTGTCAACATATCACTTGCCCCTGGCCGATTACATTGTCGTGCTGCACTCAAATGGCTCGAACGTCTCGAGGAGAGAGGCGTGACGGTAGTTGTTGCCGCAGGGAACGATGGAGTAGACGTCAAAAGTTCGTGCTTTGGAAGCAACCTCCATGCTATCCAAGTGGGTGCATACGACAGGGACTTCAATGCTGCAAATTTCAGCAACCACGGCACAGGTATCACAGTCTGGGCACCTGGGGTGGAGGTACGATCCGTTCTTTCTAAGGCTGTTCTCGACAGAGAGGGACGTAAACCTTGGCCCGACGACACGAAAAAAGGGACATCGTATGCCGCCCCACATGTGGCAGGAATTATTGCCGGCTGGATGGGTGAAACCGAAGAGGGGCTCTCTCCAAAGCAGGTCCGAGAGAAACTTGATGAGCTCTCTCATAAGGATGTACTGGGCACTGACGACTTTGAGAAATGTCAAGTCCCTAAGGATGAGTGGGAACATCGATTAGCTAACAACCGAATCGTCTACAATGGTGCAGATGTTTAATGGCAACCAGAGGGAAAGTTTTCAAGTTTTTGTCAGATTTTGGCTCTCATATGGAGTTAAAGTTAGTTAGGGTTACCACGGTACCATAGGGATAAGACTAGGCGAAAAGTGATTTTCTGCAGATATTTCTTTTTATCGCTTGATGTTTGAACCTGCTATACTCCAAGTTCTAAGTTGCCGAAATATCACACGGCATGTAGTGTATCCCTGTTTCTACTCCCAACCATCCGTGTGGAGCTGAATCAATCATCCCTTGAGCGCTTGCAGTCCATCTCAAGAACCTCTCGTCTTAAATCGGGTATACGCGGCATCCAGCTTTTTATCGGATGTCGCTTCAAGATACATGCGTCGTCCAAGCCCGAGTGCTTCACTCACCAGCAGCGCATTGCTCGTCAATCATTCGACTACAATGCTTTAATGTACCATAGTGCAGCGCACCGGGCCCGACAGAGGAACTCGGACGGACCTGCTAATTGAGGGACTGGCCGGTAGTGTCAGAGAAGCTGGGTCCCAGTACTCGATTTGGTTCAAGAGTTATTGAAACAAAGATGCATAGAGGGAAAGTATCGAGTGCGGCTGATACACCTAGCTTCGCGCGATCGCTCTGGCGTGGCCCTGATGGGTTTAGGGTTCAATTTGGTGGTCGTCGAAGCCAACATGAAGGCTACAACGGCTTTGGTTTGTATGTGGTAAATCACCATCTACGCCTTTTGTGCATAAGGTCGTTTTCGCACTCGCAGACTCGATGCTAGCCGCATCCAGTCTCCCATGATACTCCTGCCACATGGCATTCGGCATGGTGAGAGTATTGTGGTTTGGTAGCGTGCTGCGCCTCAGGACGACCAATGATACGATATTACAGGGATTAAGCTCGCCCTGACGGCAAGTGAGTCTTTGGTTGAAGGTTTGCAGAGTTTTCCTTCCGCATGACTGCCTTGGGCGAGCAAAGCCGTTTTCTTAAGCTTTCGTATTCATTGTACTGAGATGTCGGGTCTAGCATCTTTCATCAAATGGCTGTCTTAAACTTCAATTGTACTTGAAATCTCTCCCGTACCGTATTACAGGGATCAACTTGATGTCACCATGATCCACTGTGGCATTGTCTAATCACCACTAACAATCAAATGGCTGCCTGCTAGGCACCGGCGGAGCTGAGATGGCCAGATCGCGTCTTTTAACCCAACAAACATCCTGCTCAAGCCGGTGGATGGCATAAACTTTTCACCATTCTCTTGCTAATAACCGCAGAACCTTCATCCAGACTCTACGCGATAGAAATGGGGTTTATCGCCTCGTCCTTTTCTAAAGGCTCCTATGAGCGCGCACCTGATGCCATTGTTATTCTGCAATGGGAGAACTCGGTGACTGCCTTGTCGCCTCGCCTAAGATTCTGGGTCATTCGATTTCCCATCCCCAGCAAGGGCTCACCAAAGACGAGAGAGACATCCTTCCCAGTCCCGACTGCCGTTGAAAAACGGATTGACGAAATCAGCTCCATTTCCTTCGGGACCAACCGTCGGCTGGGGCGACTTCAGCTGCCTCCTCAGGTCTTGTATCAGTCGTCTTCGAGGTCGATCCTCGTGCATAATCTCTTGGTCGGCGAAAGCCAGACGGATAGCGAACTTCTGAGCTGGGGACCTGGCCTACGTCTACGAAAAGTCCAAGTAACAGATGGGTTTTTCGATGAACCGCTGGCATCCTTGTCGGACACCAGATTTCTGGCCCATTCGACTATCCTCGGGGGGGATGCCCAGGATAACAAGGCGGGAAGTAAACTGACAACCGTGGCACATGAGACTGGCGACGGTTCCATTTCAGTCAAATACCGATCCAGAGCCTCTCGCGACTCCGAATGGACCTCTTCCTCGGCGGATCGCAGGCTCGAGTTCAATGAACCCAAGGAACAAATTGTACGAACAGCATCGGTGCTTAACTCTGCTGTATCCTCGGCTGTTTCTGGTTCATCCGTCCCTCTTCACCGCGTAACCGTTGGCTCGACACATTACACGGTTCTCATCAATCTAGGGAGAAGCGAAGACGGCTCGAAGACAAAAGTTTCGCTTTACACGACATTGGAGTCCGACTTCAAGGCGGAAGCGCAATCAGTAAAGCAGACTCGCGATGATCTCGGCCTGAGATGGGAGGTTCAGAGTTTCCACCTGCCCAGCGGCGTCACCAACGTCGCACCAGTTGTGGTAAAATGCTGGGAAAAGCCATACCCAACTTATCTCGTTCTGTTCTACACGTACCAAGGCGCCATGTACTACAGCCACCTGAGGTACGCTGGATCCGGATATTTTGGCAATCAAGTCATCGGTGTTCCGTGCCTCCTGGCCCCAGAGCCGGAGGACCAACAGGTTGCACCAGCGCCAAAGGCATCCGCCCCCTCGAGATGGTCGATCTCAACCATTTCCCGTCCAGCCCCAAAGGTTCCCGCGGCGGACGAAGCCTCATCTGGACAGGTTAAACAGGAACCCATCTTGACTGCACTGCAGGGATTCCAGCCCACCGTGATACAAACCGACGAGAATTTGTGGCTGTTTTATGAAGGACCTGATGGCAATCCAAGATATGCGGCTTGTCCCTCCCTCCCGAAGGAAATAAAAGATCTCGGAGTCGGCTGGGAAGAGGTTTCATGGTCTGCTGAGCCTCTTCTGAGCTCGGAATCCAACGAAGGGGCCGACGACAAGGCCTCTCCAATTTCGAGGCACTTTCTCCCCGTTGTTGTTCCTCGAGATTTTATGAACATAGGCTAAGTCTAATATCAAGAGGGCGAAATCTCATCTAGTCTTGGTTTCGTTTGTATCTTTCATGTATGAGATGACCACGTGGTCTTCCCTGCTCAGGATGCGGGTACGGCAAGCGTGATTGGTGAATACTTTGGGGCAGGGCTGGCTGAGTCTTTAGTATATTGTACATCAAGTGCCTTGCTGAGAATTAATTTCACGTGATTACCTTTGTTATTTGCTACATGTGCAGCGGCAAGAATGGAATATAGACAATTGCCATCTCTCGCCAGCCAGTTGAGAGCTTTCTAGATCGGTGATGAGGGCAGCAAGCTCACTGTAATTCGATAGTTCTTGTACAGGCACATCAAGAAGTTCCTGGATCACATCATGGGACTAGAACATCTTGGCGCTGACGGGTTGAGCTGGCCGAAACAGCCCAATCACATGAGTCTATAGCTCGCATCCGTCGCATCAGCCCACCACCCTCAGTGATTTGTGGCTTGTTCTGGCTGTTGCTATTCGCCAATTGGGCATCCGCCACGCCAGAGCTGACGAGTCCCCTCGCTCTTCTTGATCAAATCTTGCGAGAATTGCGTAGGCGCCAAGTCCCCTCTGCCAACGGGAGGTGGCTGGTGTCCTCAGCTGAAAGGTTCGGGACTGACTGGGATATCATAAGTATGGGCCTTTGTCCCTGTATTCTTCTACTGGGGTAAAACTCGCCATCATCAGACGCGACAGTTCATAGTCATTTGTCCATCCCGCCCAGGATTGATTTCTCATACAAGCCTTGATTGCAAAAACTACACTCGCGCACGCATCTCAGCTTTGGAGTCGCACCAGCTATTTCTGCCCACCATGTCCTCAAAATTTGCTGCTCAGAGTAAAATCCCAGACATGAATAGCCGTGGCGATTATCAGCAGACGGTTCCCGTGGACGGCGACGTGCTCGCCTCCGAACACGACCAGCTTCCGCCATCATACGAAGAAGCAGCGGGCTCATCGTCAAATTCCCCCAGTGCAAGGACTCTGCCCGACCAAGCTCCCCGATCACCAACGACCCGTACCATGTCAAATAACTCTTCGGAATGCAGGTCAAGATGTGGTGGATCCGTACAGAAGCCACAGGATCCAGTCACCCAGGGCTATCAATCGCAAAATCCCATGTCGGCTTATCAGGACGATGATGCCAAGTGGGATGCAAAGCTCGGCGAGCCGGGATGCTGCTTTAGCGAGAGTGGCGCCTGTTGCTTCTCTAAACGAGGCGCTTGCTGCTTCTCCGATAGAGGTGCATGTTGTTTCTCGGACCGGGAGGCGTGCTGCTTTTCCGATCGCAAGGGTTGTTGTTTCTCGGATGAGGGCGCTTGTTGCAATGGCAATAGCAGAGGCTCTACGGGCACTTGCTGCTGACATTCTCCGGAACAAGCAGGAGAGCTTGGCCAAGTTGATGACCAATAGCGAATTAGTGTAATGATATTGAGCAGATAGCGTTATGCAATGATACCCTTTTCATGAGACACATGCTCCCGATTATTTCTGACGACGTTATCATGAATACAGTCATCTTCAACTAGTTGCACGGATATGGTACCGCCTGGGGGTTAAAGATATGTGTGTTCTTGCAGGTTGGATGAGGAGAAGAACCCGAAGGAAGAAATGGACGGGCTTCTTAGGGGCTGCGGGCTATAGATTAGGACTTCAGCGCTTTCCGTCAGCTGAAAAACAAATGCTCTATCAAAGATCTGAAGAGGCATATATATTTGAACAGGACAGGCCGGTATTCATGACCGGCTGGTTCGTCGCTGGATCCCTCAGGCTGATCCAGTCAGACGCAGTAGAAGGAACGAAGACATTTTCCAACAAGTTGGAGGTGTCTGGAGGGTTTGAGACTGGCTCGTGGCTTGTGCGATATCCAGCGTTGGAGTCGGTGACAGGCGACTTCACTCCGAGCTGAGCTGCAACCGAGTAGAGTCTGCTGATAGCTTGATGTGACATCCTTGCTGATCGGGGCAGTGTTTGCAGCGCAAGTCGGGATGCAGCTTGGATGGGCCAAAGTCGCAATCGTCTTAGGGGTCAAATCATGATAGAGAAATGTAGGAACACGTCTCGATGAACAAAGAATCCCATTAGTCGGTCTGTTGAAGGGAAAGACAATTGAAGCAGAAGGGTGATCCGAGAACAAGTTCATAGCCGAAAACTGATGCAAGGACAAACGGATGTAGGATATCCTCGGTATTCTCTTTTCGACCAACTTCTCGTGCAGATCGGCTCTCTCGAAGCCATCGAGAGCTGACCCAAGCGAGCATTCATTCTACACCCTGGCGCATATGATCCCCCGGACCGTCACTGCATCGAGGTTGGAGGGATCGGCGCCGGAGGCCGGACCGGCTCCACTGGCAACTGCACGACTTTGCGCCTATGCCCGAGTCATCTTGAGGTTGGTGGTCTCGCGGGTATTCAAAAGTCATCTTAGATTCGTCTTTTATTAGTCGAGAAACCTCCTGAGTATCTGCCAAGCCTTCATCTACTCTGTGCCCGGTCGGTGTTGCTACGTCTCAGCATTTACAAACAATCATGCACGTCCGTACCACTCCCTGGCAGACCAGCCTCGTTGTAAACATTTCCTGTGCTCAGCAAGGGCGTCTCAGTGCTCGGCGCTTAGTCCGGTATCGTTCCCGATCAGGTGCCCGGAACTCCTTTGCGACCACATCCGCTATGGCTTTCTCGACGGACAGGTCTAATACAATCGGCTTCGTCGGCCTTGGCGCCATGGGTAATCATATGGTCAGCTGCTGCAGATCATATTCTACAAAGCATGATCTAACATGACTAGCTCAGTAATCTTATCTCGAGATATACGAGGCCGGATGGAGGAAAGGAGGTCGCCTTCGCCTTGTGCGATGTGAACCAGGCCGCGGTAGACAATGTCATTAAACGCCACCGCTCTAAGCACCCCAATGTGCCACTCATTAGTTGTTCATGTAAGTATGCACTGGGTCAAAAGATTTTCAAGATATGCTAGTGGCGCCTCTAACGCCTCACAGCACCTCACGACGTAGCACAGAAAGCTTCCACAATCATCAGTATGGTTCCAACCGGAAAGCACGTCCGGGAGGTCTACGTCGGCGAGGGAAATAGTGTCCTGAGCGCTCTTCAGTCTATGAGTCAAGACCAACGTGCTGAAACTCTCTGCATTGATCAATCTACCATCGAGCAAAGTGTCAGCAAGGCGGTCGCCTTGCAGCTGCAACAAATCGGCGCAGATCTGGTGGACGCCCCAGTCTCAGGAGGTAAGCCGTGCTACCTAGTTTTGCTATCAGCACTAATCCCACGATGATATAGGTGTCATTGGCGCAGAAAAAGGCACTCTGTCAATTATGGTAGGCGGGTCCAAGGCCTCTTTTGATCGCTCAGTCCCCATTCTACAATCCATGGCCCGCAAGGTGACATATTGTGGTGATCTAGGGGCAGGGCTTGCCGCCAAAATCTCGAATAAGTACAGCGTCCCACCCCCGGCCGAATCTGATACAGTAACTGATCGCGGGCGCTCACCATGATATATAGTCTTCTACTTGGCATCACCATGCTTGGCTTGAGGTGAGCAGGAAATAGCCAGAATCCTGTATGTTCGAAAGCAGAAGTTAATGAAACTAAGTGAGGCGATGTTACTGGGCAAAAGGCTTGGAGTTGATTCGCAAGTACTCGCCGACATCATCAACAACTCCACGGGGCGTTGCTGGTCTAGTGAAGTAGGTATTCCAACTGTTTCGTTTCAAGAAGATCAAGATCTACTAGCAGAAGTGTACGCTAATCCTTTTGTCTAGATCAATCATCCAGTCCCGGAGGTTAAGGCCGGAGACTCTAGCCCTCCAGCCCATAGGAACTACAAGGGTGGTTTCGTTACTAAGTTGGCCCACAAGGACCTTGCTCTTGCTGTTTCAGCTGCCGAAGAGGCCGGTGTGCCTCTTGCGGTGGGACGGTGCGTTGAGGAGACGTATCGACCACTGGCTAGATCTAAGGAGTTCGGGGACCGTGACTTCAGTGTGATCTACGAGGCTCTTGATTCTCTGGGATCCGCTACGCGGAGCTCCAAGCCGTAGCCCTTTAACCATTTCATCCCTATTGAACTGACATAAGTTGTTCATTAGCGAAGTTGGAAGACAGTGACCATGTATCTCGTTTCATTTTGAGAATGCTAGCATGGCATTCTGGCATGATAGAGGCTCGCGAGCTTCAACCATCTATTACAGTCCACGGTGAAAATACGAAATAGCAAGCTCCCTTTGACCATGAGCCTCGATTCCCGTTGAAAATCACTCTTGAGTCGCTCCGTTTTCATTTGACAGCAGAGCAAAGTCGATGGGACCAAAAAGATCGATCCACGAAGTCGGCATTTGGTCACCTGATTCCTGCCCACTCATTATCACATCCTCGCCGAATTGGTTTGACATGGTATTGTAGTCGACCACTGCCCATATAGCTGCTTCCTCGGCAGGCGTGAAGCTCAAAGTCTGCGTGAGGCTGTTCAAGTGACGTCCTAGAACCCCGTCGTAGGCTATTCGGCGAAGTGTTGCGGCCTATCGAGAACCGTCAGTGTACAAAGACCGCCAAAGCCGAAATCAAGCATCCTACCATTGTTCTAACATTACTCCAGTGTTGGCCAATAATATCCAGATACAGCAGGGCTTCTTCGAGTAGTATCTGAGCCTGCTCACGAGCTAGCGAGTCCTCGTCATGAATCCGTAACGCAATGATGGAGCCTGCGACTGTGACGGCATAGCCGCTGGACGAAGAGTGGAACGAGCAGCCCAGCCTTCGCGCCTCGCGGATAAGAGCCATCATCTGCTGGGCATGGAGCCAGGCTAGGTCAGATGATCGTTTGATGAAACTGATGGGCGCAAGGTTACGGCATGTGCTGAGGCGGCGCCGTAACAAGAATGGATGGTTGAGCAGACAATAGCAGAGATGGAACAGTGCTCGAGAGAAGATGATTGGCCCTGTACACTGGCTGTCTACTACTCCCTCGGCCGAGATATGGGCCGCAAACATCTCATTGACCGGTCTCTGTATCTCCAAATAGGCTTCGAAATGAAGAAGATCGGATTCGATGCCGGCGAAGTCCGAGCCAGGATCCCAGGGTGGATGTGGCCCTCTGATGTTGAAGTCTTGAAGCACATATTGCGCACATCGGCCCAGGACGTGCGAAATAGCAATGACTTGAGCCAAAGGGCATTGTCGTTGAGATACTGAAAGTGTCCGGTTTGTCATCTCGTCCAGTGACTGTGTTTTGGCCCATAGGCCTTCCCTCCATATTGACTCGGCACACGGCAGTTGTACGTGGCACGACGCGTCAACGATGGCCGGTGGTCTGCCGCGGCCGCAGGAGACCAAGCGATCCAGCAGATAAACTGACCAAAACACCCGTCGCCTCTCTTCCTGTTCGACATACGAGAGATGCGCCGCGTTATCTAGCATGAGTCCGCAATCCTGTGCGATCCTCACGGCCAGGCCAACTTTGACCCACGCCGAACTATGGCGTGATCGACCAGCTATGCGTAAAATAAAGTGTAAGACACAACGATCATCATGATTGGATCTCGGTTATTGAAAGATGAAGTAACGCACCAGTGAAGTCGAACAAACCTAGCAAGGCGACCGTCTGAACTGTCGATATCTCTGCCACGTTGCCAACGGTAAAACAATCCGACACGATGAGCTTCCAAGATCTGTTTGCATATTCGACAGACATCTCCACCGCACGCTCCGAGAAGTACGGATGCGAACAGAACCGAACTGCCGTCGCCATGACAGCTAGGACTAGATGTCTGGGGATAGCTTGTTCCGACAAACGCTGCCGGAAGGTCTCCTCATGAAAGAACGAGTACGGCTGATTCTGGAAGTAAGTAAAGTACGAATCAATGACTGCCATGAACACATCCTCTGGCGTTCCAAAGTCCTCGACCGTAGGATCATTTTGCCGTGAACGTTGGAGCCCGGTGCCTTCTTCTGCAGTCCCAGCCTCTGTCCTCGGTCTGCTCTCACGCTGCTCGGAAGGTGAGAGTAATCCCATACCACCCAAGTCACTGTTACCCAAGAGCGAAACTAAGCATCTTTCAATTCTAGCACATTGGTCAGTCTCATTACTTCCTACCGGGGTGGAGGGGGCAAAGCTCACCGTTGTAGGCTCGACCCCATCGTCTCGATCTTCGCCTCAAGTGTCGCGATCTTACTGACTAAGTCTGAGGTCTAGCGGGCGGGCTTGAATAAGCGTATCGGTAAGTCAGGGGGGGTCAATCCATACCTGTGTGTCGGTTGACTGGGAGGTTCCTCGTAAAGGGTCGGGGTCGTCGCTGCTCGCTGGGCAAGACCCTTGTGGCCTAGGAGCCTGCTGCCGAGAGACTTCGACAGGATATACGCAGCCTTCTGCCGTTACACCCAAATCCGCCACCGCTATCATGTCGAGCGTCACTCACCAATGTTGAGCCGTTGGCACTGTCCGCAGACAGGTCGGTCGCCAGTGCACCGGCATTTCTTCCGCCTGGCCGGATTAGCCAAAGTGCGAGTGCGCACGAGGGGTATCACTCTGCGTACCGGCATTGTAGGCATGCCTGGGCAATGCGCTGCACCGGAAAGTATGCATCAGCTCTACGCTCCATCGCACAGCAGGACACGCAGCGGATGCCTGAGCATGAGTGTCGTCGATGAATTGCTTCTAGACAGGCCTTCGGTCTGAGATCCGGACCGCCGCGGGGCTAACTTAGGAAGCGGGTGTTGATCTTGGAAGCCCCTCAAGGTGCCGTATAAAATGCCTAGTTTGGGGTTAGATTCAAGGAGATAAGACTGGTCTCGAACTCTCCAACTCTTGTGTGTGGAGCCGGTCCGGTCCCCAAAGTAGTAGCAAGATGAGGGGAACGGCTTCGTAGAGCTTGATGTTTCGAGAATTGATAACTATGCTTTTGTCTGTTGCTTCTGAGATACTCGAACCAAACATCACGAATCCGTCGTTCAAACCACAAAGACTATCGACCAGCGATAAAGCACGCACGAACTGTTAATGATGGAATTCTCCAAGTGAGTAGCTTTCAGAGAAATAGGGGCTCCTTTTCGCGGCTTGCCATGACTACAACGAGCCTTACGGACATATCGGGGCCTGAATAGCTAACATGGCTTCTGATCTGACAGCAATGCCACGACAACCCACGAGCTTCCACCGGTGGTCCTAGATGGAGATGAGGTCAATCAGACGGCACTCAACTCGTTCTCCGATGCAAACTACGGCAATGTCGTTTGGCAAACACTGCTCTCCAGGCCAAGAACCTGCTCAGACTCGATGTGCGCGGGGATCGCGACTTGTCCATCTAACGGGACGCTCGCTCTTCACCAGCATACTCAGGCAGAGATCTACTACGTACTTGCAGGGTCTGGAGAGGTGGAGATCGGCGGGGTTCGGCACCATGTTACTGAGGGCAGCATGCTTTGGATCCCCGGGGATGCGATGCATGGTGTCTTCTGTGGGCCCAACCAGACGCTCAAATGGCTGTACGTCTTTCCTGAAGGGCGTTTCGAGGATATAATCTACCGGTTCAAAACCGCATAAGGTGCTTCCAAGACCGTTATCTTGTCAGGGCATGAAAGGGCTTCAGAGCAAAGAGAACTAGTTATCTAGGGCCAGCTACTCATCCCATAATAATTACCGCAACATTCTGCAACTATCTCGCGCCACGTCTGAATTCATGTGCTTCTCCTTCTCCCTCTTCTACTATTTCCTCCTAAGCACCCCGCATTCCGTAGTTTGGCTGTCATGCCAAGGTTGTCAACCATCCCAAGGCCGTCGGTTGGCAGCGCTAATGCAAGGGTTGTGTTTTCGATGCCTCATCTGTTTGAATGCACATGGCCAAGGATAAGCCCAGGATTGTGCCACTTTCGGTTAAACATCCGGTGCATCTTGCGAAAACTGACTCATGTACGGACCGTGCCCACTCACTCTCCCCCCATGCAGATCAACTCTTTCAACCAAACAGCTCAGGTCAGATAATAATAACTTCATGAATGAATTGCCGGATGGGCGTCCAGGTTCCGTAAAGTGGTTGGGATTTTTCGCATAATAAAAGGCTACGAAGTCGCTCATCTGGGCTTGGTCACTCGATGGGGTGAAGCCAACGACCCAGCATTCTTGACCATTTAGCATATTCAGTTCCCATTCTATTATTCTATTATCTATTCCTACAGCATTCACCAAACATCAGAATGGCGCGCGTAGTTTCGGGTGCTGATATTTACGGACCGGGGACCTGGATCGATTCTGAGGCGGTGCCAGTGCCCGATGATGCACGTCGACTCTTCAAGGTGCTGGCGGAAGCGACGCCTGGGTTCACCAAAGATCCTACGATTCTAAATACCGTATCTTTCACAGGTTCCCCTGAACCAATTGTACCCGGTCCATTGAAATCGGCCGTCATCGCTGGCGCCCTGCATGCTATGAGCGGCATAGTTGCCAACGAGCTCTTGGAGCTCAGAGACGGGCAAACCTCCAGCCGGACAGCGTCTGTCGATACCGATCATGCTGCGTTTTGGCTCGGGAGTGTCGGTATGAGTAAGCGAAACCGCCAAACCGTCCGGGAGATCGCCAAAGAGGGCAAGCTGGCTGCCATCTTCCCTAAAGATCTTGAAGGAGATGTCTTCGGAACGCCACTCAGATTGCGTGCTACCGCAAACTACGAGACCAAGGACGATGGCGTCTGGTTTCAATTGCATGGCTCCCTGGGCGCAGATCCGGTACTGCAGACCATTGGCATTGATCCGTCACAAGAGTGCAGCAGTAATGACGAGGCCTATCAACTCATCGCCGAGCATGTGCGCAAGTTTGGAGCGCATGAGCTGGAGATGATGCACTTGGTTCAAGGCCTTTGTGGAAGCATCTGCTATACTCCAGCTGGATGGAAACAGACACGCATGGCCAAGGACCTGTCTAAGCACCCCCTGATCAACTACAAGCACCAGGCACATGCAGTCCCTACGCCGGCCATCCCCTTGCCAGTATCTGCCGACAAAAGGCCCCTGGCGGGCATCAAGGTCGTGGAGCTTGTTCGCATTATTGCCGGTCCTGTGATCGGGACGACATTGGCAGCTCTTGGAGCGGATGTAATCCGCGTGAACTGCGGCCGCCTGCCTGACTTCAATGTAAGCCATGACTGTCCCCTCAATCGTCCCCCTATACTCTTCAGTTGGTGGAGTCATGTGGTTTTCTTTTGCTTTAGTTATATCAGGAATTATATCAGGAATGTATCGAAGCTAAGAACACATAACAGTCACTTCAACTCACGCTGAATGCCGGCGTCAGAACTATGGATGTTGACTTGGCTAAAGATGATGAGGTAAAGCACTTACTAGAGCTGATCGCAGGTGCAGACGTCTTCATCCAAGGCTATAGGCCGGGGGTGATTGCCCGGAAGGGGCTCGGCCTTGGCGATCTCCTAAACATAGCTGGCAAGAGAGGCAAGGGCATCGTGTATGTAGAGGAGAACTGTTACGGGCCAGATGGGCCAATGGCTGAGCGACCTGGCTGGCAGCAGATTGCCGATGCCGCCTCTGGATGCTCCTATGTCACTGGACGAAGCCTGGGCCACAAAGACGGGACATGCGTGCTACCCGCCCTACCTGTGCCGGATATGCTCACAGGCTTGATCGGGGCCATCGGTACTATGATGGCCATCAGAGATCGTGCACGCCAAGGCGGCTCCTACCATGTGTTTGCTTCTCTCATGGCCGCGGCTGCTCTTCATTTAAGCCCCGAGGTCGGTTTGTATTCTCCAGAGGTGGTACAGGGCTGCAACCAGAAGTTTGGCTGGGACGAGACCGGTCCTGGGCTGTTTGTGCTAGAGCTTTTGGATGTGGTACTGAAAGGATGGAGTCGAGCGATGCCGAAGTACTCTGGAGAAGACTCATCTTATATGTCTACCTTGACAGGTGACTGGGGCGAGTTTCAGATGTTGAAGCCCGTTATTCAGCTGAGCGATGTGAATGCGTCGCCATACTTCTCATCCGCGCCCGAGCCTAACTGCTATCGCAGCAGTGATGCAATAACATGGCGATAGAAAGGCCTTTTATATATACTAGTATCTAGAGCTTTGCTTCAGGGAAAACGAGCTTGAGACAGCTTGGCTGAGCGTAACAACGCACCAGAGCATGCAGAAGTAAAGCCTGCCTGTTCGCTTACCACGACTGTCTTCCTTGAGCCACATATATGTGGATGGCACGGATCAATAGTAAACCAATAAGAATGCTTCTTTACCTGTCTAAATGCGATAGCACCGAAGATGTAACCAGGATCCTTTTGTATTCATTGTGTTGAAATTTCGGGTCTGGGATCTTCTATTGTTGTTTGTAACTTTATACTCGAAGTCTCCTCCGTAACCAGGATCAAATCAAGGCATCACATCATTCTTAAAAAAAGAAGCAGATAGAATTAACTGATTGTATATGGAAGTCACATTATTGATTCTACGACCTGAAGCATTCTAGATCCGGGGGCTGCTTTGGGTTTCTATCTCGATAACAAGTTTTCCCATCTGACTTCCGGCTTTCATTTCATCAAAGAGTTTATCGATTTCCCTGAGGTTGCTCAGCCCCTGGATCGTTCTGCTGATCACTGGTCGGATCCCCTTGCGGTCGACGAAGGTGACCATGTCCCGAAACTCTTGCCTGGAACCCATCGTGGTTCCTTTTAACTCTGCGTTCAGAAGAACAGCCGGCATACTCCAGTTCATTTTTGGAGAGACTGTCATGCCATATTGGACAATGATACCACCAGGCTTGAGAAGCTTTACAGCTTTGCTGACGATATCGCCGCCTGCTCCATCGATGACAGCATCAATGTACGGCCTCGATGATGGAAGTTGCTGGCGAATATCGGCTTCCCATTTTTCCTCTTTGTAAATTGCACCGCCTTGTGCACCCAAGCTCCTGGCTCTGTCAAGCTTTTCCTGACTACCAGAGGTAACAAAGACATTGACACCCATAGCCACGCCGAACTGTAAGGCTGTAATGGCAACGCCACCTCCGATGCCTGTGATTAGGATGTTCTGTCCTGGTTGAACAGCAGCCTTGGTACTTAATGCCCGCCAGGCCGTGAGCCCAACCAGTGGGAGAGCTGCCCCCTCCACGGCAGACAGATGTTTCGGAGCCGGGACAACCTCGTCCTGGTGAACGCAAACATAGTCTTGCGCTGTGCCCACATCGTACAGACGGGTTGATCCGGTGATGGACCATTTTTTAGGGTCCTCTGGGCCAGCTGGATCTGATATCCAGCCTCGCATAGGTGTTAGGAGGACGTTTTCCCCAAGGAGAGAGCGATTGGCAACCCCTCTCCCAAGCTCAGCAATCACTCCATAACCGTCGGATAACATGGGATTGTCGAGGGATATGGCGGGGTACTGATGATGCCGAACGAACAGGTCGCGGTGGTTCAGCGCAGCCGCCTTGAGTCGGACGAGGACCTCATTGTCTCCAGGGACAGGCATCTCAATCTCCTTGAGCTGTAGACTGCAAAAGAATTAGCAATGGTCGTTGAATCCCTTTCAGGAGTTAGGATGGTTCTTACGGGTAGTAAACCTCCCCAGGCTTGCCTACAGCCTGACCGAGATGGAGCACGCGGGGCATAGCTACTCTCAATGCTTTGGAGACCTTGAACATGGTGCCACTGCCTGACGCCAATCATTTGGGAGAAGTCTCTCAAAACGATATCAACGCGTTGGATAGGCTATTAGTATTCATGAAGAGCCGAAGCGTGGCGTGCGCCGGACCGTGCCCATCAAGCATCCTTCCATCATCTCAGTGGGCCCGGTCCGGCGAAGCTGGTCATCTGGGAATCGGGGGCCCTAGACCGGACCCTAGTAAGATGGCTTGAATGCGGGGCAGCCCATCACGAATGCATTTCAAATCCTTCAGTGTTGGTCAATTCTTCAGATAGTATAGCTGAGGAAAACTCCAAGGGAGTATCGCTTATCCTCTGGTAGATCATTGGCCCGCCATGTTCAGAACCAGCCAGCTCCGGGAAACGGAAGCGCCACGGTCATCGATGCAGAGGCCGAACACTGTGAAAAGGCCATTGAGGCCACTTTGATCAATGTAAATGGTCCCCATCGCCGCCTGAATCATCGCTATTGGAGGAACCATAGGCACTGGCCTCTTCATCAGCATTGGCGGAGGCCTAGCCAAGGCAGGCCAGGGAGTCTTATCCCTTGCCATTGTCTCTACTGCTGTCTTGTATCTTGTCAATAACTCAGCTGCTGAGATGGCAACTTACATGCCCATCGCTTAATGCTTAATACGGCTCGCTAGTATATAGGTCGACGAGGCTCTCGGCTTTCTGATTGGATGGATCTTCTTCTTCTGAGGCTCTCTTGACCCGGTTCGAGATCGTGGCTCTGAACCGCGTAGTCTCGTTCTGGGCACAAATATCGTCAAGTTTACTCCAACTACTCGGTTCTACTTAAGTGTGATCGTCTTATACGGGCAAGTTAGCTACAGCATCCTTAAAAACACACAAAAAGAAGCAGAACTGTTAACTCTATCTCAACATTTAGTCTGCTCAATACAGTACTCGTGAGCGTTTTCGGAGAGGCTGAATTCTAACTCTCAGGGGGCAAGCTTATCCTAATATTTACTCTATTTTCTTTCACCTTCATCACAATGGTCGGAGACAACCCCAAGAGTGACGCTTCCGGCTTCTGCTACTAGAGTGGTCCTGGAGCTTTTTCGAGTTTCAATTCCATCGGAGTGCTTGAGCGATTTGAAGGTCATCTCGATAATCACAGCAGAGGCCAAATACCCTAGAATTACCTCAACCGCCTTTAGGACTGTTTACCTTCGCTTTTGCATCTTCTTTATTGGTAGCGCGCTTGCTATAGGAATTATTTAATAAGTTTATATTCATTCTCTTTAATTCTAAAATTTATTAAGGAATATTTATTTAAGATATATTAAATTCTATTTTCTATTCTTTAGTTTAATACTTTACTTATAATGTATTACCTGCTAATTGTTTAGCTATTATCTTAGCAATCTTAGGATAATTAAGAATTAAGAGAAGATATTAAATAAGTAATGAATCTTCTTACTATCTATAATTTATATTTATATTTCTAATTTTAAATAGGTTTATAAAGCTATTAATAGAATATAGCAGTATTTATTAAAGTGATTAATTAGAGAGGTAGTAAAGCTTTAATAAAAATATCATAAAATCAACCCCTTGAGAGTATCACCCAGCTCATTACAAATGGGTGAAATTTCGAAACAAGCACATACGCTGATGCTGATTAAACGTCAAAAGAACCACAGCATTTCCTCCAATCAGGTAGAATGCTGCGAGGCGACATTATGGCTGTCTTTTTGCAAAATCGGGAAGCTGACTGTGAGACGAGAGATGGTCTCGTTGGAGGGCTGGCGCGCTGATCAGGTGCCATGACCCGGGTTCCGTCCAACCGCTGCTCTGCCCCAAGTTGCATGCCAGGAGTGAATGACAAAGCCAATGCTGTCTTCTGCTTCTAAATACATTTTACGCAACATCAATACGTGCACGTGCCGCATCTTTCACCTTGCTTTTAACACCAATCTAAGCATATTGCAACGCCACTAACAATTAGGCAGGAGACAGTGCATGTTGGTAATAAGGCTTCACCATACGCTGGGCTGGACCAGTCGATGTAGTAGTAATCGTCAAGGATGATCTTAGTCACCAAACAGCTCTCTCATTATGTTTCGGCTTGTATGGTGATGGAGTTGTAAGAAAGAAGCTCTTGTCTTCATTCTCTAGCAGTCACGTTCACCAAGTTCAGCCTTAATACACGATGATCGATTTATAGTTGGATTTAAACACGGCATCTCTAAGCGACACACAGAACCGCTGTAAAGACTTTTCTATTCTTTGACACAAAATGGTGTACGCTTCTCGAAGCACAATTGGTGAGAACCCAGGAGGCGACAGACCAGTTCCTGGAACTTGAAACCTGCTCGGCGCCACATAAACCCCCTAGTCCGTCACAACCGTGGGGACCCTTGTTATGCCCAGCAAGCCGGCACGAAGCATCCGTCCGATCACACCTGAGCAACTCGACCCCTTCTATCAAATCAACTTAAGACGGGCGCGATGGTCGCTTTCCAAACACTTGTCGATTGTGGAAATCAAATACAGCTCTTCCATTCATTCTCTTCTTTGGTTACCTAGTGTAACTTCTTTCCTTCATTCCAATCATTCATTCATTCAATCTACTCCTGATCAAAAACTCCTATCACAAACAAAGCACAATGGTCTCCACACGAGCATCGCTGGTTTCGGTTCTCTTGGCGGCTGCTGCCCCAGCCATTGCCCGCGACGTGCCCGACAACGTTAGACAGTTCTATGACAACGTCACTTCCAAGTCGTCGTGCCAGAACACTCTCGCCGGGGGCTTCTATAGCAAGGATGGCGATAGCGGAAGTATGATATCCAAGTCCCCCAAGCCGAACTTGTTCCATTCCCACCTCCGTGGGTACTGACTATCTCATAGATGCTGTCTACTGTGGCGACAAGTTGGACTCGGGCGTCATCTTCCTCAAGGGCAATGGAAAGACACTAGTCAACATGGACATTGACTGTGACGGTGCCCAGAACGGCCCTGCCGACGATGGCCGTTGCGGCAACTCTGGCGATACGCAGTCCATCACCTCATTCCAGGACACCATCAAGTCTTACGGCGCCGGGATCAACGACGTCGACGCCTACATCCACCCTTATGTTGTCTTCGGCAACGAGGGAAGCAAGCCCGGCTGGGCCACTTTCAACCCCGAGCAATACGGAATCGAGCCTCTCAGTCTTATGGCTGTCGTTTGTGGCGACCAGCTTGTAAGTAGATAACCGTGCAAAGATATCTCTGTCGGTCAAGAGAAACTAACAACAAGGGTGCAGATCTATGGTGTTTGGGCCGACGAGAACGGTGACGACGGTGAATACCCTGTGGTTGGTGAAGCATCCATCTCCCTGGCCACCGCTTGCTACGGCAAGGACGCTGTTGATGGCAACACAGCCCACGATGAGGACGACGTTCTATACATTGCCTTCACAGGCTCTGACGCCGTTCCAGGTGCCAATGGCGCCAAGTGGAACGCTCAGAGCTTCTCTGAGTTCCAGAGCAGCATCCAGTCCTTGGGAAACAAGTTGATCCAACGCATCAGCTCCTAAATAACTATCTGACCAGCACCTGTGACGGAAATAGCGATTTTGTGGGCTTGGCAGGGATTCAAGTCGGAGACCTGATCTTTTCATCTGCAGGAAGCCCAGGTAGGCAAAGTGAAACGCAAAACCACGCTGGCTCGTGTTAGCTGTACAATAGAAATAAACCTTTTTCATCTTCAAACATTATGAAACTACCCTTAGCTTGATGCCATATGGGTCGATTTCATGAGCTCATGTGTCACTCTCAAGACAACGAAACGGCCGAAGTACGATGCGGAAGACAGGACTTTGTAGTTCTGAAAATAGGAGGTGCAAGCCGCGAGACCTGACGCGACGATAGTAGGTGAGGTTATCGTCCGTCATAACATAATGGTCACAGTACTGCCAGGCAGCCACTATGGCAGATTGGCTGAGGTGTAGCCTTGGAAACCAAGAATATTCAGGCTAGCAGCTCACAAATTTTAACCCCTCGATCACGCGCATGGAAAACGGTCGCAGAATTCCCTAGTTTCACTAACAAATAGCCTGTGATTCGGGCCAAGTAAAGCAAGAAACCTAGTTAAACTCCAGCAAGATCAGTTAGGTTGGCTCGCTCTCCAGTCTTGCGTTCAACAAAGATTAAAGCTCATATCAAACCCTTGACCATAATCCTATATATACATAAAGCAGAACACTCTACAAGGTCCTTCTTGCATTGTCCCTGGATGGAACACTGGCACACATCCCTCATACCCATTAAGCAGATCATAGTCCAACACCCTGCGAAGTACATTCATTAACCTACCAGTCGCTGTTAAAATCAATCAATCCAGATGGGATTCTTTCGCTTCGTGCCTGCGACCGATGTCGAAGAAGCCTGCGCACTGGTCTCCGGCTGTGAGTCGACGACGAGGTGCCTCATCTGCGTGATGGCAGTATACTCCTGTCCCAAGAGCTGGAGAAGCTGGCCCTGATCAAGGTCGCCCAGCACCTTGTGCGCCCATTCAAATCGAATTTTCCAATTACGTCGAGCCTGTTCATGCTGCTTGTTCGTCTTCGTCATGACGAGTGTCTGGGGGCTGCCAACACGCTCCGTCTCGTGAGTGCAGTCGATACGATGACGATCTATTTGGTTGTGCAAGTGCTGACGCCGCTTCTTATTGACGGCGAACCGGCCAACTCGCTGTGTAGTGCTAGAAAGGAAGTGGTTTAGATGATTGCAATCGGCGCAGGAGCACGGTACACCGGGCCGGGATAAAGTGTTGTCCTTGGAGGGCTGGCGCTTCACGAAGTTATTAAGAAGCGCGTGATAGAACTTCGAGAACAGCTGCTGGTACATGGGGGTCTCGAGGGGTATCTCATGTTTGACGAGCACTTTAATGAGACTGTTAAAGACGGGCACCCACAAACCAAACGACGTGGATGGAAGTCTCGAGGCTTGCTCAACAAACCTCGACGCAAAAGCAGCCATCAAATCGCCGCTACCCGAATCTAACTTGAGAGCATCGCCAAGGAATTTGAGTATTTCAAGAGAAGTCACAATGGTCTGCTCATCGGATTCCGCAGTTCCACCGCTACGGACCTGTCGAAACCTCCTGGTTTCGTCCGACTCCCTTGATTGCAATTTGAGAGCTGGAAACTCAACCGATGAGAGGAATAGTTTAGCCACATCTCTGTACGTTGATGGTCCCTTCTCAGACAGCTTCGGTTCCGAAACTATCTTCTTCCGTAGGCTGGATAGAAAAGCCAGATAGAATGCGGGCACATCACGCCTGTCTCTTATTGTCGGCGCAACACTACAACTCAATTAATATAACGGAAAGTTAGTCGCCTGAAAAATTACTTACGAGCTTTGAAAAAACTCAAGGGGGTCTTCGAAATAGAGAAGGATATCACACAAGGCTTCCCCATCCTTGGATGTCAGTGGCTTAGGAAGCCTTTCCTCCAGGCAGGCTTTGAACGTTCGGCAAGCCCAAGCATTCACAGACGTGAGACTTTCACAGGTCGCAGGTGCGGGGAATATAGAATGGGCGACAAAAGTAAAATTGTACACGGCCAACAACTGCGTTGTCAACGATCCATACCCGAGGACCGATGCCGAGAGTCTGGAACTCATTGTTTAGTCAACGCGTACTGGTCTCATGCTGGAAGAGGAATCACAATACCCTTTTTCAAGAAGCACAAACTTTTGAGCAACATGATTGTCATCACTGTTGGGTGTGTAAACAAAATTTGCCGCCCAGGTATAGAAAGCAGTCGGGAGCAGCCCCTTGTGGCGTGATGCGTTTCGCTCAAAAATATCATATCGCTGAAGATGCAGAGCGGCTTTCAGAACGTTTCCCATTGTTTCTCCTTCGAACGGCGGGTTGGGCAAGCCATATATTCGCATGTCCGGTTCCAGGTAACGACTCCATGCCTTATCACAGAGTTTCTCTACCACGGCAATGTCATTATCGGGCGCTTCACCGTGCACGCTCCTATGCGCCCAATAGGAAATCAGGGATTGGACATTGGCGTGTGAGAGTCGAGAATGTTGATCACAGTTCAAAAAGTTGACGACAGAATCTTTAGGAACAATCACAACGGCCTAGATCAGCAGTAAGTTAGCTTCGAACTCGATCGACCAGAAATAATTGGGCACATACCGCTATCCGATACCAATGAGTTGCCTGCGGCCCCTAGAATAGAAAAACGATCAGCAAACAAGCAACGTATTTTTTTCAGCGGATTTCACCATACCGAGTTGCCCATAAAACCCTCGTACTCTTCCTCACCTTCCATGTCGTCGAAACAGTCCTCTTGGAGAAGATCCTCTGTTTCAAAGGACACGTTCTCCGTAACTACCCGGCCCTCAAAATCAACCAGGGTCTTGATGGTATAGCTTTGGTCAAAGACGTCTATGATATGATGATAGCCCTCGTCCTCCTCTTCCTCATCCTCGTCATCATCGTAGAAGCGATTACGGTAGCCCCGGTCGTAGTAATCGTCCTCAACGCCACCTCTCTCCTCCTTCTCTAAAAGCGCGAGAAATATTTCGAAGGGGACACTGTTCGACGCCTCCTGCAGTGCACGCACTTGAGCCAGATCGCGGGCCTTCAGACTCGAGAGGCGGATATTTGCCTGAGTGTACTCGTGGTCAAGAACGTGGTAGAGAGCCTGGTGTTTCTCGGCTGCAGACTGGTCCAGGAGCCATCTTCGGAGGGTGTGGCGGAGCGAATGGATGTTCGACCGTAACAGCGCAGCTGAGGGTGGCACGACGGTGGTGTCAATGGCCAGGTTATAGGTGAGGACCCAGCGATAGCCCGACGTGACGGGGAGAACCTCGTGCGTGACATCAGAATACCAGCAGATGGATGAATGCTCAGCTTGTGATGTTCTGAACACCTTTTTCTCGCCGCAATGCTTCACAACCACGTCGCCACCGGTATGAGGGGATGGTAAGCTAATGACAAGCGTCCCAAACATGCCGGGGATTTTTTCGGTGCTATCAGAATTAGAAAATGCGAGAGCGAGGGCACGGAGAAGTCATACTCTGTGTGTGGCTTAAACATTGCTCCCTGTTCGTAGATGAGCATCTTGTAGATCTCGCATCTGATGGTTGTATTGATGCCCAAATCCAGAGCAGCGTAGGCACATAATGTCTGAACATAGTTATGCCACCTATTATCCAAGAATCTGAATTGCTGGGGATCCAATTCCCAGGTGTTCCTAACTGCGGTATCCACGATTGTCTCGCTGCCCTTTCCATAGGGGGCCTGTGCAGCCATTGCGATCATCTGCTTGGCCTGAGCCTCGTGCAGGTCATTGGTTATGCTCACAGGCCCAACGCCGTCAACAGTCAAGCCGCAATCCGGTGGTCTCACCAAGGGACGGAAAGACGCAAAGGAGCCAGAGACCTTGATCTCCGATAGAGCGCCAAGGAGATCAACTTTGATCCCTCCGCGAAATGCATCTGTACTGAGATCACTCGCAGGACTGGCCGCATCGCTGTGCGCAGTTCCTCCAGTTGCAGAGCCTTGGGCAGCCATAATTTCACGTTGAGGAGCAAAATGATAGTGGCGATGGCATCACAAACATGTACGGTAGAAGAGAAGACGCGAAAATGAAACCGTAGCGCGCTCAAGAGCGGTGAGCGCGTCAGGGGGAATGACGGCACACACCCATCATGGGGGGAGAAAACGAAATGAAATCTGGAAAAAGCAAAGTGCAATGACATTCGCACTGGCCTACCTACACGGTCAAGTTGTCCCTGTTCTTTCCGCACAGTTATTCTCATCGTTAGAACGTGATCTTCTCGTGGATAGCTAACGATTGAGAATAACAGGTGGGTCAGAAAGTGATATCAATGCCTCCTAATTTGGCAGATGTATCCTTAGATACTCCACCTGTTATTCCCAATCGTTATAGAAAACACTCTAATGATGAGAATAACTGTGCGAAATGAAAAGGGACAAGGGCCCCACCTAATTATTGCACAACTTTTATGCTTAGTTATACTCTGAATCTGAAAGACACTTTTCACTCAGCTACCCTATCCCCCGACCATGCCGAAAGATTATTAAAACAGGACTAACAAACAACAGATATATCGAGAAATCAAGGTATTTGGGCTAGATCAACTTTCGTTTGTCTGATATAGCAACCTGGCTCCTTACTTGAACTCCAATCAGAAATTCTTTTTCTTCGTGGGCGACGGATGAACCTGATCGAGGCTGGAGTTAGTTGGCCTTCATTCTTACGGGTCTCATGATGATAAAAAAAATACACATGAATAGCACTGAGATTAATTCCTAGGCTAGGCGGCGGAAACATTGGAATCACCACAAAAGGTTTAATCACTCGGCAGAGAAACTCATGGTCATAGAGAAACTTCATGGGTAATTGAAATATAGCCAGTGTCTGCCAATATTCAATCTCAGTAGTGATCTAAGCCATTACTACGGAAAGCGGAATCGTCCCGACGACCACTAGATTGGTCAGCGTTATACAATTTGATGTTTCTCCCCTCTAAGGGTACTTCAGGTGGTATTGATGTCTCAAGACCCGAAACCCCTCCCATGCCCGAACTGTGAAGGGACTGCAACATCCTACTCAATGTGTACGGAACAGTCCAGGTTCACGTAACATCAATTCAGAAGGTCCAGCAGGGCGATGCAACTAATCATAGTGCTTACTGCTGGACAGATTCCCCTCACCAAGCGTCGTGAAAGGACGGGATCCTGCATGAAACTATTGAGTGGTACCTAGTCAATGCCTCCCAAAGCCCGGTTGTCGATCATCCGCCACTTGCGGTGGGCTTCCCTATCTTGTCTCAGCCGAGATGCTCATGGAAGGAAGGAAGAGGGGAGAATATGTAACTCCAGTTTGCAAATCTCGCACTTTGTAATATATTCACTGCACTGAAGGACACCTACCGAGACTTTAACCATTCTCCAGTAACACATCCGTATGGCTATTTACGTGTAGCTCTGGCGGAAACTTGCTGGCTAACGATTCCCGCAGCCCTAATGTTTCACTGCGTAATGCGCCAAGTAACTTGGGCTTGCAGATACGAGATCAATGTTGTGGGGACGGACAGCGATCTCTCCGGCTCTGATTCGGTAGTATCAGATCCTCCCTTCAACCAACCCTTTACAAAGAGGCTTGACGCAGTGCATGAATCCGTGAATCCCGACCTCCCTTAGGATTGGCTGGCTGCCCGCTAGCCTTTCACCCGGAACTGAGACATACATCAACGTGAGTGTGACCTCGCGTGAAAAGAGATGTAGTCGCGCTGGTATGATAGCAAGCGGGGAAGGCAGTCTTGTAAATCTGCATAATTATTTTAATATCGTTAAAGTTAAAGATAAGGTAAAACGGGCCACCTCCACTTCATTAAGTATTAGTGTAGGGAATCCCTTGAGTCGTGATTCAACACATACCTACTTCCAATTGATCGACCCATCCTCCACACCTTTACTCTCCATTTCACTTCCAATGTTACCAAAAGCTGTCTTCTCCTTGGCCCTTCTAGCTGAAGCAGCACTAGCAGGGTCACCGCGACCGCCCACATACCCAGTTGATCTCAAATTTGACGAGCTTCCGGACCCCAGGAAGGTATGGGTTGGAGCGCCAGGCAGCCGAGAGGAAGGCCTTGGTCGACTCGTACTGCTGACAGATGATCTCGTTCGCACGACGGCTGCCCAGCAAATTCAAACTGGACAGAGGGTTGGTTTGAACTGGGAGCTGACCAAGTTGGAGTACCCTTCCTTCGGGCGAGAGCCCTTTCAGCATCGGTTTGTGCCTATCTTGGGAGGAGACGCCATTGACGACCTTTACACAATGAATCCTCGTAAGATCTTGCTATCGTGATGTTGTGAGAGGAGTGTCTGCATTATACTGACTCGAAACAGAACAGAGTAGCCAGTGGGATGGTTTACGTCACTGGAGCATGGTCGAGGATGAAGACTCTGACCGCCGTGTATTTTATGGCGGAACCACCAAAGAGGAGATTATCAACGGGACAACTGACCGTATTGGCATCAACTACTGGGCGGAAGAAGGTGTTAATGGCCGTGGAGTACTCATTGACTACGTCTCTTGGGCTGAAGAGAAGGGCATCGAATACGATGCCTTCTCAAGCCACCCCATTCCGCTGAACGACATTCTTCACATCGCGGAAAGTTCAAACATTACCTTCCAGAGGGGTGATATTCTTCTCGTTCGTAGTGGCATGACAAAAATGTGGGAGCAGGAAATGGACCTCGCCGCCAAAATAGCGTATTCTAAGTCACCACAGCCCAGGCATGTGGGCGTTGAAGCTTCCATGGACGTGGTTCGGTGGCTTTGGGATGCCGGCTTTGCTGCAGTGGCCGGTGACTCTGTTTCATTTGAAGTCTGGCCTCCAACTGGCGAGTTCAGTCTTCACGATTACATCCTCGCTGGATGGGGTATGCCTTTAGGTGAGTATTCGAGAAGTTCTCGGGCCTCAGCGCTGGTCCACAGGAGCTAAATAACGTGCTAAACAAACTTTTTAGGCGAGATGTTCGACTTGGAGAGGCTTGCGGAGGTTTGCAAGGATCAAAATCGCTGGACGTTTTACTTTACTTCGGCACCATTCAACATGCCAGGTGGCGTCTCGTCACCCCCCAATGCCCAAGCAATCTTTTGAGAGTTCTTTCCATAGATTGCAAATGGTACAACACGAGCTCCATATAAGGCATGTTAGATATTCGCCAGATTTCTACTTCACCTATTTCTTGTAGCCAGTTGAGCTTGACGCTGAAGGATCAGCAAGTACTTCATATATTATGGGTGCTTAGATGCTATGATCTGGGTTGAGATGCAAAGATCAATCACATGCTCTGATGTTGGAGGAGAAGATAGTTTGATCAAGTCACTCTATGAGATTGATGTTGCAAAATGCCGTGACCTCATTGAAATTTGGGATTGAAATGTAATTATGAAATAGTTTGAGAAGCTGTTACATATAAATTTACGCAAGTAACATAGCCTGATCTAGCATTACCATAGCTGAATTGAACAAGAGTGAAATCTTCATGAAGAACCCAATTTGGTTTCTGTTTCTGAAGTCCTTAACCCAAGATCCCCATGGGAAAGAAACGACGGCAGGGGCGATTTTGTTAGCAAGCTCGAGTGTTTCGAATGGAACAATCAGGCCGTGACTATATAATAGACCGGCAGACGATGCACACAGACATATTTGAAAGAACGAGCTCGGACAAGCCATATAAAATACGTTTATTGAGACGCTACGACCTAAAAAGCCCATATATGCAAATGCTAAAAGGTTAGATACAGAGAAGTGAATACTTTTCGTTCATGAGACGAGCCTATTGCTCCCAATGATCCCAGCGAGGAAAGTCCGCGCCCTTTCCGCCTCAGTGTTCCTACCTCGCAGGCAACCAAGCGCGGAAATGCACAGGTTGAACTCTCTGCGGGCAACTTTGCGGACTTCCAAGGACGGGTTTCCCATGCTATTCAGGTGAACGATCGATGTCGGCAGAATAATGCTGATGCACGTATTCGAGAGATACCGACACAGACGGACACCTTTTAGATCCCGCAATAGTCTCGTGATTGTGGTTGCGGAGTTCTGCACGCAGACCCTGGCCGCGTACTGAGCCTGGGACTGGACAAAATCCCCCGGCCCCAGCTTGATATCGTAAAGAGGCCTGTACAGGGCCGATATCAGCGCCTGGTACTCCATCTGCAGCATCACACGCTGTATGATTACGGAGCCCTGGCCGGCATTCACGTCCAACCGACATGGCTGCTGTTTGTGTCGGCAGGCCTCGGGAAGCGACTCTGCCCAGTCAGAAAGTTCCAGGTAGAGGCTGCTGACAGCATCAATGTTGTCAAAGTTCTTCTTGGGACACACTAGTGCAACTCTATAGTTTGTATGGTCGGATGTCTCGTGGTTGAGGAGTGTTGAGTACTGAGCATCAATCACTCGCCCAATGAACCTGCAAAGCTGGGCTCTGGCCAGGCAAATCGACACCAGATCCTGCTGGAAGCTGGCTGGAATGTCGTATTGGATGGGTTCAAAATCATCCTCAGTGAGCATCGGCACGTCGAAGTCCTCATCGGCGATCCGCGTTGGGTAGCGTAGGCCAAGCGCGAGGAGGCGGTCATACATGAAGCAACACCACCAAGTGCGTTTCCACGACTTTTTACGGGAAGAGAGCGCCTCTTCGGGTAACGGAGAAGCATTCAGGCCAAAATACAAGTCTTCCGAGTTTCGGTGCAACCCGAAGCTTTGCGCCAGAGAAATTGCTACGCCCGACCAGTGCCAGCAGTCCTTGAGGTCTTCTGAAGCCTCGTACCACGACGCTAAGAGGAGCAGCGACTGGACAATGGATAAACGGTCCAGTTCATAGTCAAATGTGTATAGTAGCTGCCGTCAACACCCTGTTAGTCTGCTTCGGAGAAACCTCCAAGCGTAGCGGGCGGGTCAGTGTTTCCCTGGGGATCAGATATTTACCTTGATCTTTTCGCAGAGGTTCTTCCTTGCGTCATTACGCGTAGAATAACCGGCGCGGAAAAGAAAATCCATGTCGACGAACACGGCCCCTGAATACAAGACGGCTTGGTAGAGGAGCAGGCTGATGGGCTCTTCGCACTTGCGCTCATCTAGAAGGTTTATCAAGCTTGTTGTTTCGAGCATGGGGAACCGAGGATGAACGTATTCGATAAAGGCCTGCAGGAGGGGTTTCTGTACCGGCCACGGCGGTAGATCGAAAGCACCTTTTAGTCTCAAGTAGTCCGAGTCATCTTGGTTTACGTTCGGCGGTAACGGGCGAATATAAGGAGGGAACTGAGTTGGATAGAGGGTGAAGTCTTCCTCAGGGAAGGAATCTGGCGGGGAAAGATACGTCGCGTTCAGCGTGTCACCAAAAGGCGAATTTCCATACTCGGGTATCTGTTCAAAGTCGGTAAAAAAGCTGGATTCGCTCATCTCGACCCGCGGGACATCCATCAGCGTGCTCAGGTTGTCTGTCGAAAATCGCTTGTTCAAGGGATCGCCAAAAACATCATCAGCATCACTGGAGGAGGGTGTAGGCAGCGTGCCAAGACTGGCGCCCAATGGATGGCCAGAGGACATTTCTGCCTTTGCTTGGGCCTGCTTGGCCTTGCGGTGCCAGAAATTCGGCCTTGCCGTGAAGTAGGTATGGTGTTAGGAACATGAGCTTCCTCGTCGACCTTACAATACAAGCCGACTTACCTTAGCCTACGATTCAATGGAATGACACACTGAGAGAGGGAGTCAGCTTGGGGAATGCCACACGGCTGGCCGGCAGGACAAGGACGGCCCAAAAGAAGCAAACATACATCTAGATTCTTCCAGAGGCAGTTCCCACAGGGGGTGCCACTGGGCCGTCGAGCGACGTCACAGCGGACTTTACGTGAGCGACACGCTTGGCAAGCCAAAGAGGCGCGCTTTCTGATGGTGCTCGATTGTGACATGATTGATTTATGTATGACAGCTTGCTCCAGATGGGCATATTTGCTTCAACGGGGTAGGGAAAAGAGAGCAATTGCGAAGAGATCCAAGGAACTGGAAAATTCGGGTCAAGTCGGTTATGATACGGCAGCAACGTCAGGGGCAACCTCGGTAGCGCTCGAATTTTGGTCTTTCTCCGTTCGGCGCCCGATCGATGTCGCCGAAGCTGGCTTGGCAAACTAGGCTCGCTTTGGCCAGTCTCGCAGATCATGCTCAAGTGTCCCGCAGGACCTCCTCCGAGGTCACATGAGCAGTCCATGTGACCTTGATTTAGCTCTCGGGGCGGAAAGGGGGCTGCTGCTTTCAGGGGGTTGGCCCTGACTTGGCCTTTGGTTATATCCGTTCGTTTTCTATGTTCTCTCGTCACCTTTCCCTCTGAATTTGAGCAGATTCAGCAGGTCAGCGCAGATGTGATCAAGGTAACAGTGGAGCATGAAATTGCGTTTTTCCGTCGGCGGTGAGAGTCCGACGGATCAGTCCGCCACAGAACAAAGACGGAAAACGCCGGCTTCACACTACCGATGCCGAGACGCACGCCATTGGATAAAGCTGGGGGACATTAGGGCTCCCAGTAGTTTCTTCCCCCACCCCAATTATTGATGATAACGGGGGCCAGACCCAATTGGTAGCCACGATTTGAAAAACCGGTTGGTTGTATGGGCGGTGTGAAGACTCCTGGCCATCACCAACCCCCACATTGCTGTTTGGTTTGGTCAACTCTGGTTAGAAAAGCGCCCACAGCGAGTGAAGCCTGGCAACATCACTGGTTACCATTTCATGCCCTCTTCTCTCCACTCCCCCAGCATTTTGGCCCGCTTGGTCAATAGTCTTAGCCCTACCCCAGACTAAGCGGCGGCCACTCCGTTCATGAGCTACCTGAAGGCTGTTTCTGCCCCATCTTACCCTAAAGAGAGCATTAGTTGCAACGAAGAGAGAGGTGCTATAACTTAGCCTCCCTGGCCACTGATTAACCAAGAGCACGAGATTTTCAGGGATTCTAGTTTGATATCGTCATAGTCAAGGCAAATGGGGGGACCCATTGTGTTGAATCTAGTTCCAACAAATAAATTCTTTATCGACAGGACCATCAAGATAGGCCATGGCAATTTCATTAGCCGGTTCTGCTTCAATACGAGCATCCCCCACGAGATCATGCCCGTCCAACTGTACTCGACCCAATTAGGTCAAGCCGACAAATGTTTCTGATCAATACCATTCCAGCCAGCCTTTTGAGAATGGGTTCAATTAAGCTGCAGGTATAGAGAGTACTGCACATAGGACACACGCACACGGGATTAAAACAAAGGGTGAATAGAGTAGTTTGATGAATCTAGCCTGTCAATCCTCCCAGTCTAATCTAATCCCTATGCCTATAATAATACTGAATGAAGTTCTATAAATCTTGCACAAAGGAGAAAGCACAGGAGATGAGTGGGAACGAGTGAAGGTAAATCTTTTCTGTTTGTTTTTGTTCTTCATACGACAACGCTTTCCGGAATATCGTAAGCTTCGATGGTATTGATACCCTTGCACGGAACAAGTAAAAATTTCTCGAGGGGAAGAAGTTTTCGTGGCATAGCCGGCCATCCCTCGGTGAACATCTCATACGTTATTGTTCTTGTAGGCTCGGGCTGATTGAGGTGGTCAGCCTCTGAATTCCAGGAATTGAATGCTGTTGACATGGGTAAAGCGACCAGCGTATGGAACCCGATGCATATTCCCTGCCGGACAATGGAATGGACCCCATAGAGCATGTAGACTACAAGCGCTGTCCGGCGGATGCATTCCGCGAGGATCCACGAAGCCCAGCATACTGCTTCGGCTTTTTGGAGCTCGGCTTGAGACCGGGCAAGCAGTTTCAAGGCTGAACTCATCAGGACTGTTTGCTGCTGCTCAGCCAACATGCGCTGTTCAATGCCACCGTGGAAGAGTCGTATCGTTTGATAGAGGACTAGAGCTTGCAACCTGGCTAGCTCATCCAACAGAGTCAGGTTTGGTTCGTTATTCTGTAGTAGCTGAAGAACCTCTATATCTATAAGTCGGAATAACATAATCCTGTTGCTCTGACTGAGGAGGCAGGATGCAGAGGATGCGCCGAAAGCCGCCCTGATTGAACGTGGCATAGAGTCACGGTATAGATGCGGGTGGATGAACAGTGTTTGCGACTGTTCGGCGAACGCACGGGGATAGCTTTTCAGTTGGCCTAATACCCACTGCCAACTCTCGCTACTTCCTTCTATAGGTTTTACTTCACCGAGGGGTCCCAATAGTCGAGGACTTGGCTGGCTTCCTGCAGGCAGAAAGTCTAAGCCCGAGGATGACCCCGACGGAAAGTCGGATAAACTGGCCATGTCAAACGAAGGTCCAGGGATATTGTCCTCTATCATGTCCATGACGTCTAGCCAAGACGTACTGGGTGTCACTGGTTGGCCGATGGTGCCGGTGGCCAAGTGTGAAGGCCATTTTGATGATTTTGGGGCTGACCTCGTACTGGACGGGCTGCTGACAGGCGCATACAAGTAACGGCAATTCTTCTTCGTTCTTTGGCATGTGCCGCATGAAGGATGGCCAAAATCGCACTTGCGGCGGCTTTTGAAGCAGGCCTCACAAGATCTCCGCCTCAACGGCATGACAATAATGGCCAAGTGCAGCCCTTTGTTGTGTTGAAAGACGAAAGAGGGATTAATAAGCTGCTTACTATCGACAACAGGCTTGAATAAAGCCCGCCGGAAGCAGCGGTTCTACTGCGATTGGCCTAGTGGAGTTCAAATTTACCCATGACAGGGAGCTTAATTTGAAGGCAACCAGACAGCTACTTCATGCATAGAGATATCCTAGGGGAAATTTGGTTAAAAGTTCATTTATTGCTCTTCCTCTGGGTCTATCAGAATTTCTAAACAAAAACAGATAGAGCGTTCCCCCCCAAGCCCATCTCATTCCCGCCAACCGTCAAGAGCGGTCACTCCAAGAAAGCAGGGTAGAAACTAACTCTATTTGGGACTACTTTAACTCAACTGAACTAGAGCAAATCGTCTATTTCCACCACGGAATATCTGCTTTTCTCCACGTATTTGAGCCACAGTGAACTTCTCCTCTTCCGATGTGATGTGAGAACCAGTCATCCTGGAAAGTGACGTTGAATCCAGCCCGGCCATATGCTTTGACGGCAGCATCAGCAAAAATATCAACGCCATCGATGATAGGTCCCCAAGGATTAGGTGCGAGAACCAACGAATCAGACAGCACAACGCCGTTGATGATACCCGGGTACAGCGCAGCTTGGAGTTCCGTTACGTTGAGCTCCCGACGTTGAAGTGCATCTTTTCTGGTTCCCGCCTCGAAGATGGACTGCACCTTGGATGACGGACCTCCCTTGATTTTAGCGGAGCTTGTTTGGAGGTCGTCAAGACAAGACCAGGGGTCAACTAGGGCATAATAAAAAGTTCCGGGGATTCGAATGATATCGTCCTCTGTTAAGCCCGTCTCACGCCTGAGAATTTCAAGATTCTGATCAATACTTTGAGCGGCAGTCTTGGTGATGGCCTCCAAATCTGGAAACCTGAGGACTTCGTCTATCGTGTTGGACGGGATACAAAACTCGGAGCCTTCCGTGGGCTTGCGAGGTCTTGTAATTCCAGGCAAATGTCCATGCCCATTCTTTGAAGCCTCTTTGAGTAGATTGAGACCCGAGGTAGGATCATCAGCCATTAAAACCCAGCCCCGGTCGTTATCAGCTGGGAGGAATTGGAGGAACTCGTCGACATGGCCGACCTTGAGCCAGGTCGTATTCAACTCAAGGGGGTCCTGCGTCTCCTGTGCCTGGAGAAAACTGAACATGAGAGGCGTCGCCCCCTGGCTAGAACCCATGATGGCCCGGCCGGCAGGGAACGACTTTCCGTTGTATGAGTATGGCGGGATTGTTTCGAGATTACCCATACTATCAGTGCTCATGCCAGCGCCTGGATGTTGTACAGCACCGACAGTGTCGGATCTGAGCCGCGTGAAGATTTCTTCACCAGAGGGGCGGAAGTCTTGCGCAGATCTTATCATGATGCGTAGTACCACAGGTCCATCAGGGCCGGGGATACTAGAGTAGGCGGATTCGAAAAAGTCCTGTGTCCAAATATCCCCGTTGAGAAACTCAAAAACGGGCTCATCGATGCCTGCGTCAGCTACATTTTGAATAAGGCTGGCCACAAAGTCCGCCTGCGGGCCGGGGACCGTAGCCTTCGTCGCAAACACTCGCTCAGCTATCTGTCCATGATGATGAGTAAGAATGGGAGCCACGCGCAAGGCCACAGAGTCTGTGGCTTTCTTGTCGCCATCGGAGACGGCAAATTCGACTAGGGCAGTGCCGTCCCATCCACCGGGGCGGCGGACATCTCGTGCGTCTATGCCCAGCTCTAGCCCACGTCGTACATCGTCTGAGTTGAAGGTGTGGTTCGCCGGAACAAAGACCCAGTCACCGTCTTGTCGAGAAAAGATCCGAACCTTTTCAGAGGCTATGGTGTCGGTGACAAAGACAGAGGCAGTGGCAGAGTCACTAAGCCTGGCAACCGGGAGGGTGATAAGAGGCGCCAGGTATTTTGGGTTTCGTTGCAGGGTACCTTCGGCATCGTTACAAGTATCCAGGTCAGAATTGATTTCTCGACGAGTATTTCCCGTGATATAAGCTTCCGAGCACCGACTGTTTGTATCGGCAATATTGGCTAGGAATAATGCTCCTCGATCCTCGGTCCACACATTTTTGGCATGCGTATCACTGTCTCCAACAACATCAATGGAGCCGTCCCGGTTGGTGTCTGCCAAAATGGTGACTTCCAGGGCAGAAATCGCATTTAAGAAGCCCATAAAGCCTATACAGACGAGAGCTCAATATCAGCGGTCATGCCTAGTATAATTGTGCGAATGTTACTTGCGTACCTAGAGTAATGGTGGACAGAGTTTGTGTTGACAACATCTTGGGCAAAGACACTAGAGAGAGAGGGAATGAAGTTAGTGACTAGGTGTTTTTCGAGCTTTTGGTCCGTCTCTTATGTTTGAAGATGTTAAGGCATGCTCCGGGTCTATTCAACCAGAGAGTCCGTAATATCCAAACTATCTCTAGACACAGGAGAAGAAGAAGATTCTCTGATAGAAAGCAGCTAGGTGGCTGCATTTATAGAACTTCCTTGTTCCAGGTTTGAGGGATTTGAAGCCCTGAAGTGACCAGGGTTCCGCATGCATGACCGCGTATTCCTATCGGAGCTTTACATAGGCATAGCCTGCAACAGGAGATGCTAGATACGCCGAAGACAACTGGCCTAGGAGCAAGGGTAAACGCTTCTGTCGTGGAGCTTGTTGATTTGGCTTATTCAGATGAGAATTCGAGTACAAAGTAAAAGAAAGTTCGAGTCCAACGTAAAAAGGCAATGAAAGATGCCAGACCCGAAATCTCAACACAGTGAATAGATCGGCTTCTTCTCGATTAGTCGAACCCCAGTCTCCGGCCTTGGCTCCATTTAGCAGGTGGCTATTGCTCTCGCGTCACCGTATGACATTTTACTGAAATCCTTAATTGTACAAAAGTTCTCTTTGAATCCTGGTCGGCAAAGTTCATTGGATATTGTACCATAATGCGCATTCCCCGTAGTTTAGCTACAGTCCTGAAGTTGATCCTTATCTCTCAACCCCTCTCACATGTTCGCCGCCAGGTGAATCCACTCTCTCCTTTATCATTAGTTTCTTAACAGGGTCTGTTGATTCCCCTGCCCTTTATTGAAAGTTAATCATTAATAGACCAACCTTATATTTACCTCTTAGTAAAAGAGAATACCACACACGTTATTGGGAGAAATATTTCCTCCAGGTTAATAGCCAACCAGAACGCGGTCCATGCCATTGTGAGGGACGCCGAAGAAGCCAATGTTATGCACTACGTAGATGAAGATCTAGGTCTTTTTCGTTTTTTTCTTACATTGTTCACCACTCCCGAGCCGATTCGGGCCAACCAGTGCAGATAATTGAGGGTCACAGCGGTGCGGTTAGCCTGGCTGTCTACTCACCCGGCTTTACACTCATTGCACTGGCGTTCTACGATCGAACGGTTTGGCTCTGGCATACGAGATTAAACCAGCTGCTGAGTCGTAGCGATGATAGTCCAATTACTTGAATATTGATGGTATCATTGGTCAGAGGTGAGCAATCTGGCTCCAGGTCAAAGTTGAAAAAGATTGCCTGATCAGGCTAATGGTATATGAAATCTATCACACTAGCTAACGAAGTGCCTCGTAGAGACAAAACCATCTAGAATCCATGCCGAGCCCAGTCGTCACGTTACAGCTGCCCCAAAGGAGGCCCAGTAGGGTCTACGACGGTAACGTTTTTGATGACACACGCAGAAGTACCATAAGTCTCAGCATGGGTCCCATTGAACAAGCTGTCTATCCAATCCAGCGATCTGGAGTGACCGTTCTGAAGCTCAGAGATGTGCTCTCCGACTGTGTTGCGCTCGTAGAGAACAACCGCTCCGCCGTCGCAGTATTCTGTAATCAGCTGATCTGAGAGCTGAATTGAGCTGAACTGATCACCAATAGCCTTGTAGGCAAAGACGGGAACGCTCGGGACGCCTTTGAGACGGAGGTCATAGTGACCGTCGTACAAAGAGGTGAGGATCGGATGGTTTAAGTCGTCCCGCCCATTGATAAAGTAATCAAAGATGCTCTGGTTGTAGAAAGCGACAAAACCTTGGAGAGCAGACATATTCAGGGCGGCAAGGAAGTCTTGAGCTTTCTCCTGCTTCAGCGATGATACTAAAAACTCCCGAGCTTCGGGAAACTGCTGGGTCAGCCCTAGAAGCGCATTGGGAAGCAATCCGGCCGACGAGGTTCCATCGAGGAGGTCGGCAGTTGACATAAACCCCGGAGGCATGCCACCGATAACAAGACCCGCAAAGTAAGGCTGCAAGTCTGGAGCATAGTATGGCTGCATTTCTCCAGCCCAGCCAGATGAGATGGCGCCGCCAGAGTAGCCCCAGAGGGAGAAGCTTGCATGTGCCGGGTCGAGCCCCAAAGGCTCGAGCCCTGCCAGCTCGCTGTCGTCTAGGGCAGCAAGGGAGTAGACGGCGCGCACACCATCGAGGATCACCTTTCCTTCGAGACTTCCAGCTGTAGACGCCGCATAAGGGCCCTCGAAATCGGGCACGGATACGAACCAACCACGTTGGAGTGCCGCCGTCACATCCCCAAGCGTTGCTGTCTGCGTGGGGTCATACATCAACACGCTAACAGACCAGTCAACACTCGGTGTGTTGTAGGGGAGCTGGTAGGACATAAATGCAGTTCCATTGCCCCTCGAGGAGGCTCCATGTCGCGAATGGTTGCTGGTAGGTGTGGATGAATAGGGATTGAGAGGACTGAAGACTGTTGAAAATGACCAAAGTGGGTGTCCCAGGCTATCCTCGGTACGATAAACAATGTTGTAGACGGCCGAGGCATTGAACATGGCGCTCAGGTTACCCGGAGCCACTCGTATACGGATCAGGTCCCCGAGAGAATAGGCCGAGAGATCAGCTGGCTCGCTCATGTAAAATGGGTCGTTTGAGGGCAGAAGGGCTTCCGAGGGAGTATCGAAAATGGAGAAACCCGGACCTCCAACGGCCCTCACCACGGGCAGCAGAAGCAAGAGAAGGTTGGAGACAATCATGATGGATTTTAGCGAAGGATAGGTGCTGTTTTAGCAAAGCCGTGGAGTCAAGTGTCTTGTTGAGCAAAGGCCGACTTGCAACTCATACAGGAAGTCGCTTGTTTTATAGACACCTCAAGTTCGGGGCCGTCTATAGCCCGTCCTGAAGGTGTCATGACCAAGCGGTGATTACAAGTCCGGGCATGACGATTTCTTCAGAGTCGAGGAATGCGTGTCAGCTTTGCAGCCTGTTCAGCGGAGTGCTGGGTTTAGCTTTGCCGGAGACTTAAAAGCCCGTATGGCTTGGCTCCGCCAGGCCAAGTCTGACCCCTAGGGATGAAATCTTCCGACTACTTGGATTAAAGTTGCCAATGAATGACAAAAGAAACCAATCCGTGTGGCATCACCTGCCTTTTTTCGTACAGGTCAGGTGGGGCGCCGGTAAAGAAACGTGGTTATCGGTGATCTCACTACCAGGATTATACGACTCGTGGTTAGCGTAGAGGAGTTGTGGGTAAGGGTAAGCTTCAGCACAAATTATGCTCACAAACACCTTCATTTTGCTTCTCCTCTGCCTAAGGATGATGGAAGATAATGGAACCATATTATCCAGAATGCAGAATGCTTTGTAAGCTGACGGACTTTACCAAGGCGGTGTCGTGTAAACTCCATCTTCTTTTCATTGTGTTGAGTTGTCGGGCTCTGGCAGCTTCCATTGCTGTTGAACTTTATTCTCTTTCTCTTAGGTAAACTCCATCTTCAAGGACTTGCGAGGCTGTGGGAACCGCAAAATCCGCAGAGCCAAGGTGGTCATCTAATTATTAGCAGACTGTAAGGAAGATGTAATTAGATAATTTAATTAAAGGTCAAGTCATCTCATAAGAAAAATAGAAGAGAGAAGAGTAATATCTTAAAGTAGATAAAAGTACATTTAGTCTACCTGGTTATAGGTCTGCTATTGCTGCTCTCAAGATTGGTGGAGGTCTTTTCACTCGTACCTGGAGACTGTTCTACGCATTGCGCCTAGAAATCATATGTGGAATCCAGGTTCGTGCAAGCCCAGAGTCGTTTCCATCCCCAGTCGTCTTGACCTGGTGGAAGTTCGATGGATCGTTGCTGTTCAATGGATCTGATGACAGTTTCGACCTCTAGCTACGCCGATGGGCAAATTCTACTGCGTTAAATTAGAAAATTCGAAGCTCACTATGTACTTCATATCGTTGCTGACAATACCCCGGACCTGAGCCCTGCTACACTCGATCCTGGCTTGTATCCGATCTGTAGCTCAATCGGCAGATCGAACTTCAATGTCTAGTAGAAGTTCTTATTCCCGAGCTGAGCGATGGGATAGATCTAACAGGTAAATATACTGTCTATTGTGTAAGGAGAGATTTCTTGCTTTTTGGAGAAATAAAACTTGAACAATAATGTCTAGAATCCGGCGCTGTTCTTTAAAGCTTGATGAGAGGAGAGTGCTTTGTACTTTCCCTAACTGATTCCCGCATTTCAAGTTCAACCTGGTGGAATTTGCCAGCACTGTTCTTAAACTGTTTAAGGAGCGCATCCTGCAAGTCACCAAGAGAATATAGCGCTCTGTCACCAAAGCAGATATCATCGTCGATGAGGCTTTGAATATCGACAGATATTTGTAATACCCCGCTTATTAGCATAATTCAACTTCATTGAATATGAACATTTGTGACAACGCTGTATGAGAGGATATTATGTCAGCCTCATGAGGCGAAGCAGATGACTCCAATCTTATCCCCCTCTTTCCCGAACGTCAAAGTCTTCTGCTCCCATCAAAATCTTCCACACATTCTCCTGATTGTTATCAGTCGAACACATCCTGCCGCGTATTGCATTACAAGTTGATTTGCTTTCTTGCTCAGTTCTACCTTTACAAATATATAAGACAAATGTCGGATCCGGCAGACTACACAATTGCCTGGATCTGTGCCATTACGACAGAATATGTTTCTGCGCAGGCGTTTCTCGACGAGAAACATGCAGGTCCTGAGTTTGTATCTTATAATGATAACACGAATTATACGTTAGGAAAACTTGGCAAGCATAATGTTGTCATAGGCGTCATGCCCGACGGGGAGTATGGCCTATCAGCTGCAACTGGGGTTGTCACAGATATCGTGCACAGCTTTCCTAATATCAGGGTCGGCCTCATGGTCGGCATTGGCGGTGGCGCTCCCAGTGAAAAGCATGACATCCGACTTGGTGATGTTGTTGTCAGCGCTCCTCGTGATGGTAATGGTGGTGTTTTTCAATACGACTTCGGCAAAACAATCCAGGGTCAGAAATTCCAAACCACGAAGTTCCTAGATCAACCCCCTGCTCTTCTCCGCAGCGCGATTGCCGATCTGAAAGCTGAATATGAAGGTGAAGGTCATTGTCTTGAAGATGCCATAGATGTCATCCTCGAGAAGAAGAGGCCGCAGTTTCGTCAGAAGTACGGACGGCCAGATCCAAGTAGCGATAGACTTTATCGGAGTGATGTTGTCCACCCCTTTGGGAAAGAGGTATCTTGCCAAGCTGTCTGCGGTGACGACCTATCCAAGCTGATAACTCGACCTGACCGAGCTGATGATGACAATGAGATAGTCATCCACTATGGCCTTATTGCTTCCGCGAATCAGTTGATGAAGGACGCGGTAATTAGAGACCGCCTTGCAACAGAGAGGAATGTCCTATGTTTCGAGATGGAAGCGGCTGGCTTGAATCGCTTTCCCTGTCTAGTTATTCGAGGGATCTGCGACTACGCAGACTCACATAAAAATAAAGAATGGCAGGGATATGCAGCGATGGCGGCTGCTGCATATGCGAAGGACCTCGTCTGCCGAATCCATCCTAGGAGGATTGAATCTGGAAAACGGATCAAGGAACTTGTTTCTGAACGTTAGTTGCTCAATCTTTCTTCACTATGGCTTTTCTAAACAAGCATGACAGTCAAGATCCCAATATCGCGAATTGAGGCAAGCGTCGAAACAATACTATCAAAGTCCAGCAAAGAAGAAGACCGGGATATCCTTGACTGGCTCACGAGGGTTAACTATAGTACTCAGCAGAACGACTTTCTCAGAAAGTGATGCGATGGTACTGGACAATGGATTTTTGAAACTGCGCAGTTCCAAACTTGGATTGGTACCAAAGGTCAAACACTGTTTTGCAAGGGAATTCCAGGAGCAGGGAAAACTATAATCGCAGCAACAGTGATTAAGAAACTTATGAATGAGTTTCAAAATAACCACGAGATCGGAATCGCATATATATTTTTAGTTTCCGGCGGCACGAGGAGCAAAAGCCGGAAGACATTCTTTGGAGTCTGTTAAAGCAACTAAGCTCACTCCCCTCACTCCCAGAACCAGTACGGGCCCTCTATAAGAATCATAAGGAGGAAAACACAAGACCGCTGGTCAATGATCTTATAAAGGCTGTCCAGGGTGTGGCCGCCCTATATTCAAGAGTTTTTATTGTTTTCGACGCGCTTGATGAATGCAGATCTCTAGATGGGTGTCGGGAACAATTATTTGCTCATCTCTTCGTCATTCAGAGTAAAGTTCAAGCGAACGTCTTTACCACCTCCCGGCCGATCCAAGATATCGAAGCAAAGTTTCAAAACAGTCTTTCATTGGAAATTCATGCTACTGACGAGGATATACAACGATATCTCACCAGCCAGATTTACAAATTGCCATCGTTTGTTACTCACAATTCTGACTTGCAAAACAAGATTAAGATTAGAATAACCCAGGCTGTGGATGGAATGTGGGTTGTTTTTCTCTTCCTATTTGTCATTCCTCTTTCTCTTTATCAATAAGAGAAATCTGACTTTAATACCCAGGTTCCTTCTGGCACCACTTCACATTGGTACTTTGGCTCGGGAGCCCACTGTAGGGCATCTAGAAACAGCGTTGGACAACTTGTCCAGTGGCATAGATGAAACGTACCACCAAACAATGATAAGAATCGAAGAGCAAGGCGGAGGCCTTCGAGACTTGGCAATCAAAGTTCTATCTTGGGTTTTCCATGCAAGAAGACAACTCAATACAGCCGAGCTACAACATGCGCTTGCAGTCCAACCAGGGACGTCAGAGCTAGACGAGAGATACATACCCGATCTCGAAATCATCGGGTCGATATGTGCGGGCATGATCACGACTGATACTCAAAGTGATGTTATTCGATTGGTTCACTATACTACGCAAGAATACTTTGAACGGACGCACACACGGTGGTTCCCAGACGCAACAGCGATGATAGCCGAAACATGCGTCACTTATCTCTCCTATGACAGATTCGAAATGGCGTCTTCTGGCATAAAGCTATTGGATCACCTGTCAGATGTTATGAAGGATAATATCCTTTCTGAGGCCAAAACGTCCTCATTCTACCAATACGCAGCATGCAACTGGGGCCATCATACTCGTGAAGCCTCAGATTTGTGTCCGGGTGTGATAGATTTTCTGCAACACGAATTCAATGCGACAGCCTCCGCCCGCGCATTGATGGCGTCCAGTCCCCAGTATAGCGCAACGACGCCTGAGTGGACCGGTCTTCATCTGGCTGCGTTCTTTGGAATCGAAAAAGCCCTGGAAATAATGCTTCGTGAGGGGGTAGAAGTAAACTCACAGGATCAGTATCATAGGACGCCCCTTTTTTGGGCTGCTGGAGCTGGGTATGAGGCTGCCGTGAAGGTTCTCTTGGAACAAGGCGCTGAGGTCAACACGGAGGATTATTATTACCAGACGCCTCTTTCCTGGGCTGCCGAGGGTGGGTATGAGAGCGTGGTGAGGCTACTTCTAGACAACGGGGCCAAGATCGACGCAAAGGACAGCGACAGCCAAACGCCACTATTCGAGGCTGTTACAGGTGGGCACGAGGCTGTCGTGAGGCTGTTGTTGGATCGAGGGGCTGATATTAATGCGCAGGATGGTGAGGGTTGGACGCCATTCCTGGAGGCTGCATGGGGTGGGCACAAAGCCGTTGTGAACCTCCTGCTAGATCGAGGGGTGGAAGTCAACCTACCCGGAATCCAACGTTGGGCCCCAATAGTGGAAGCAGCCAGAGGCGGACATGAGGCGGCCGTGAAGCTGTTGCTGGACCGGGGAGCCCAAGTGGATGCAGAAAACTTCGGTGGCCGCACGGCAATGTCAGAGGCTGCTAGAGGTGGACATGAGGCTGTTATGAAGATGCTTAGGGATAAGGGGGCTAAATTGAACAACGCAGAACGACCGGCGTTGTCAGAGGCTGCTAAGGGTGGGCATGAAGGAGCAGTTAAGTTACTGTTGGACTGGGGGGCTGACATTGATGCGGCATATAGTTCCAAAAATCAAGAGGCGACCAAAGTACTGTTTGGTCGGGGAACTGATATCAAAGCCGTAGGCATATCCGGTCTATCGGCGGTGTTACATGCTGCTATAGGCGGACACGAGGCCGTTATCAAGATGTTGTTTGAGCACGGCGGGCCTGAGTGGTGTGTGACGCAGTTGGTACATTGGACGGGAGCAGGTTTTACGGATCATGAAGCTCGGATGCGGTTCAAAGCTGCTGCTAAGGGTGGGATCGAAGCAGCCGCGAAACTCTTGATAGATCAAGCTTGGAACAGCGGGGTTGAGATAAGTACCAATGTTCTACAAGTGTTGCAAGCGGCTGCTAATGGTGGGATTGGGGAACTTTCCAAGAAATTAGTAGACATAACAGCCAGAATGAGGAAAAGTGAGAATATGTATTTTAGCCATCCATAGCGTTGAGCCGAAGGCTATCACGACAATGCGACACTGTCAAGATTGCACATTAACTCACTACTAACATGCAAAGGCAGCCTTCCGACGGCCTGTGTCTCTTTATCTGTGGTTTACTTGCTTTGAGGGATCTCGCCCATGAGCCTAGTCTGACGTGAAGCTCGTCCACCCTCAGTACCGGATTTGTGAGGACTACCCACCATACTGCTCGCGATGCTAAAAAGATTCATGGCCCCGTCTTTGAGCATAGTTATCGCCCACCCTTTCACTGTCTGTCGTTATTTCGGAGAATAATTTCAATGACAAATCAAGAAGGTCAAGCATGTGATGTAAATCTCCCCGAGTCACATAACTATATTGCGTTACGACACTTATTAAGTTCGTATTTATATGTCTACAGCTTGATCATTGGCTAATTAGCATCGGCTCCTGGTTTCCTGGGGCCACATGTATCCAGAAAATGATGCCAAACACGCCTTGAGGGATATTATACACCTCGCTGACCCACACAACAATTTTCATTTACGCAGCCTGTTGAGAATGCATCATCATCAGCGCTTTAATTTTTAGTTAAACAAGAATCGAATTTCGAATAGCCATTGAAAAGGTGGTCATTCAGAACCTCCGAATTACCGGGACAAATCCGTGTCATCTGGAGATATAAACCTAGCGCGTTTGCTTGATTCCTTCGATCTCTTCAAATTTCATAATTTCGAAAACGCTTTGCATAACTACAAAAGAGGTGTAGAGCCAATAGCATACACTAGAGAAATTTCCTTAAAAGCGCTTCCAGAGGACACACCACCATGGAGCCTACCGCGGACATTCCTATTACTCGCATCCCATCAACAAGTGGAGTTTGCACTTCTAGGGAAAGCAATGGAGACTCGACCGGTAGCCTAGGAGAAGCTATAGAAGAATATCCAGAAGGTGGTTTCAGAGCATGGATGGTCGTGTTGGGAGCTTGGTGCGCAATGATTCCATCAATGGGATTGTTGAACTCATTGGCAATCCTGGAAGCATGGCTAAGCGAACATGACCTACAAGGACTTCCAAAATCTGCAACAGGTTGGGTTTTGAGCACCTATGCGTTTTTTCTGTTTTTCTGTGGCGCTCAAATTGGTGAGTGATCTTGCCCGCGAGGAGGAGCAATCAACTTACAAACATGCAAGGCCCGCTCTTTGACTCTTATGATATCAGACTGCTCATTATTCCTGGCTCGGTAGGAATGATTGCTTCAATGATATGCATGAGCTTCTCTCAAGGTAACCATCCTGTCATCAGAGATGTATGGCAATACTGACATCTTCGCCACGCTAGAATTCTACCAGTATCTGCTCTCATTTGGTGTCCTTGGGGGGATTTCCGCTTCCTTTCTCTACAACCCGGCATTATCCGCAGTCGGGCATTGGTTTAGGGAAAGACGTGGACTTGCAACATGCATTGCCTGTACATCAGGGGGTATAGGAGGGGTTTGGATTCCTCTCGTGATACTTTACCTTGCACCCCGTGTTGGTTTTCCTTGGGCCATCAGAGTGGTAGCGTTAATAAGTGCAATTCATCTGGCTGCCGCATGTTATATATTACGCAAGCGACTACCTCCAAACAAGAGAGCAGGCTCCTCTATTGACCTCAAAGCTTTAGCAGACCCAATGTACGGCACAATTACATTAGCGCTGGTCCTCGTCGAATTCTCCATCTTCATCCCGATCTCATATATATCATCATACGGCCTTCAATCTGGGTTTAATCGTCATCAAGCTTATATGTTAAATTCTTATCTAAACGCTGGTGCCATTCCAGGTCGAGCACTCCCAGGTTACATCGCAGACCGGTTTGGAGTCATGAACACAATGTGCGCAATTTCGTTCTTCTGCATGACATTTATTTTCTGTCTCTGGTATACTGCACATGGGAATCAGTCCATGACTATCTCTTTCGCGGTCCTTTTTGGATTCTGGTCAGGAGCATCAGTCAGTTTAGCGCCAGTATGCATTGGGCTGGTCTGCAAGACCGAGGATTACGGGAAGCGAAATGGCACGGCGTACACGCTGGCTAGTTTTGGTACGCTGATTGGGATCCCCATCGGTGGTGCTCTCTTGGGAGCTGAAGGCAAAGCATTTCAGGGTTTAATTCTGTTCAGTGGCATATCATACATTTTTACATTAGGAGCTTATGTTCTTGGTCGTGGCCTCCTAAGTCGCTGGACACCTTCAACACTATGCTAACTATCTTAAAGGAAAGGAAAGGGTGATGATAGGGGTAACTTCAATACAAGCCTTCCAAGTCACCTCATTGTCCTCGGAGAGGCAAATATATTGTCATTTCCTGCATCTCTCTTTCAATAGTACTACCAAGTTGCATCTCGCTAGCATTAGCCTCACTAATACACAAAAAGTGCCTACTCCCTCCATCGGAATGAAGGATGCTTCCAATCCAGGTCCTCTTGCTCCTCCGCAGACAAACCTTGTATCTTCTCCAGCTCCTCCTCCTCTGCCCTCGCCTTCTTCACATTGTCTCTCCTCATCCACAGCAGCATGACACTCGCCACAATCAACGTGCCAGTCTGTGTGGCCAAGTTCAGCCCATTTCCAATAGGGTAGTTTGGCCCGTCAAATGGCAAGAAGGACCAGGTGGAGATGAGTCCGCCAATGTTCCCCAGCATGACGTTGAACCCTATGGCTGAGGACCGCGCCGTGTCGGAAACGACATTAGCTGACACCTGGGCGTTGGTAAGAGCACCCAGGGAGAAGGAGGACGAGGCAATAAGGAACGTGGCGGCATAGCGTGCAGTAGTATTCTTGGTAGCCAGGAAGATTATGTATCCGGCAATGCCCAGGGGAGCCGACATGATGATGAAGATTTGTCGACGGTCATATATCGAGGCGAACATCGGGACGAGAAACGTAACAACCAACCCAAATGCATAGGGGGGAACAGTGTACAACTGCTGCTGGATGACAGTGTAGTTGGCATAGATGCTCTTGATGATGGTTGGCATGAAGATGGTGAGACCTTGGACTGTGATGTTGCAGAAGAGAAAAATCACGGCAGTGCTCATGGTAATGGGATTCCTAATACCGAGGAGAAGTTTTTTCTTATCGATCTTGTCCAGTACTTTGGTCTGGCCGACACGCTCTGAGCGAACTCGTTCCTCAGCAAGATGTTTCTGTTCCGCAGTGAGCCAGCGCGCAGTCTCGGGCCGGTCAGTCAGAGTTGCGAAGCCGATTAGCCCAAGGACAATGGTGGCGACACCTTCGATGACAAAGATCATGCGCCAGCTGCTGACACCAGCAAAGGAATCCAATTTGAGAATACCCGAAGCCATGAGCGCTCCAAACGCACCGGCCAATGGCCCCGTTATCGAATAGGCACCCAGGCGCACTGTGAGCTCGGAACGGCGGTACCACCTGGAGAGATAGTACGCGACGCCAGGGAGCATCCCGGCTTCGAAGACGCCCAAGAGGAAGCGCACGGCAAACATCTGAGGCCCGGTGGTGACGTAGCCGCAAGCGAGAGAACAGGCACCGAAAAGGACGGTCAGAAGCGGTAGGAACCAGCCAGGCCCGACGATCTTGCAGAGGATATTGGCGGGTAGCTCAAAGGTTATGTACGAGGCATAGAACATGGAGAGGGCGGCGTTGTAGTCGTAGCCCACCATTCCAAGGTCCTTCTCCATGCCAGCAATGCGCGCGTTTCCTGTGGGCCGGTCGGATTAGCACGGAGGTTTATTGAGAGGACGGGAAATCAAGTGACGTACCGATATTAGCACGGTCGATGAAGCAACATAGATAGAGTATGCAGACTGTGGGCAGGATCATGAGGTCGATCTTCCTGCGGAGGCGGCCCTCGGCGGCCTTGTCGTACACCAACTCTTGAGACGCGCCCCTTGAAGGTATTAGCATGGCATGGAATATTCTTCGGTGAGGAGATACTGACTCGGCCGTTTCGACCTGCTTCGTCTCGGTGCCCATATCTGCTTTGATATCCAGATCACCACTCATGGCTCCCGGCTTGGCTGAGGTGCAAATCAATAATAATTAGAACTTGATCGGTCGCGTAGAAGAGTCAATGAATTAGAATCGTGGGAAAGAGGCGGTAGAGGTGCAGGCATAGACAGTGACTGTTTGCGTTGGGCTTTAGTTGGGGGCCCAGCACACAGAGTGAGACAAGGATGGACACCCACCAGACTATATATGTAGGAGCATTTCTAGGCCGTGCACACCTTCTCAATGGCATTCCTGTGGGCGGCGGCTCTTGGTCGTGTAATCAGACTACAATCCAGCATCGATTAGGACGCCAAGACCTGGGGTCAAATCACCGTCCCAATCCCGAGGCCTGGATTCATCATTCAGTTCCCCGCATGGGAGACAAGCGAGTTGATACCCTGGCTAAAGTTAATGCTCCCCGCTGCTAACGTGGGAATCTAGACCAGCCTGTCGGGTACTAGTGAAGGCGGGTTTCGGGTCGGCTGGCTCCAAGGAGTACAAAATGCCAAGAACCGAACCGACCCGAAACTCGACCCGATCATGCTTTGGCTCACGGAGAGAATGAGGCCAAGCAGTTTCATTACATCATGTTCTACGGACCCGGCGGCCTGGGTAAGCGGCATGTTCAGCGGTACAAATATCTCTGGTCACGCTTTGAGCAGGCCAAGCTGCCAACACCGGCTTGTTAATGGCAGCCATTTTCAAATATGGGATCGAAATCAAGACTTGACTATGCTATTATTGGGGGAGGAATTTCGGGCTTGAGCCTGGCCATTGCCCTCCATCACCGTGGAGTTTCAGTTCACATCTATGAGCGTGCACGCCAGTTTGGCGAGATTGGAGCGGGGGTTTCCTTCACGTCAAATGCCTTGCAGTCGATGAAGATATGCCACCCAGGTATCTACGATGCTTTCGAGAAGGTCTCCACCCGCAACGTCTGGCCCACGAAGCAAAATGTGTGGTTTGACTATTACAACGGTCAACAGAAGGAGGAGGCGTCATCAGATAAGCCGGATTTCTCGATTACAAACGACTTGGGCCAGCGTGGTGTCCATCGAGCACACTTTCTTGATGAGCTTGTCAAGATGATTCCAAGCGATATATCATCTTTTGGAAAGGAGCTGGAACGATATGAGAGGGGAAGCGACGGAGTATACACACTATTCTTTGCCGACGGGTCTACGGCGCGGGCAGATGCAATCATTGCCTGCGATGGAATCAAGTCGAGGGTCCGTCAACTCATGTTTGGCATCGAGCATGAATGCGCTTTTCCTTCTTACACCCACAAATACGCCTATCGCGCCTTGGTACCAATGGCAGATGCCGTGGCTGTCATTGGTTCAGAAAAAGCAGAGAACGCCTGCATGCATGTGAGTCGATCTTGGGAAGAGCCTCCAACCACTGTTGAGCATCTGCTAAGTACCACTAGATGGGCAAAGGTGGCCACGTCTTGACATTCCCCGTCAATCAAGGTCAGACAGTCAACATTGTTGCCTTCCATACAACCGACAAGGACTGGCCGGACCGAATTAGACTCACGGCACCGGCCACGCGGGAAGACGCTCTGCGCGATTTCGCTGACTTTGGCAACACGGTAACCCATCTGCTTCAACTTTCACCAAAAGAGCTCGATACCGTAAGTTACACTGGTTGTTGGGACTTAGCCTGATCGACTAACTGGTCATCAAAATGTAGTGGGCCATATTCGACTTGGGTGATCATCCACCACCCACGTTTGCAAAGGATGGCGTATGTCTTGTTGGAGACGCTGCACATGCGACTTCGCCTCATCACGGTGCGGGTGCGGGACTGTGTATCGAGGATGCCGCTGTTCTTGCAGAGCTTCTCTCTGACAAGAGGGTGGTCACCCGCAGCGATGCCGAGCATGCATTTGCAACTTTCGATGCCGTGAGACGAGAGCGAGGATCCTGGTTGGTCCAGAGTAGTAGACATATAGGCAACGCTTACGAGTGGCTGGTCCCTGGACTGGAGGATAACTTGGACAGAATTGAGGCGGATATAAATCGCCGGAATGGAATTATCGCCAACGTTGATGTGGCTTCCATGTGCAGCCAGGCGGTGGCTGAGTTGGCAAGCGGATATGATATTATTGCTGAGGCGAAGATATAATGGCGGATGTTGAATTTAGTTCATGTATCCTATTCCATTCTTCCTCTGTGTCATATCCTTGCTCCGCAAAATGGTATATGATCAGTCTCATGTATAAGAAAAACTGAAACTCGAAACTTTGCTAGATCAATGCTCAAATACAGTCGGGAACCACCCCACATCCAAAGACTACCGCACATCGAGAACCGTTTTGATGGTTTTAAAACAAATCAAGACTATTACAAATATAACGGTGTAACTAGGATTCTCAACGCTTCTACATGGCCCTTGCGTCTCAGCTTAATCTTACAAACCGAGGTATGTCCTTCTTCTATTATCATTTATTATTCCTTGAGGCTATGTAGAGGTTGCTCCTTCACATTATTATGTGAAAAAGTCCAGCCACTCAGCATGCATAAGATCAGTGGCTAGAAAAGTCTCAGTAATAGGATCACAAGACGAGGAGGCATCTCCAGTCGAGGATATATCAAAAGAATTTGAGTCAAAGAGAGCGGCCAAGTTATTATCCACAGGAGGCGTAGGTGAGAGTTCTCCCACTTTGGGGTTGAGTGCTGTAACATAATGCGTGAGTACTGGAGAGCTCGAAACCTGCCAGAGGGTGAGTCATATCTCACCTGAGCCGGTAGTCTGAAAAACTCGCCGTCTGATCTCGGTTAACGAGCGAATTGCATGCGACGCCGAATGCACCTGGTGTTCGTAGTGCTTCAGAATGGACAAGGAACGGGACCAGCAAGTTCGAAATGCCTCGTCACCCGGCTGAAGGTCAAGAAGTTCACATTTCAAAGAAGCGAGCAGGACAATCGCGGCAGAGAATGTAACTGAAAATTTTAACTTGTCAGCTCTCATGGTAAAAAGGGGTCATCTCCAACTTACAGTAAACGGTATGCCACCCCGAAGTGCGGTACAAGGTGCCCAGGTTCCCATACAACGTGTCGACTAGACCGTACGCCGTCTGCAGACAGAGCTCGCAACACTGCTGGATCACTGCATGGTCTAGAAGTGGCTGCCCAATGCTGTCCAGGGCGTCTATTGGAGATACCTTCTCTCCAATGATTGTGCTTAAAAGCAGAGGGCGGAGAAGCAACAGCCGGGTAAGTAAGAACCTAGGGAAGGTGATTAGACTTTATCTTCAAGAAAATTACCTTCATTCTTACCGGCAATGCAAGACGTGTTGCTGCAACGCAACATGGTCCGCAGACGAGGCGACCGTTATATCCTTGTCAGACAGCTTCAGGTATCCAGGAACCGTATTTGCAAATTCGTTTAGGCGACGACTCAGATTCAGAATACTGGTCAAGATTTCCCCCTGTTCCGGCTTGGTTTCACTTTTGCTCTGCATGTTTTTGGTCACTGGCTCATGCCTAGACAAAAATGCCAACACCTCTTCAAGTAGTTCCAAAAGCGTGCAAGACGAGACAAATAAGCCGAGGCGCGATGGCATCCCCGAGGGCTGCTTCCCAGAAGGGCCTGTATCGCTTAGATATTCGTCATCAACCATGGCAGGCAAGGCAAGACTATTAGGCCTCTGGACCATTGTCGGCCGCCCAAAAGTCATGGCAAGCAAACTAAACAGCAGTCAGCATTTATCAATGTCGATAAGGGGGAAGGGCTGTACTAACCGATCCAAGTTGACACAAGAATGCCAAACGCGCCTCATCATTTCCCGCTCCACTTGCGAGCTGTTCTTGCTGACTCTTGCTTCCAGGTGTAGCCCAAGGCTCTGGGCCACGCGAATGGCAAGCCCTATTGCGTTCCAGCAACGGTTCGCATGTGGAGTGGACTGGAGGTAAATGCCGTTCAACACGAGAAGCTGCACCAAAGGCAGGGACGCAGAGTCTAGTACATCGAATATGAACAGTTGACGAGATTTATTGTAGAAGTCATCCCCCACAGAGGATTTCTGTTTATCTGGAATGAGGTTGCTGAACTTGCAGCCGAGGGCGAGGACAAGATTCAGCGTTGACAGAAAGAGATTGTTCTCATCGGCTGCGTGCTGAGACAGTTGAGAAACTTGGCCGCTACTTTCTAGGACCCAAAACCGTTCGTACCTCTCGGTGAAGGTGGGTTTGTGTAGGACAGGAAACATGGGGTGGATAAAGTCCCAGAAACAGGCAATGAAATCGTCCGCGCTGTGTCGACGAGGAAGCACTGCCATTCCGTCGTTTGGCTCCGGCATCCTCTCGGGGATGTGGACTTTGCCGCATTGGCTATCCGGCGTGGGAGGAGGCAGGCCTGCCTCACAAGATGCTTCATCGGATAAGACATGTTGGAGAAATACAATGGTGGATGACGGGCCATAGACAGAGCTGTCTTCACGTCCGACGAAGGTTGCCAGACCGTCGCTCTGGGTGGAAGACCATGGCTGATCTGCTGATGGCTCATTATGGAGGCCATGGGGCTTGTCTGCTGTGTCTAATCGTGCAGTGGACATTGAAGGAGAGCCACATGTGATGGTAGGGGTTGATTTCGATGGCACAGGCTCGGCTTGATGAGTCCGGCGGCGCTGGTTCGTGCGTGGCGCATCATACGAACAATCGTGACCAACGCCGCGATTCTCACATGCGCGGCAGACAGGGTGCCGAGCATCACAGCGCGTCTTACGGTCCCGACATGGAATGCATGCCTCGTTGACTCTCAGACGTTTCCTGGGTCCTCTTGAACTTGCGGGAGGCGAGAGAGTCTCCATTGTGCGGAGAGCTCGGAGGGCCGGAGATAGGTAGATCCTAGATGCAAGATTCAATCCCGATTTCTTGTTGTTGCCAGATTGGCCCGCCTCCGGCTTGTCGGATGTGCGAGCGGAACAGCATGTGGAGTGTGTAGAGGTACATATCCGACAAACGCCTAAAATGCGGGGTATGGGGAAGGTACATACCCGACAGGCTCAAGACAACATTGAAGTTTCATACTCTCTACAAGAAACAGTGGTCCAAAATATAACAGCTAATACTTACTTTAGTATCGACATGTCCTCGGTTTAAATCCCTTATAATATTGTATTAGTATTTCCCTACCCTCAGCGTATATCTATCTATCTTGTTGGTTGAGCATTAAGTTAAGTCCTCTCCAGCACAAGATTCAACGACCTGTCTTTATCTATGTTGAATTGACATCCTGAAGCCGGATTTCCATTTCTCCGTCTATGTTCAGGGCGGCGAGCGTCCTGATTGAAACAATTTCAGGCACCAGCTAGTGTTGCGAGGCCTGGTCTGACAACTCCCCATTCCGTCTAGGAAGACGACGCCTCCTTCTCAAGGGCTTCATAGATTCCCTTGTAACTGCAGTTGTAGTCCATTGTAGCCAACCTCTCCTGCAAGGTAGTACTCTTCGTCTGCTTTCGAGTGTCTTGCAACACTTTTGCTGCCCGTGGGCGCCGAATGCTGTCGATCTTTTGAAGAGCAGACTCGATCTCCACCCCGGACATTCCAGGTAGAAGAAGTCGAAGGCTGTCGGCATCCTCTATAGCCATATTGGCCCCTTGGCCTTGCAGTGGTGTCATGGCATGGGCAGCATCCCCGATCACAAGGGCCCGTCCGCGATGCCAATTGGGAAGGGTGTCCAGCTCTTCGAGATCCCACACTTTGACTTCTGTGGCAATACTGATGGAATTGTTAGCAACTACACAAACAATGGAGCCCAGAATTACACAGTCACCTGAGGATCTTGCGGGTTTTCTCGTCAAACCCATCAAACGTTTGCAGCATCTCTTCTTTATCGCCATCCTTGTACCAAGTCTCGAGAATGTCCTGCCTGGCTTCATGCATCGGGAAAAGGCAACTCAAGTTGTGGTAGCTTTTTCGGCGTATGGGGTAGCTTGCAATGATTCTGAGTGGATCATCGAGCTGCATAATGTTTAGACGGCTTTCATCCTTTCCATCATCCCACCATTCTGGCAAGCTGCCGACTGCCTCCTGGGCATCTTTGGTCGGGACAGCGATACGAAAGAGCGTCAGTCCAGTCTTCTTGGCAACGTGACCTTCAGTCTTTATGATACGCTTGCGGAGAGTGGAATGGATACCGTCTGCAACTATTTTTCAAGCCTCAAGTCAGCGAGAACGCTTTTGGGTCATTTTTAAGAGGTATTGGTTAATCGTACCAATGATAATGTCACCCTTCACCACCGAACCATCGGCCAAAGAAATAGTGCCGGTGTCGGGGTCAAGGTCAACCACGCTAGTATTGAATACCAGCTTTGCCGGCTCTCCTTTGATGCTAGGTTCTGTCGCGGGCGCAGTTGCGATACGCATAAGTTCATCGCGAAAATCAGACCGCTTCATCATCAACATCTCCGCTCCCCAACGACCTTTGAAGTCAATTGGGATGTCCTCCAATAGCTTGCCATCCTTGTCGAGCATACGATACCCATGGCAAGGTACGCCGCCAGCGCGGGAGCCATCAAACCCAACCGACTCCAATATCTTGACCCCGTTGGGGTACAAAACAATGCCCTGTCCACCAGTCGCGATGTTTGGGCTACCGCGCTCATAGACGGTGACATTATGATGGATTCGAAGCACACTGGCCGCAGCCAGACGGCAAGTCCCGAGCCAACAACAATGGCGTGTAACTTAGATTCTGTCATTTTGGCGGTGTCTCTGATAGTGGAGCGAGGGTGAGGCCGAGGGAGTTGGAATGAACAACGATATTTGTGACTGGGCCGACATTATCACAGAGATGACAGAGTCTTTATAACAAGAAGATGATCGGATTTAAACATTACTCGCGTAGGACAAAAGACCGAAGGCTGTAGTATAACTCGGTGTATTCGGCGACAAGGAGCGTCGGCTATTTCTTACACAGTGGATTTACCATATCGCCATTATTGGATGATAATCGATCCTGATGAGTTTACAAGTAAGGCTATTTTTCAGTATCTTATACTTATGTAGGTATGGCCAGTATGAGGCTGACAGGTCCTGCTTTGTAGCCAATGGGGAAGGACCGGTAACTCCCGTTGGCCTATTGCATGCTTTTTCCAGCTTCGCATGTTGCGCCGCCCAAAGCATCTTACATATACAGGGTGTATCTGGCAAGATAAAACAGGCCAAAGGGTTCCAGAAAGACATCATGCTGTAGATGAAATGTAATTGGCATGCTATCTTGCGCTTATTCAAGTCCTCAATGGGCTTAATAGCCACCCACATTTATTCGTCACTTCCCAACTCTGGGTCTTTCTTGGAAGTTATAACATTCGTCTCGGATACACCGTTGAGCGGATCGACACCAGCCACTGTGGGAAGAATGCCCGAGTCTTGGTTCATCATATGATGCTGGACTGAATTAGCGACAAGCTTGGAAATACATCATGTTGACACTCACCTCAATATTTACTACTGGTCCCTTGAACCATTTGTGGGCGTCAATAAAGAACCAAAGAACAAGAAATAGCATCGGGGCGCCCTGGTTTACTGTTAGCATGACTTCGAGGAGAAATGGAGCCCTCGACTTCTTACATAGACCAAAGATGTCCAATTCATCATGTCGGGCGTCAGATTATCTCCCGTGACGACAGGGAAACATAAAATCGGTATCATGACGAACACAAAGACCGAAGATAGGATTCCACACGGGATACTGAAATTTCCGAGGTGCCAGGGCCCTCGTCGGAACTTATTCCCAACGAAAACAGTCTTGATAAAGATGGGAGTGGTGAAAGCAACAAACGACGCCACGGCCCCGATGGAGAATACGGCACTTATTGCCACGCCCCCAAATATGAGAAGGCTAAGCAGCACTCCGATCAGCGTGTTGAACCAAACAGCGTTAACCGGAGTCAGTGTTCGTTTGTTCACCTCCTTGAGGCGGGAGCTGAGAACGCCAAAGCAATCGTCTCTGGCATAGGCAAAGCAGACGCGGCTGGCTGCCACCATGCAGCCTTGGCCCATTGAATAAGCGCAGATAATAGTCAGCGCAAGCATTGCGACGGCGGTCTTTTCCGGAAGAACCTGCAGCAGGTAAGCGGCCCAGGGTTGTCCCTAGTAACGAAGGTTTAGTCCTGGCCATCAATATTCTTCTGAAACTGGCTTACAAGATCACTCTCCATCGCTGCCGTGACGTCGGTGATAGTATATGCTACTATCGCATTGAGAACGAATCCTAGGATAGACCCCGAGAGTGCTGTCATGATAATGGATCGTGGTGTTGCTATGGCCGCGTTGGAGCACTCTTCGGCGAGATGGAAAGAGGCATCGTATCCTAGGCATAATTAGACAAAGTTGCAACAAAAAAATGACGTGTAAAAGCACGAGTTGGAGTATATAGCTGCGAAATGGCTCGTTGTGCGTACCAGACATTGTCCAAATGATGGCCAGAAAGCTCATCATGAGAGCCACACCATCTGGGAAATCAGTCAGGTTCTCGATTCCCCACGCGACCTCGTTGGGCTGGAACTTTGGACTTGTGATGGCTGCGACAGGGATGGTGATGATGACAATGGCGAGGCACATAATGTTGACAATTGTCCCGACGGAATTGAACTTGGCGATCCAGAGTGTTGGCATGCTGCTCAAACATGCATGCGACAGCATGATAAGGGTTGTCAGGAGATATGTTTGCCAATCCGTAGGGACGTAGTCTGGGTGTATAATAGAAGCGGTTGCCAAGATCATGGAAGCTTCAGATGGTGTAAGCCTCACTCTCCTCAAATGTTTTGATATCGCAACTTACCACATCCGTAGTCTACACTTGGTGCCCCGGTTACTTGCACAAGCCAGTTGCTCCATCCAGTGATCCATGCCGCAAAGGGCCCATACTTTGGGCCTGCCAGGACAGCTGCCGCATAGTATAGCCCGCCCGAAGTTGGCATGCTCGAGGATAACTCTGCCATGGAGGCGGCGATCTTGATGCCGTGTTAATTGAATCCCGAACAGCGAGAGGGAAGACTAACACATAGGATGAAAAGGACAGAGATGATCCACCCCCAGGTGTTTGCGGCAGGACCGGCTATTGCATTTTCATCAGCTTCCAATCACATGAGGCTATCCGAGGCGCGCACCACCTACCGTAGCCAATACCATAGGACATGGTGGTAGCGATGCTAGGAAGCAAGCCCATCACGGCGAAGCTAACGGCAAACGTGGTCCAAGCAGAGAACTCTCGTTTGAACTCCTGCTTGTACCCGAGTGCTGCCAACGCCAACTCATCTTCCGAAGCACCGTCGACATTATCTGGCACGTCGCCCGGGGCGAGCACACTGGTTACCAGCGGAGCGCGGGAGTACTCGGAATCCGGCGCCATCTGGGATAGATTACGGTAAAAACACCAAAGGTCAGTGTGAAAATAGAGGGCCGTCGGATACTGAGTGGTTCAATCGGTTCCGGCTTGGAAGGGCGTGGTTGAGTTCGAGGCTAATGATTTGATTAAGGCTGGTGAGGGGAAGCTTCGAGTTGCACATCTCAGCTGGGGCATGGGGAATTATCATTCAGCCTCAGCACAGCTCAGCTCAGCAGAGCACAGGCCTCCCTCGCGCACACCACTGATACGGCAGACATGTCTTGGGTTTGTAGGTGGCTATCTTGGTGAGACCTCATTCTATTGGCGGGGGACAGGCGAGATAGCGCAAATACTCCGCACTCAGACCACAAATGGACAACCGCAGACGATCTCTTATCTCCCAATCAGAAGCACTGCCCTCCCTTTGGCCCAGACTCAAGTCCCTTCACGAGTCACGGCTGTGTGGCAAGTGGTGTGTGACTTATCAGCCCGGCCAGAACACTTTACGTAACGGAGCCTTGACGCACTGACTGACTCGTCAACCAAATATCTCGCCTTGAGTAACGTGATCATGGATCATCACCATCTCCAGATTAGATACACTCCCCGGCACATGTACCGAGCCCAGATTGCTCCCGCGGCACTTTCCACAAAGCGGGGCGACGCGACTCGTGCTTTTGTTCTCGTCGAGGGCTTCTTGCGCCGGCCATTGTCGCGATGCTTTTGATGCCATGCGCTGCTTCTGGTTTGCGACGGCGATAATAAACCCAATAAGCACGTGATACTTAAATATCAGGTCACAGTGCCTCAACTTCTGAAGCACAATGTGTACATACATCTCTCTTTTGTCCAGTCGCCGACGACCAACAATCTTGCGCATTTCCCAGTGGCGCCAGAATCACGGCGGCTCAGAAAGCAGTAGACCGTGAAACAATTTCCTGAAACAGTTTGATGCCGACCGTGGGCAACATCCCGGCTGGCTCGTAATGCACCCAATAATAACCATTACTGAGGCAGCCAAGATCCTGTTTCTTGGCTCTTTAGGCAGCCGCGGGGGCGATGAGCCAAAGTACAAAAGAAGCTCATTCACGCCCTTTTTTCTTACAATGCGTGAACTTTACCCACGTTTGTATTCCTGAACCGGGACAGCAAAATGTCTGAAGACAACAACGAAAACTCCGAGAACAGCGAGTCTGAGAGCAGCTGGTCCGACGGTGAATACGAGCGCTACGAGCTCGAGGCACTCACCAGGATTCCTGCTATGCCACGGGAGGTGCAAGACCTCATCTTCTCATTCTGCGACGTGACCTCTTATTTGGCGCTTTGCGTGATAAACAAAGAATGGAATGCCAGGATCACACCTCTTCTCTGGGCGCATCTTGACTTCGCCGACGAATTCATGGAAGAAGAGCTGGTCGAAACTACGCGCAAGTTCTTCGCCACGTGCGACACAATAATAGACGAGTCGCCAGAGCGGTTCGCAGCTCTGGCCTCCCATGTCCAAACACTGGACGTGGGAAGACTGCACGGGGTGAACATTGTGCATGAAGAATTCAACGGAGACGGCCTTATATTCTTCGGCGGTGATGTTGGGGAGAGGTGTGTATTTGATGTGATTGCGCAGTTCACCAACCTCCAGTCACTGTCGGTATACGTGAAAAGCTGGTGGGAGAGTCCCGATCTCGAAGCAACCGGCAGGGCACTCGCCCGCGGACTTACCAAATTGACGTCTTTGAAGCTTGGGGGGCAAATGTCAACGGATGTCTTGCTGGGTCTGTTGAGCAAGCCGCAACAGCTCAAAGACCTCACTCTGATAAACTTGATCTCGGTTCCAGGCCAGGACCATGGTCCTGACGGCATTGCCTTTCTATCGGGAATCAGCCATCGCTTCACCAGCCTCGAGACGCTGCATCTATGCAAGCTTGCGGACCTGGACGGGCGGCTCTGGGACGACGGTGATAGAAACTATGCCTCTGGAATGCGGTGGGGATTCCCCCGGGAATCTGAGATCTCTGTCCTGGAGGATTGGGCCTCGATACTTCGAAATACATCAACCACCCTCCAGTCGCTGACATTGGAGAACCGCTACCTTTGTAGCAACAGGTTCGAGCGCAGACCTAGCTTTACTATCGACCCAGGAAACACGCATCCCGCTGACTATGGAGCCTTTTCAATCCGAGAAAGCCAACGGATGCTCTTTCCGGAACTTTCGAACCGGCAGTGGCCGCAGCTGTCGGACCTGACACTGGTTGGAATGGGCACGGTCCAGGATGTGAACCAGGCAGTTTCTCATCTCGAACCACGAGTTCACGTCGAGCAGCGGCCGGCTCGCATTCAGATTATGGAAGGGGATGTCACCCCGGAGGAAATCTCGACCCCCGTTGAGTTTGCGTAAGAGAAGGAGAATAAAGTTTAACAGCAATGGAAGCTGCCAGAGCCCGACAACTCAACACAATGAATAGTTGAGTTTACAAACACTAGTTATGAAACTGTTTCGTAGCAATATAATAGCTGGTACAAATAAAGTATCCTCAAATTTTTCTTCCAATCAATACTACAATACTACGGAGTGTTTTGCATATGTGGCGTCAAAGACTTGGGCTAAAAGCAACATGCTCAATTGCTAACAACAATCTAAGAAGATAAGTTGGGTCTGTATCTGAGGGATTTGTTTTACAAAGGTCATTATCATGGTAAATATTTAATGATAGGCAAATAGATGTAATACTACATAGGTGTTTTCACCATTCTGAATCACAACCGAGAGTTTCAATACTTGGGCCTAGGATAGGACTTCGTTCTTGGTATCATATTAGACGATGAGAAGGATGGTTCGTAAAGATATAAAATGCAAACAACAATTAAGTCACGGTATATTCGCATTCAACCAAGAGTCACGGTTGGATCCGGGTCACGGCCTTGAGCCTTCCATCGCACGGTAATGAGCACATGTTTCTGTGAACCGATGAGCTTAACGGCAATCCTCGACTAGAGTACTCTATTGTTGTCCAGATTATATATTTGCATGAACCGACAGTATGGTTGTTAATATTATTAGATATGATCTCGTTATACTTCCACTCATTGTCTTGGTGCATTGATCTAAACTCTATGAACGGGGACACAGGTGAGACGCGAGTTCTTTTTCATGCTTAAAACATCGACGTAGCTTCTGATCGGGCCGAGGAGCTCACCGACGCCGTCAGCGTCAAATTCATCTTTTGGAGATCCTTCCTTACACTATCATCGATGTCTAGGAAAGCAAGAAATGATTATTTCTTACTCATAGGTATGTAAGTTAACAAGAAAAACGGCCGACATAGCCACATTAACCCGTTGGGGAAAAAAGGAGAGGAAGAAGAGTAAAAAGAAACCAGGATCATTCTGAAGGCTTGCTAGAAGCTTCACGCCAAATTCTTCGTGATTGCATTCAAAACAGACAAACACGCTGGAGTAATAAACTGAACCATGAAGCCTTCACTTTAACTCTAGATTTCGTAGGAAACTGTCGGATAAAAAGACCAAAACTGTTTTCCTTCAAATAACGCAGTGCCCTTCTTCCAGAGGAATCACTCGAGGTATGTGACGCATTTTCACACAACAGGATTCTCAGCAAGCAACCCAGAGTAAACTCTTCTTCGCATAATAAGAGACAAATTCTTCTTGCCGGCCTCAGGGATCTCATCTTAGCTACTCCGTAGGATCCCACCTGACCTTACCCCCATGCGATATAGTGAGGGGTCAATACCAGTTCTAGTCCCACTTACTTGCTCTGCACAATCCCGCTTTCCGGCGAAGTGGTTCTTGGCTAACTGGCTAACTCCAAGGGTCAGAACGAAATGACCCCCACGCACCTTGTGAGTCAAAGAAAATGTCAAAGACGCCCCATGTAAACCAATTGGTCTGTGTTTATGGAGTAACAGCATCATGTTGGCAGGCGATGGCACCCAGGCTTGCTCTTATTAGGGGCCAAGAGGCGTAGAGCGGGGAGGCAGCTTTCATCGCGCGAGGCACTTTAGCACTAGGTAGATCAAGATGTGCAACAAGACCAATGGCAATATGAAAGATTCGCTTCCAAATCAATATGTATGAGCTTAGGTTTAATCTCAATGCACTTAGTGTGTGAGAAGAATCGTATCGCTGGGATACCAACAATCTAGCCCTTTCCAAACACAAACATTGAATATCTATGCGTAGAGCAGCTCTGGAACCACTTCACAAGATATCTTTCATCGTTCCGAGACGCAAACTAGTATGCTCATCTCAGAGCAGAGTTGACTGGCTCTACTTAGCGAAACACCATTCTTGGACATTGAGGGACGCCACCAGCCATTTGGAGTAATCGCAATGGATCCATGAAGATGTTCAGTCCCCAGGGAGAGAACATCGCTCCACTATCTGCTCGTGGGTGATTATTCTCGCCCCTACCACTTTTCCCCGAGTTCTGATCGGTAATATGGAGGACTCGGGAAACTGACAGGGCGCCGCTAAGCCTGCACTATGAAACTTTGCGAGGGGGAAGGCAGGTTGACCCCCACGCCAGTCTGCTTCACCTCTCTCCGCAACGATCTCCACACATCCACCTGTCCCCATTCCCGCCTCCACAATCAACCAGCTGACGACTTGGGTTATGCTGCCCACTGGCCGATGTTCGGCCCATAAAACCGGGAGCTCCCCCAAAAAATAGAAGGGTGGCTTGAATTTTAACCTTCAAACCTTGCCCAGTATCATCCATCTCCAGCAAAATGCCACAGGACGTCCTTCTTTACGGTCTCGGAGCGTAAGTCAGCATTGCAGGACCGGAATGGACCGTTCAGGCACTAACCAGAGATGCAGCATTGGCTCGTTCTATGCCTTTATCCTCAGCCGGAACGAAAATGTCAGGCTCTCGGTCGTCGCAAGGTCAAACTACGAGGCAGTCAAGGCGAACGGTTTCAAAATTGTCAGCGAGAACCATGGCGAGCACACAGTCAAGCCCTTTCAAGGTGAGAAAATGGCCTAGATGGCAGCCCAACTATTAGATGTAGAGATGTAGCCCTGACATTGATCCGTGAACCAGTTTTGAAGCATCCTTCTGAAGCCAAGACCACATTTGATTACATTGTATGTGCACACAAAGCCATCAATCAATCCACAGTACCCGAGCAACTCGCATCCTGCGTCGATGACAAGAAGACGACAATTGTCATAATCCAAAACGGGGTCGGCAATGAAGAGCCATTTCGACAGCGCTTCCCATCCACGACGATCATCTCCTGTGTGGTCAGTATCCATTTAGCCTTAAACTTCATTGTCCACCTCAATGGAAGCTAACCGGAGCTGCAGACGTGGGTTGGCGCCCGTCAATCCCAACCAGGCGTCATCGCTCATACCAAATCAGAAGACATGCAGATTGGCATATTTCCTACCAATGGAAATGACTCTGATCGCGACGCAGGGCGCTTGGGGGAGTTTTCAAACCTCCTCACGGCAGGGAAGACTGTGTTTCAGGCTGTCCCAGATATCCAGCTCCTGCGCTGGGAGAAGGTTGTTTGGAATGCTGCGTGGAACAGCCTCACCACCCTGACTCTCATGGACACACACAGCTGGCTTGCCTCTCCTGATGCCGAAACATTGACACGGCGGTTGATGACCGAGGTCATCAACGTCGGAAAGGCCCTAGGCGTGGCACTAGATTACGATCTCATCGACACACTTGTTAACAAGATCAAGGGAATGCCTCCCATTGGCAGTAGTATGCGAGCAGATTATGAAAGCAGCAAGCCAATGGAGGTGGAGATCATTCTCGGCTACCCGGTCCGCAAGGGCAAGGAGCTTGGGATTAATATAGCCACTGTCGAGACGATTTACGTCATCTTGACGGCCGTCAATAGGAGGCTCATGAAGATATAGATAGACTAATATGTGATTTCAATTTTCAGGATCTTTCCGAGCTGAGCCAAGTGAATGCTATCTCGTAGTTTTGCAATAGTCGTAAAACAGTCATGCCCAACGAATATAAGTGTCGGCACCCAAATTCTCCCATGAAGCCACCTTGGCTTACAATGTCCGTCGACACAAAGGCGGGAGCCTAGTCTCGATTGCAACATGTGGATTATGTATGCTATTCCTCAATGGTTAGGTTACTGACCATGCCTCGCATGGCGGGCAGAAAACATGACCCCCACGCTTCGCAAATTTCCACACCATGTCTACTATGGAGTCCATCCATGATGATCCATCAACCGTAAGAACTAAATTACAAGCGCTCACTAACTTTCTACCCTAATGATCACCCCTTGTCTACCTTTGGACCAAGCGGCAAGGAGCAGATCCTCTTTCCCATAATTCCCGGTTTCGTACATCAGCAACATATTTCTACGTGGCTCTGAAAGGTATCGTAGCAATGATTATAGAGACTTAGAATCGGCGTATCATAGAAATTCAGCCAAAATTGAGTACTAACTAAGACATTAAGTGAACAGCTAATGGTCCTTGCTGGCAAAGAAACTGCAAGAGTTTTATTGCGCCACCATGGGTGTAGTCTACCGCCTCCCACTAAGTAGATTATACGGACAGGTCTCATCTCCTCAGTATACATACACAAACTCATCATTCTGAGAGTCGGTCAAATCATCAAAGGCATTGGCGCCCAATTGAAGTCCATTCTCGCCGTCTTGGTTGTGAGTGCTCACATAACGATGCTCCATGCTGGAATCGTGGAGCTTAGCAGGCTTGCCATTGGCAACGCGCTTTCGTTCTTGCATCTTGTTTAGGAAGAAGATATTGACAACCTGCAAGCCGATAGCAGCAATGAGGGCACAGGTGATGCCCATTGTCTTCTGCAGCCCAGGCTTATAGTATGGGGCGTCCTGGGCGTTGAACAGAAGGGGCCCGATGATGTTGCCTGCAGAAACACCGATGTTGAAGAACGACAGCAGCACTGATTTCTTCGTAGTACCGGCAACGTTGGAAATCATCCATGAGACTAGAAGGGGGTTGGCGCCGAAGAGGAACGCAAGCATGTAGTACGCTGCCAGCAGAGGCGGGATGTGACTTCGGTTCAAGAAGTATAGCATAAGCGCGCCTGCAAGAACAGGAAACAAGACAAATTCGAGGAAAGGAGACTTGATGCGGAAGCGGTGGGCCATATAGGAGGCAGGTAATATAACCAGTAGCTGCACAGCGCCAAAGGGGATATTCAATAGCGATGTCACTTCAGCGTCGAATCCGAAGCCCTTGATGATGATGGGACCAAAGGTGTTGGTGACGTTTGCTGTCACGTTCAAGCACAAGGCCATTCCAACGAACAGAATGCTCTTTGGCTCATACAGAGCCTCAAAGGCCTGCTTCCACTTGAACTTTCGGGAGCCGGTACCGGTCTGGTTTGCCCGCAGTCTTTCGAGAGCTTGCAAC